CTCGAGCTCGACAAGCGCCTGAGCGAGGACACAACCGTGCTGGTCGAGGACTACACGCTGCCCGACGGCCGGGTCATCCGGGTGGGAAGCGAGCGATTCGAGGCGCCCGAGTGTCTGTTTCAGCCTCACCTGGTGGACAACGAGTCCCCCGGCCTGGGCGAGTTCCTGTTCAACACGATCCAATCGGCCGACGTGGACATTCGCGCTTCGCTGTTCAAGGCCATTGTGCTGTCCGGAGGCAGCAGCATGTATCCGGGCCTGCCGTCACGGCTGGAGAAGGAGCTGAAGCAGCTGTGGCTGACCCGGGCGCTGCAGGGCAACCCGGAGCGATTGAGCAAGTTCAAGGTGCGGATTGAGGATCCTCCTCGGAGAAGGCACATGGTGTTCCTGGGAGGCGCTGTGCTGGCCAACATCATGGCAGAGAACGAGAGCATGTGGGTGACCAAGGCGGAGTGGGAGGAGCAGGGAGTGCGGGCTCTGGAGAAGCTCGGGCCACGATGAGTTGAGTTGATTGTGATTTGAATCAAGGAGAGGGAATGACGAGATGTGATCTGTTTATAAGGTACTGTTAGATGAAGCATGCAAGACGCGATATTGGGTGATATTCCAGCCGGTGCTCTATCATGCCTGGCAGTACAATCGTCTCTGTCACCAATCGAGGAATGATTGATCTCGTATTCTGCTATTACTAACGTCTGGGTGGATTGATCGTAATATCGCGTCCAGGGTTGTCTAAGTGAAGCCATTCCTACGACATGTGATGAGGCAGAGGATCGGATGCAGAGGACGGCATCGCGGCTTAGTCAGTGGCCGAAACTGTAATGGCACCTGCCTCAACTCGCGCCAGGCATGTAACAACTGGTTGACTCGAATGTCTACCTCCAACCTCCATCTCACCGTCTTCATCTATTGTGTCTCACTCCCCATTTGTTACATCACGTCCCAATCTCGAATTCTCGGTCCTCAATTCAGTGTCGGTGCTTCTTATCTTCCCATCATCTACTTTAGGTGAAGCCACAGACACCTTTCTCCGCACCGGCTAAAGCCAAGAGCTTCAAGCCCATCAGCTCAGAGCCCGTTTGGACTGGCTCCTCGCCTCTTCCCACAAGTGCAGACCGTCTACAACGTTGCATCGTCATCCTCATTGTGTGCTGCGAGCCTATACCGTCCAGCCACGTGCGAATGCGAGGAGGCAGATGCGAGTCCGTTAGTACGTGCCTGTTGCAGCATCCGAGATCGACCAGACTCCCCACCAAAGAACTCCGTAACTAACGGAGGCCCGGAGTCGCATCGTGTGGGTTCGTGCATCACTCGCCTCCCGCAATCCGTGCCATCGTTCGCTCACGGGCCAACCTGTGCTTCTGTTTCGAGAAGCAAGCAGAGGCTGTCTGGTTTCATGTCCCGGCCTGGATCGTCGTGACCATCGTCCTTGCTGACCAGCCGTGGCGTCTCGCTCGCAGGAGGTTCCGTTTCCACTCATGCCGAGAGCCACCAACAGCCAACCACTTCCTCTTACCTTGAGCGGGATCCGGTCCTGTTGGATATCGACATCTAACACGACGTGTTACGAGGCAGATGAACCTGCCGAACCCGCCCTCGGGATCCGGGCCCGGGACCGCAAAAGTGGCCGGCGCCATGAATGCAAGGGGCCTTCATCAGTCCACCAAGCGGAGCGTCCTGGCGGCGTTTGAAGGTGCGTGCGGCTGATTCGCCGTCCTTTTGATGTTTGCCTTCTCCCTCCACTGCCTTCTCCCTTTGGGCTGCTGCTGGCTCATCTCTTCGTTTTGCAAATCCCCCAGCTTGACCTGAGACCGCGATCTAGCACAACCAACGCCGGTTACTTATCGAACCCTCTTCCCTGTCCACTCCAGCGAGATCCACCTGTAAAAACCCACCATGTGCCCTTTTTTCGGTGCTTTGTCTTGCCTCTGATTTGTTCCTGTTGCCCATCTTGTTGCGGCATTCGGCATCCGCTGCCACTCTCGGTGCCAACGTCTACTCTCCGTACATGCCTCCTACACCATCGTCACGCTCACTCATCTTTGTCAAGCGACGAGATCAATTTCCCCGTCCACCAGAGTTGCCACACTTGGTAGTTTGCCCCTTTTTATCTCACTTGCTCAGCCACTCAACACGAATATTGCCGCCGAACCCTCTTTTCTGTCTATCAATCTGTCTTCTCATCAACTTTTCTCCTCCCAGCACCACCTTGTCCATCCATCCTCTTCCCCAAATCGCCCCATCCCATCCATCCCCATTTGCTCCTCTTCAGCTAGTCCGATTCCTCTTACCCGTGCCAAGGACCCTGCGATTTCTATTGCACGATACCCGATCTGGCTCATCTGGCAAGGCTGTTTCGACGTCTTTTTAAGCAGCATCTAAGCTCGCATTAACCTCATACCATCCGCTTACCCATACATACACACCTAATCTCTGTACTCCTCACACCACATACACTCTGGACACACACACACCACGCCTGTCCAGCCTGTGTCTTTCATCATTTCTTCTTGCCATCTCCTATTCGGCCATCACACTCACCCTCATTCTCGCTTCACACATAGTGGCTTAGCCGCTCAGAATGCCTCTGAGGCTGAAGCCAGGCTATCCTCACTCATCCTCGTCACATCATTTCTTTGGGTCTTCATCGTCCTCTTCATCTGCTCACCGCTCCTATACAGATGGCCGCGACCAGTCGGCTGGCTACCAGCCCAAGGCACGTGTGACGGAGCGTTATCGCATCATCGGTTTCATTAGCAGCGGCACCTATGGCCGTGTTTACAAAGCCGTCGGCAGGACTGTCAACGGGGAGGGCATTGCTGTTGTCAAGACTTCCAGCGGCCTCACGCCAACATCCGGCTCCGGCTCCGGCTCGAGCGCTCCCATCGAAGTTGCCATCAAAAAGTTCAAACCCGATAAGGAGGGTGAGCAAGTCAGTTACACCGGCATCTCTCAAAGCGCCATCCGCGAGATGAGCCTGTGCAGCGAGCTCCGGCACGCAAACGTCATCCGGCTTGTGGAGATTATCCTCGAGGACAAATGCATCTTCATGGTCTTTGAATATGCCGAACACGACCTGCTGCAAATCATCCACCACCACACGCAGCAGCCGCGCCACCCGATACCGCCGGCCACGGTCAAGAGCATCATGTTCCAGCTCCTCAACGGCTGCCAGTATCTTCACACCAACTGGGTCCTGCACCGCGACCTCAAGCCCGCCAACATCATGGTCACGTCGGGCGGAGAGGTCAAGATTGGAGACTTGGGCCTGGCCCGTCGCTTCGACAAGCCGCTGCACTCGCTCTTCAGCGGCGATAAGGTCGTCGTCACCATTTGGTATCGCGCGCCGGAGCTCATCCTCGGATCGTATCACTACACTCCGGCCATCGACATGTGGGCCGTGGGCTGCATCTTTGCGGAGCTGCTGTCCCTGCGTCCCATCTTCAAGGGTGAGGAGGCAAAGATGGACAGCAAGAAGACGGTGCCGTTCCAGAGAAACCAGATGCACAAGATTGCCGAGATCATGGGCATGCCAACAAAAGAGCGGTGGCCCCTGCTTCCGGCCATGCCCGAGTACATGCAGCTCAACACGCTCTCGGCGATGCAGCACAGCAGCCATAGCAGCCATCATCATGGCCACCACCAGCAGCCGCCCAGCCGCGGCTACTCCACGACGTCGAGCCTCGAGAAGTGGTACTACAGCACCATCAACAACAACTCGGGCGCCGGCTCCGCCGCGTCGGGGCCTAACGGCCAGCCGGCGCTGCAGTCCCTCGGCGCTGAAGGCTACAAGCTGCTCGCCGGCCTGCTCGAGTACGACCCGGAGAAGCGCCTGACGGCCGCCCAGGCGCTGCAGTCTGTCTTCTTCAGCACGGGCGACCGCGTGAGCGCAAACTGCTTCGAGGGTGTCAAGGTCGAGTACCCCCACCGCCGCGTCAGCCAGGACGACAACGACATTCGCACCAGCAGCCTGCCGGGGACTAAGCGTAGTGGACTCCCGGACGACACGCTGTTGCGGCCGGCCAAGCGTATGAAGGACTAGGAGTTTAAGCACTGGGAGTTGAAGGACCAGGAGTCACAGTGGTAAAAGGCTGCTATTGTTTCGGAGAAATACTGCCCGCCAGGAGGCGTTGGCAATAAGATATTGATGACTATGGGTGAGGATGCATAGAGTATGATGGCTTGGAAACGGTTTGGATGGGATATTCATATGTCATGGCGTTTTTCAATGGTAGGTATCTGGGTGAAAGGGCGCAGTATGGACTATTTGGGTTGATATTATACATTCTTATACCTTGGTATGGCAATGGAACGTGAGGATATAAACTCGCACTCACTTTTGTTTCTTTTCTTTCAGGCTACTAGTATGAACTTTCAAAGACACTTGACGGAGTGAAGGCCATGGATACCAACAGAGGAATCGCATAGTGATGCCCTCTATGATGAACACACCAAACAAGAACAACGTATTGGCAAGACGGTTACAAACAACGTCCTACATCAAACACGTATGTGACAAAGAAAATTAATTCAGCTGGCATAGTAGTAGTAGTATGTAAGTAACCCCAGCATCCTCCCCTTCTCACCAACCCGTCTCTATTCCATCCACCCTTCTACCCTTCTACCCTTCTCAGCCTCTGAATTCCTCCACATCCCCTATCTTCTCCTCGACCTCTGATCCTTCACTACACCTCCCCTTTTCCCAACCAAACCAACCTCATCACCGTCCATCAATCCCCCTTTCTCCCTTCCCGTCGCGTGCCATCTCGAATGGGAGAAGCCAGTGTGGTCATTGTCAAGAGAGAGAGAAAAGCACAGGGTATTTGAGACGTAAACTACAGAAAAAAAAAAGCACCAAATCAGGACGGGAAACAGCAATGACAAACACAGAACAATGGGAAAACAGCATTTTCGCGAACAAAGGAAAAAAAAACGACAGCCAGATGATGCTAAGATATGCGCTTCCGATAAGTAGAAAAAACGAAAGCTGACAACAATTAAAAGGAGAAATTAGGTCCCTTATAAGAAAAAGCAGACCATCATTTTTGTTTTGTCCCCCTCCCACAACAAACCATGGTATATAGCACGCAGTTCCACCGCCCCTGCTCCTCCTCTGGATATTCCTTCCCCCGAAAATACTCCCTCTCTCCTTATTTTTGCCATCTTCAGATCCTGTCACGTCTTTTCCTCTCCTTCTTGCTCGTCCACCTCTGGCGAGATTTGTGTTGCAACGGTGGGAGCGCGTCCGGTCCAACAACAGCCGTCCGACAAAGACAAAGCCGTAGGACTAGTGTGCAAAGTCCCAAGACACATATTAACGGGGCGCGGGTCCAGGAAGAGAAGTTGTTGTATGCATCATTGATAGAGATCTCCATTAAACGTCGTAGACTTTTGCGAAACCACAAAAAGAGAGTACAAGGCGCGCATGTGTTCGTTTCCTTATTTCTTGACGGGCGCGGCGGGGGCCTTGACGTTGTTGGACAGCCAAGCCAGACCCTCGAGGAGACCCTCGCCGGTGGTGGCACAGCTGGGCACAACGTACCAGACCTTGTCCTTGAGCTTGGAGAGCTGCAGAGCTTCGGTGACTTCTTGGGGTGACATGGCTGTGGTGGGCAGAGGGTTAGCAGCAGCAAGTTGCTCAGGGGGTTCCTTGACGCACCTTCTTTGAGATCCTGCTTGTTGGCAAAGACCAGCAGCAGGCTGTCCTTCATTTCTCGGTCGTTGATAATGCGATGCAGTTCTTGTCGAGCCTCGTCCATGCGAGCGCGGTCGGAGGAGTCAATGACGAAGATGAGGCCTTGGGTGCCTACAGAAAGTTCATGTTAGCATCTAACAAGCGCTCACACGAGTTCAAAGGAAGTCGTACCGCTGAAATAGTGCCTCCACAAGGGACGGATTTTGTCCTGACCACCGACATCCCAGACGTTGAACTTGACGTTCTTGTAGGTGACGGTCTCGACGTTGAAGCCGACAGTGGGAATGGTGGTGACGTCCTGGCCCAGCTTAAGCTTGTACAGGATCGTTGTTTTACCGGCGGCGTCGAGGCCCAGCATCAGCAGTCGCATCTCCTTGGATCCGAAGATCTTGCTCATAACCTTGGAAAGCTGGCCACCCATGGTTGCGGTTTGTGGTGTTTATCTCGACGATTCGACTATTCTAGTGCTCGGTGATTTCGATTTCGCAGCGGCGCGCGTAACGGGGGAAAGGAGGTCGTCGGGAAACGATGCGCAGGTCGCGGAAGAAAGGTAGTATTAAAAGGAGGAACAGAGGGAGGGCTCTGCAGCGTCGCAAGAGCAGGTTCGATATTGACCTGATGCAGGGAGCGAGATCTAGCAGCGAGACATTCAGTGTTAGTAGAAGATGGAAGAGACAGATAGCGAAGAGGTCAGACAAGGCTCAAGGCAGCGCGTTTGCATTGCAGCCAAGCCTCATTTCATTTCCCCCACCTCGCTCTTTCTGTCTGCCTCCTGCGCAAGCGAATAGAGACAAGAAGAAGGACGAAGAGAGGAGAGAGTAGAGAAAGAAGCGCGCAGAGAGCTGCGTCGTGCTGGTCTCAGATTCACCTACCAAACGCGAAACTCGAGCGTCAGAAGCCGAGCAGATGCGATCACCGGTTGGTTGGATTCGATTCAGGGTATTGGCGACACGCGACCGGGAATGAGCGTGGGAGACGAAGGGTATAATTTCGAAGAGGACAGGGAAACGAAGCGGAATAAAGGGCGGAAGAGAGAGAGAGAAGAAGAAGAAGACGACGAAGAAGACAAAGACAGCGAGAGAGAGAGCGGGACAAGAATGGAACAAACAACGTCAAGCGGCAGCGAGATGCCAAGTCGATCGGGACGTATGAAGAAGGAAGATGGATAGAAGACAAAAAGCAGCGTCAGTGCTTGCGTCTGGGCTGGCGATATTGGGGCAAAGGAGGGACTGGAGACTGGAGAGAGAGAGAGAGAGATTGATTGAATGCAAATGCAGGCATTGACTGCAGATGCGACGCGCACGGGTGGATGCTGCAGAAGCTGGGCGGCGCGGGAGGTACCGGTACTTGCTGGTGCCCACCTCGAAGTGCTGGAGGATGGGAAATACAGGGCATCGAATGGGCGGCACTGAGGGCATTGGGCAGAGGGGACATGGGCCTGGAGGTGCCGTCCAGGTACTGCTACGGCAGGGATCCGGTGAGGTGGCCTCTACTGGTGCCGCTAAGATTGGTTCTACAGGCTCTATGTGATTAAGGTATCGTCAACTGCTCTCGGGCTGGAACCATCAAATGAACAGAGCTGAAAGCACAGGCGACAGCCGTGAGAGTGCCTGAAGCCGACGGAGGTGTAATATCAGACAGTAATACACGACGGAACACGGGCAGCAGGATGGGAATACCTAGACAGAGACAAGCGTATTTCAGTGCCCTCCATTGATCCCTTTCTCAGCCTCGGGCCTCCGTCACGGATCCAATATCATGTCCAGGTACCGAGACAGGTCAGTCATGACGGCTCACGATACAATCACTAGCATCTTATTAGTCTTCTTCTCTCACCACTCCTCAGGCTCGGGCTGCCCTCTTCCCCCCCGCCACTACGAGGCCCGGCCTTCAACGACGGACTGCAATTTGAATGGCCAATTGGGCCCGTCATGTGGAGCAAGCCTGGCCATCTGGCTTCAGGGGTAATCACCACCCCAAGTCCAAGGTAATCTCCGCTCTGGCTCGCTTCGTCTTGTACCTCTGCGGGCACAGCGACGAGCAACTGATACAAAACCTGGAAGGCAAGCTAATATTAGTAGCATGAGAGAGCAATGACGGGCAATGATTACCGCGGCCGCATCAGGCATTTCAATTTCCAGCGTCGACGATCGTTTGCATTTAGCCTCTTTTATTACTAGTTCTTTGCCGGGCTTTGTTCTTTGTTCTGCATGGACCTGGTTATGACAAAGCAACTCGAAGTGCTGTCAACTCAAACTGGGCTAGTAATTGGGTAAGTTGGAGAAACGAGACAACGGAGACGGAACAGACAAGCTCAACTTCAACTTCATCGACCCTTATCATATTCTCCTCTACCTATTCCTACTAGTTTAATCGTAACCATATGACTACTCAAACATCAAACAAACACTCACCTAAAACTCCCCTCTTGAAGCAACACAAACAACCAGACCCCAACACCCCTCCACCACTCATCATCACCAGCCTACCCTACTCCAAACACCACATATCTCAGCCTTCTCCCATCAGCCTCGTCCCATCCCAATTCTCCTAACAAGCTCCCCTCACTTACACACATCCCAAACCCAGGCAACATAATACACATAAACCTAGTCGTAGCCGCATCAACAACAAACAGACCTCTTTGCTTCAGCAGTCACGTAAAAACTCAGCTTACTCCAACTTGACCCCCAACCTCAAACGTTACAGCTTCGAAACCAATCCATCACCTTCCCAATCCCGTTCTCATCCCCCCAACCTGGACCCCAACATCTCACAACACCACAAGACAAACAAACCAAAATTTAGACTTAATCCAAACCCAAACCCCCGTCGCAGATCGCCCCAATCCTTACAAGGCAACCCGTCACACGTCCAAGTCCGTTGAAACATCTTGGCCCCCCGAGTGCCCAGACTGCCAAAGCCGTAGCCAAGGAAGACATATATGAATTATAAAGACACAAGGCGAAACACTGACCAGTCCGGACATGGCAGGTTCAGATGTCACCTTTTCTGATACCGGAATCCCAATACGAGTCTTGGCTGGTTTGAGTACTGTCAGTCTGACTCCCGTCTCTCTTTGTTCTCTTGCTTCTTTTCCTTATAAAACCTCGAGACCACAAGCCATATCCCATCTCATGTTGAGGACTTCAATCCAATCTCTCTACAACTCATATCCACCTCAATTCACCCATTCATCCCCCTTAGTGAACCGTCAAGAACCAACATCATGAGGCTCTCATCAACCCTCTCAGCGGCCCTCGCCATCTCCCCAGCCCTCGCCGCCCCAACCGCGCGTGCTACCTCCTCCGCTACTCGCCTCATCTACTCCAACTCGGGCCACATCTTCCTCGGCTCCTTCAACGGCACCTCCGTCTCGACCACCCTCGACGCCCCCGTCCCCGGCACCATCCCCTCCTGGCTCAACTTCGTCGGCCCAAACACCCTCTACGCCGTCGACGAAGGCTCCAGCAGCACCTTCCTCTACAACGTCGACGTCGACGCCAACACCGTCACCGAGGTCACCCGCGTTCAGGGCTCCGCCGGCGTCGTCCACCTCGAGGTTAACAAGGCCGGGACCCGCATGCTGGGCGCCGGCTTCGGCTCCGGCAACATCGACGTTTGGGACATCGAGGACGGCGGCCTGACGCTCCTCAAGACCATCCAGTCCCCCGGCCCCGTCGGCCCCGACACCACACGCCAGACTGCTCCCCACCCGCACATGGCCGTCAACGATCCCACCGGCCGCTTCTTCGTCGTCAACGACCTCGGCACCGACTCCATCCTCGTCATCGACTCCCAGGACGACGCCTTCGACATTGTCAACCGCGTCGCCGTCGTGCCCGGCTCCGGCCCCCGCCACGGCGTCTTCTACCCCGTTGGTGCCGCCCAGGCCACCCACTACTTCGTGCTCTGTGAGATGGGCAACATCGTTGTCGCCTACTCCCTCACATACACCGACAACGGCAAGGGCATCGAGTTCGAGACCACCCAGGTCCTCAACAGCTTTGGTCCCAACAGCCAGACGCCCGCGGGTGCAGCCGCCGGTGAGCTTGTAATCTCCCCCGACAGCAAGGACCTGTATCTGTCGAACCGCCTCTCCGGCCAGGCGACGGACAACATTGCCCACATCAAGATCATTGACCAGGGGGCCAATGTCCTGAGGCTCTCGTTCATCAACACCACCTCTTCGGGCGGCGGCCGACCAAGGATGTTCAGTATCGGCAACGACGGCAACTCGCTGTTTGTCACAAACCAGGACGGTCCTCTCGGTGTGGCGGTCATCTCTCGAAACCCCCAAGACGGTTCCCTAGATGCCAACTTCACCGGCTCCATCGACGCCAGTGCCTTTGGCGAGGCCGGCAACGGTCCTCAGTTTATTCAGCAGATCCAGTGAGTCGACAAAAGGTTTTGAGCCACCAGACCTTGTTCTTCAACATGTTGGTTGCATGACCTCGAAGAGAAAGACACGCCTGGCGCATTCAGGGTGTGTAATGTCTGGAATACAAGAATCGTTGCTCGATGAGCACATTTGGATTGGTGGAACTTGTATGGTGGAACTTGTACAATAAGCTAGAATGGGAATAGAGAATAAAGGAAAAAGAGATTAGAAGCAATCCTGCTTCGAATGGATACCATAACTCCATTCCCGTCCAGTGTAAACCAACCGTGAAGGACTTTTCTTTGCCTCTCCGTTCCAAGAAAACCCCAACTCCGAAGAAGCGTTGCCGCTGGTCTTCTGTAAAAACTAACACAGATTGAAAGAGGAGACATAAACATACAGGACTCATTACCAAAACTCCTTACCCATAGATCAGACGTGACAAGTCACGCATGCAGATAACCAAAACACAGAAAGAGATAAAAAAAAGAGGAGGCAAAGATACCAAAGAAAGCAAAAGGTTGAGAGGAAAGCAGACGAAGAACGTCCCACAACAAAAGGCCACGGAGTTCTTCTTCGCGGTGGATAGCCTTATGGCCTGTATTCAATGACATATCTCCGGTCCACCTGCTGGAGCGTCGTCGAGTCGTTTTCGCCCTCGAACTTGAGATCAACCTTGCCGGGCGTCGTGCTGCCGTGCACTTCAGCCTTGTAGAAGGTCGTGGTCTGCGGGTAGAGAGCAAGCACTACCTGGCCGGCCTCGTAGTCCTTGAGCGTGCTGGCCTGGCTTTCGGGCGTGATGGGTATCATGCTGCTCGCGCTAGAGCGGTATTCCTTCTGCTTGCTCTGGTCGTCTGGCTCAATGTCGATAACTTTGTACCGCCGACTCTTGCCCTCGCCGAGCACCGCGGCCACCTCGCCCAGAATCCAATCCGATGTCTGCTCGCCATTGACGGCCTTGGGCTTGAAGGCAACCTCGTCGCCCTTGGAGAAGAGCACCCTGGACCTGTTGGTCGCGGCAGAGGTCCCCGCGGCACCGCTTGTGGACCCTGGCGGCTCGACACTGTCCGCCTTGGGCGGGATGCTGTCCCTGTCTCGGTTGCTGCTTCGATCGCCGTGCTTGCGAGAGGAGCCGGCCACGGGGCTGGGCACGGGTGAGTCGCCGGCGCCGTCAAAGTCGTAGAGCGAGGCGGCCGCAGCGCTGTCCCTGGTGGTGGACCTCTTAGATGGTCCGGTGGGCGGTGCTTCGGCCTGCTCCTTGGCCACCATGACGGCTCGAACGACCTTGAGACGTTCCATGAGGTTCTTGGCTGAGTTGATGTTTTCCTCGGACTTCTTCACTCCGGAGCGGCATAGCTCCTCCATCTCCCTCATGGTGCTGGTGGGCACGCTGTCCGAGTCCATTGTACCGGCCTGCTTGTCCATGGCCACGAGCTTGGCCAGGTTGTCATTGTCCGCGTTGATACCGCTGATGAGGTCGTTGAAGGACGCTTTGGCCTCATCCCATATCTGGACCTCTTCGCCGTGCACACCCCCGTTGTTGCGGTTGGAACCGCGGCCGCTGCGGTTTCGTTGCGACATGTCGCGGCGGCCTGGCTGGCTGTAGTAGGGACCGAGGTCTTCGGCGAGGTTGTTGACTTCGCGCTGGGCTTTCCGGTTAGCCATCGTGGTTCGATGCCCTCGGTGGGAGCCGTGCGGGTTTTGCAGGTACCGTCCCCCGACCGTGCGAGTCAACAGACCCGAGAGACAGCCACGGCCAGGGAAGGACAGAAGAGCAATTGACAGTGGATGTATGCTGGGCCAAAGAAGGAAGAAGAAGGTGATGATGTGCAAGAAGAAAAGAAGATATAAAACAAGTCAAAAAGACGGTCAGGCGGACTGGGGAAAGAATAGCATAGATGCAATGCGGGCAAAAAAAGAACACGCCAACTGGACAACAAGCACTGAATTGGAAGGCTAACGGCAAAGAGGCAATTGAACGAAGATGCAGACGCAGGTCGATGCAGCGGCTGGACTGGGGTGTGCTGTGGACTGGCGACTTACTGGCTGTTTGGCTGTCCAAACCCTGCCCGAGTGGGTGCAGCTGCTGGCTGACTCGCCTGTTGCTCGCTAACGTGCGTTTCTGGCGCTCTGGAAGCTGCGCTTTGACGACGGCGACGCGTTTCTGGGCGGGATATCGCGGGTGAGAAGCGGCGAGACGAGGCGACAAGCAAGGCGCTGAGAGCGGCGGAGAGACGGAAGTCGAGAGGCGAGAGGAGAGAGAAAGAAGAAGAAGAAGCGAAGTAGCCGCCGTCTTGCGCAGAGATGAAGAAGGGAAGGGAGGAAGAAACAAACAGGGCCGAGTCGGGGGATAAGTAAAGCTGGAGGGCAAGGTAGAATGACGAGGCAAGGTCAGGTACAGCAGGTACTCGGTGCAGCAGGTCTCAACCCATTTTATGCGCTAGAACGCCAGTGGACGGGCGGCCAGAGGCACAGAGGGCCCTGCACGCGACTTGGACGGTACAGCGAGCGCCGGTATATGCGGTCTCTGTCTGCTTGATGCTGCTGCGGCGCTGGCGAGAGCGGCTGGGTATCGAGTGCGTACCGGTGCCGGATTCGAGCGTAACGCAAGCCTGAGGATTTCGGCGAGATTCACGGTGGTTGTCGAGGCGAAGTTGAGCAAGAGGCTAGGCGCGAACCTTGTTGCTGCCATGGCTGGCACTTGGCTTGCTTCGTTACATGTACCTCAGCAACTTCAGTTTGAAGCCCTTTTCGGACCATCAATGTCCCGCGCTAGGTTGCTCAACTGTGATAACCGTTATTATTAGGGGCCGTCTGGTAGGCGGTACCTGGCCTGTACAAGCGCCCTAGCGAGTCGACGGACAGCAATCCAACAGTGCTGGCGGTGCTCACGGCGTGCTGTAGCGAGCGCTCCGAGTACCTGCAAGTACTCCAGCACTCAGTCTGCAAGTCCTGGTCGCTTATCTGGTGTCTCAGCCTGCTGCTGTGAACATTCATTGAAGCGAAGGAACTCCCGAGTCCTTCACCATCAACATAACCGACACAGTATCACTACCTACCTTATTGAATTACGAACGACTCCCAGAAGCGAGATATGCTGCACAGAAAGGCTCTGACTCCACAGTGTATCCGTCATTATGATTCTGGAATACGTTTGGATACCATGACTCGACAAACCTTGATGTGCTGGTACATGTAGCTTCGACTGACCCCCCAACCCCCCTCTCTCTAACTCTGTGCTTGTAACCTCGTTATCAAGCGCCATGATGCCCAGAAAACGCCATGGCTGAAAAGTATCGTAGAGCCTCCCAAAGGCGTTACCTCGTAGGAGTGAGAGTTCGCTGATATACAAGACGGAGCCTCTCGACTCTCGTCTTCTTATGATGAGTTGCTTCGACCTTATCATCACTACTCATTCTCACGAGCCGATCTTGCTTGCATTATAGCTAACACCTTTGCTTTCAGTCCCTTCCTCATGGCGTCCAACGAGAGAAGGGGAGCTCCGTTGCCGAGACACGAAATCTTGCACCAACTGCGCGGCCTTCAAGAAGGGAGACATCGAGAGCTGGTTAGCAACCGCTCCGTGGATAGCCGTTGGATATTCCAACCATCCGTCTCGGACATGACTTCCATAGCTGCTGAGATGACGCTCGAAGATGCAAACGACTGCTGTAACAAAGCCACCGGCATCTATGTCCACGCAGCGAAACGCACAATTTACATTTGCCTGCTTCTCCAGACCCTGCACAACTACTTGTACGAGAGATGGTTTCGTCCCTACAAGAGCGAGATCGAGTATGTCCAGTTCATCGCCAAGACGTTTCTCCCAGAGCTGCTCCCCGAGGATTTGCGGCTCGAACCATTGGCCAGCCTGGCCGTCTCAGTCCATGCAGCCATCTGCAGACGGGCGCAAGAGGCCCGAGATGCAGTTAAGGTCCTCTCACTCCGAGACCAAAGAGACTGGGATCCGTCGCCTCCCAATTGTCCCAAGATCTTGGGCCGGGGTGTATACGTGGGACAGGATCTTCGACAGATCATCCGTGACCAAGAATTCTTCTTGCTTCGACCGTTGTTCCGAGCAATAATTATCATCATCAGACTGGAAGAATACACTGACAAGGACATGGACATTGCTCAACTGCCCGTCCTCCTGGTTAGGACGGGAGTAGAGGACGGTCTAAGCGCTCCCATATCATTCGAACCCATCGCCCACAAAATTCAAGGTGCCGTCCAAGTCACCGCCAAGGGAGAGACTGCAGTCCGAGTGGCACTTGAAGTCGCCGTGGACTTTATCCTGAGCCTGGACAAGCGAGAGAATGATGCTCTTGGCCATCAACCAGACCCGGTTGCCTCTACACAAGAGCTTGAAGACGGTGGCCTTGCTGGTCGTGACGAGATCCTTGCAAGAGCTAGGAAACTCGGCTGGGGCGATGAGCCGCTGGTAGGGCCGAGTTCTGAATGGGTAGATACCAAGATACATACCGGATGGTGCGGCGGAGGCGTCTACTCGGACAACCGGATGCGACGAGCACAGAAGTTCGAACGTGAAACTCTTGTTAGGGTCGAGGAGATGGAGCCTCAGCGTCGCGAGTTGCCGAAAATCTTCAACGGGTCTACGAAGCATTTTAACATCTATTCTGCTTGAAAATCCTGTCGACATGCCTTACCTTCAAATGAACTGCACTCTGCGTCGAGACCTCCTTGGATAATGCTAAAGCATCTGCCTTGTTTATCTATCTTACTTTATCTGCCTCTCAGGTATTTATTGTTTGCTGATTGTCATTTGCTTTTTCATCGGCAAGGTCTCACAGACTGGCCTAATAAAAGACGTTAAATTACCGTCGTTAGGTACTAATGTTGTACCTATGTGATGGCTCGCCCAAGGAGGGACATGATAGATATCTCTAGGTAGGCACTGTCGCTGCCTTTCTGCATCTCAGGTTATTGATAGGGCCGCTCGTTAATCAAAGTTGAATCCAACCTCGGATACAAGAGAATGTCACGGAGACTTGCCACCTGGCTTATGAACTGAGCAATGGGATGCTTTGATATAGATCCTTCTGAAACCTCTACTAAGTAGATAATTCATGGGTAAGAAGCTTTAGCTCTGTTGTCTCAATGACTTGCTGCGAATAGGCGAGCATTGTAACTCTGAGCTTTGTGTGTAGCCCTCTTTCGAGCCACCTTGCCAGGCCTTTGGACTATCATGAACCCAATCTTGCACAGCTAAATTCAGCCAGTACTCCCTTATGGTTGCTATGTTACCATCTCGGGGCTTTGAGAAGGGAAGAGCTACAAGAGAGATAAAGTGTTTCTAAATTATCGACTCCGAGAAACTTGCTTTGCACAATCTCCAGTATCCATGTCCGTCTATCTCCCTATGTGCCCGAATCAGTGGCATCCTGTGCCTAGTTGCTGTCTTCCATTATCATCATGTCCTAAGATACGATTTATAGCTATATTCAGTTGTCTTTAGTCTTAAGCATCCACAGGCCCTAGAACATAACATGATAAAGCAAAATAAGCATCTCTTTATAAAACTAAATAGAATTTCTACGATAGAAGGAAGTAGCCACTGCTATCTATTATAAAAGACCCAGCGATACTATCTCTAGTAGAATCAAGTAGAAGAAAATAAAGCCACCTTAGCTACACCTCTCCTCTTTTCCTTCACCTTCTTACCATATCTCCTATACGCATACCTTAGCTAATGCTCCCTCAGCGCCGCCTCTACACATGTCAACAACCATCACGCCTGCGCCAGCACGTCTGTGGCCTGCTCGCGTCTGGCAGGCAGATCAGCAAAAGCGGCTCTGGTTGGATTTGTTCTAAACGCCGGCGGTGTCCACAGGCTGTTGTCTTGGGTTGTCATGTCTCACCTTCTCAAGTTGGAGTGAGCAGTCGACGAGGGAGGACAGCAAGATGCTCACTTCCCTGAAATTGTCCCCAAATACACGACTGCAACAAGGCCATCCTGGATGCTGATCTTGATGAGAGAGGGACGGATGACTTCTCTCGGTATTAACAGACAGCTATTCGACGAAGTGACAGAATGCACGGCCAGACTTGATGGCGGCATCAGTCACGGGGGAACTCAGTATGAATGGTGGCACAGCATAGAGAAATTCGAAGCTATTTAGAGTGTCAGCACGACGAGAAGAATACCGTCATCGGTGCAATTGACTGCCGGATATCCGAAAGAGAAGCTTGGATGCTTTGAACTCATGACTGAGCATGACGGTAACCTTCTGTTGCTCCTGGGCAAGGTCCATAGGACAACCGACCTCTCCGTCTTCTCTGTCCATCATTGACAGTGGAACCATACATGAACAGTTGAGATGGGTTTGTCAGGTTATGCCTTGATGTCCAAGCTCTATTTGCACCTCAGCGAATACCCTGTTAGCCGCCTCGCTTGTGGGTTTGGGCATATGCCGTTCTACCAGCAGTATTTTCTTTTCAACGACCCGAGACTATTGCCGTGTGTCTCGAACGGCTTCTTGTTCAACTCAACCAAGCTTCCCCTACAGAGGCAACAAGGCCAGACGCCTCCCCATGTGCTGCCTCGCCTCTCCACCAGCTGACTTTAGGCAAAACAGGTCTTCGATCCCCGATCAGAGTTGACACTTGCATTCATGCTCCGGGAGTCACGATCAAGACATACCGCTCAAACGACATGCGCCTGCCCAAGTCCGATTATATCCAATTTAGCCGCTGGACAAGCTGCAGGCATGCCGCCCACCACCCCCGCAAATCACTCTCTCGGGTCCCGTCTTCTCCCAGATTGCTTCATCGGCACTAGACCAATGGAGAGCGGCTCTTGCGGGATGCCGTCGTAGGCAAACCTTGGGGTGCATGCGGCTGGGGACAGGGGCCATGGCATGGTGTGTGTTATGGTTAATTGGAAGCATACGGTTCAAGTCTACTTGTTTATATTGACACGTTTGACATCAGCTAATGGATGTAACCTGGCTGGCCCCCTTCTGGCTTTGGGCATGACTTCTGCATCGCGGCAAAGATGGCTGGACTATTCGCCATTTCAGCACGGGATACTGTGATCCATCTCATGGCTAATCCCAATTACTTGTCACACTGCCTGTTGTGGTTTACCTCCTCGTCTTGACTCCACTGAGAGGACTGTGTCAATGAGACGCTGCTGAGAAACGTCGAACCGGGTTGTACACTCGGAGCTTTTTGTCAATTCCTCGTTAGTATTTTCATTTTCCTTTTTATGTCTGTAAGTTGATGTTTCTAAATAGAGAATGCCAAGACGAAATTAGCCGTTATTCAGGACGATGAATGTGCCGGCTCCTGGCTGCATGTACCGGCGCATTAGGGGTCCACGCATGTGAGCTGACTCAAGACTGCTGAGACAGCAACATCACCACGCCACGATGGTGTTGCAAGGCGCAATATGATGATGAAGAAGACAAGAGAACAACCTCTAGGACTGGGTAAATTAAACAATGGCCAGCCGCTCGGCCGTACGGAGGCGAGAGACAGCGTGTGGATGCCAAATTATCCGTCAACTGACTTATAAAGAAGCCATGCCGGCCCCCCTTGAGACTCGAGAAGACGAACCTTGACAACACTCCACCATCTTACACTCATACAACCCTTTGCAAAGTCCAGAAAAACACACGAGCCCCTCAGTTGACAGTTTAGGAAAGAAAACATGGTTTCCTTCACCTCCCTCCTCGCCGGCGTCGCCGCCATCTCCGGAGTCTTGGCCGCTCCCGCTGCTGAGGTCGAGTCCGTGGACGTTGAAAAGCGCCAGACGATTGGTCCCGGCACGGGCTTCAACAACGGCTACTTCTACTCGTACTGGAACGACGGCCACGGCGGCGTGACGTACACCAATGGCCCCGGCGGCCAGTTCTCCGTCAACTGGTCCAACTCGGGCAACTTTGTCGGCGGCAAGGGATGGCAGCCCGGCACCAAGAACAAGTAAGACTATATACAACCCCACCTTCTGACCAAACCCCCTATCCAACGACAGAATATAAAACCAAGGGCGTGATTATCATGGAGAGAGAGTGTGTGTGTGATCTAACGGTTTTGTTCTGAAAACAAGGGTCATCAACTTCTCGGGCACCTACAACCCCAACGGCAACAGCTACCTCTCCGTGTACGGCTGGTCGCGCAACCCCCTGATCGAGTACTACATCGTCGAGAACTTTGGCACCTACAACCCGTCCACCGGCGCCACCAAGCTGGGCGAGGTGACGTCGGACGGCAGCGTCTACGACATCTACCGCACGCAGCGCGTCAACCAGCCGTCCATCGAGGGCACCTCCACCTTTTACCAGTACTGGTCCGTCCGCCGCACCCACCGCTCCAGCGGCTCCGTCAACACGGCTAACCACTTCAACGCGTGGGCCTCGCACGGCCTGACGCTGGGCACCATGGATTACCAGATTGTCGCCGTGGAGGGCTACTTTAGCTCTGGCTCTGCTTCTATTACCGTCAGCTAAAGGGGGCTTGTCCTATTTTACGTCAAAATGGCGGTGGAGAGCTGGGATGTACGGCTGCGCGTTCTTCGACTCTGCGGAGATTGAAGGGGGTTTAGGACTGACTGATTATATGTGATCCCAGCTTTGTATGCTACACATTTGCTGGATACTTGCAGCCAGATGAGCTATGAATTCTGTTGGCTTTATATGAGTGCTTGAAAAGACGTGTCCGAGTATATGTTCTATACCGTAGTGTAATCGCCATGCTGACTTGACTGCTGTGAATGGTGAACGGCAACAGTAGGAACAGAGAGAATATGGAACAGGAGTCAGGTAGGGTCTGTCTCGTCCGACTGGGTGCCAAGTCGTTCCATGGCTTACCTTGATGTGGAAAGCTCGGTGAAAGGGGTATCACACATCGTTATTATTCATATGTGTTATGTACAGGTAATAGTATTCTTTGTACAACGCATTGCAATCATTTTCCTCCTGGCGTCCGCCCCCCTTATAGATCGCGATGAGCCTGGCATCCGGGGGTAATGGTGGCAGTCGTAAAGGTGGTCGTGGTGACAGTGGCGCACACGCAGCCCTGGCCGGAAATGCTGGTAATGGGAGGAGACTTGCAGGTGGGCTCGCTGGTGAAGGAGGCATAGGTGCTGGTGGGCTCGACCGTGGTCTCGACCAGCTCGGCCTTGACCAGGACGGGGATGATCTGGCCGGTGGACAGGCTGAAGGAGCGATGGTTTAGCACGGTGAGGATGGCGCCAATCTCACCAGAGTGGCTGGTGATGCTGATCCATGTGTTGTCGTCATGCGAAAAGACATCGTCAATCACCTCCTTGGATCGGGCGACCTGGTGAGCAGACGTCTCGCCCTCGTCCTCCTTGCCGCGCCACAGCAGGTCCTCCTCGCTGAAGCCCGCCTCGAAGGAGAAATTAGGAGCGTAGGCGTGGATCTGAGACTTGGTGGAGCGGCGGTCGCAGGTGTGGATGCTGATGCTCTCGCGGAAAAGCTCCTTGATAATGGGCTTGAAGGGGTGGGAGCGAGGCAGCTTCTGGTTGGCAAACGTGAGTTGGGCCGTCTGGAGGCAGCGCTTGAGAGGCGAGCTGTAGTACGACTCAAAGAAGGGGAGGCCTTCCTTCTCAAAGCGCGACTTGAAGTAGGCATTGGACTTGGTGGTCTGCTGCAGGCCATTGGGGGTCAGCTCGGCGTCGGCCCAGGTGGCAGTGCCGTTGCCATCTTGCTCGGCCCAGTAGCACTACGGGAGCGTAAGTCAGCAGTTGTTTAGAAGATGAAGAGAGCTCTCTCAAGACTCACGTTCCAGGCGGGAGTGCCGTAAAAGGTCTCGGCAGCGTTGTGCCATCCTTCGCCGTGGCGGCCCATAAAGAGCACCTTGTAGGTGCTCTTATCCTCCTTGCGGCACTCGTTGTTGAGCGATTCGACGTAGTTGGCGAAGCGCTCCCACTGGGTCTTCTTGTGGTGAGGATCAAACTTGCCATCCGTGGGGTAAGTCCTGTTGATGAGACCGAAGTTGAAGGCGGCCTGTGTCAAGCAAAGGGTGAGCCGGAGCCTCCAATGGAAGAGGCAGGGATGCTTGGAATACGCACATAGTCGAAGCTTCCGGTGTCGGTGCTGGGGTCGTCCTGGAGGAAGAAGCCCGGGACCGACGTGTACTTGATGTCGTCGCAGTCGGAGACGTGCTTCCAGGCCACAGCGCCGGGGGCGAGCGCCAAGGCAGCGGATAGCAGAGAGACCTTCATTTTGGCGATGGCCGAGGAGGCAGATGAAGATGAAGAGGCAGATGCTCAAGCTTGTTGGCTGCGACGAAGAACAGGCGACCTGACGAGCAGCGTATCTCGGATCCCGGGGCGATGCAGCAACTTATAAGTTATGAGACTGTCCAGCTGCTCTCTCCTGCATGCGACGTCACAACAGGCTGGTGAACGCCTGGATGTCACCGTCGACAGGGCTGGAGGCTGCCAAATGGAGCCTGTCATTGCTACTCTGGGGCTGTTGTCAGCACTTGGGCCGAGGCGCCGCTTTTAGCGCGCCATCTCGGTGTCGAGACGAGAACGGCCAGCAGCTTGAAGGCCCATGTCCGCTCCAATCGATGGACAACGTGGCTGGGCCAGTCCGGGGACGTGAGGCTTCAGGGCATCGGAATGCGCACGTGGAGGTGCACCTTGGCAGACACTGCAGGCGGTTCCCGGCTTGCCAATGATTCCTGGATCTTGCAGACGACGATAGCGATGGTGCTATGGGAGATTGACTGCCGTTTGGGTGATGGTGCCATGCAGGCGTGGCAAAAGAACCAAGTCGAGCTCTTGAAAGGTGGCGGTGGTGACGGAGATGGTACGACAATGGTTGGCGTGGCGGGAGCGGCTGTTGATTTCTTCGTAAAGACGAAGCAATGAAGAGAGCTGTCCCACTCAGTTTAACTGCAAAGGGTAGAACTGGTGATGATACTGCTCATGATGAGGACGAAAGGCTTGAGTATCTTGAGGGCTCATGATCTCCAAATCGTCAGCAAGCCATCGGTCGCCTAAGAGTTAAGGTTAACGAGCAGCACAGCTCTTTCACGTGCTAGCGCCCGTCGTTTGGGGGGGCTTTAGCAGAGTGACGGCGCTGTAGCCGCTAAAGAGCTGCTAGCATGTGCGATAAGATAGCGATGAATGTCACACCTGGACCTTCATTTCCCCGCAATCGCCCCAACAACCCCTGAACAACACGCATTGAGCTCTCAAGCTTCTTCCATCAAAAAACGACTGCTCTGTCTTCGCAGCACTGCAGCGACGCCAGACGAAGCCTCGGGTTGGCCTACAGTTGACCGAGTATCTGCGGATTCTGTGTTATCTCTGCGCCCAATTATCGATCTGATTCGCCGGCTTCCGCTTAGCTGTCGCAAGATGAGCGCCTCCAACCCGGACCTCGAGAAGCCTCAGGGCGAGCCTGCGCCGGAGCTTCTCGACGGTCGCATCTGGGTCGACGGCTGCTGGGACTTTTTCCACCATGGTCAGACTCCAGCCCAGCCTCATACATCTTCACATTGACTCATGGGAAACTATTTGCTAACGAATTCGGGCGCGACTGTCAGGCCACGCTGGCGCAATGGTTCAGGCCAGACAGCTGGGCGACGAGCTGTACGTCGGTGTCCACTCGGACGAAGAGATCCTTGCCAACAAAGGCCCTACGGTCATGAACCTCGAGGAGCGGTACGTCGTGCATTCTGTGCTGAGACTTTCTAATACGAAGGAAGCAAAAGCGCATGGGGTCTGACTGCTAGATTGCAAAACAACAGAGTCGCCGCTACCGATGCCTGTCGCTGGGTTACCAAGTCGGTCCCATACGCTCCCTACGTGACGCAACTCCCCTATATTTCGCACTACGGGTGCCGATACGTTGTTCACGGCGACGACATTACCTCGGACAGCGACGGAAACGACTGTTACCGCTTCGTCAAGGCAGCCGGCCGCTTCAAGGTCGTCAAGCGATCGCCCGGCATCTCCACCACGGATCTCGTTGGCCGCATGCTGCTGTGCACTAGGACGCATTTCATCAAGTCGCTCAAGAAGACGCTGGCCGGCGAGGAGGGTGTGGGCACTGCGGAAGAGCGCAAAGCCCAGGCGGAGGCGATGCTTGAGCGGATCAAGCTGTACGCAACGGACGAAACAGCGAAGAAGCCCGGCGTTGACGTCTGGTTCTGGCATTCCGCGCCCGATTCGAGTAGTGGCGAGCGTGGATCATATGAGAAGTTCCTGGAGGGAGCTGGTCGCAAACCCGGCCAGCGCGTGATCTACGTGGACGGCGGATTCGATCTCTTCTCCAGCGGCCATATTGCGTTTCTGTGTAAGGTACTTGAAGAGGAGGACAAGCTTGCGCGGGAGGCGGGCTGGTTCTCTGCAGAGGCCACCGAGAAGCGGAAGAGCGCAAACGGCGGGAAGGACTACGGGCCGGCATACGTGGTGGCCGGCGTTCACGAGGATAGGGTGATTAACGAGTGGAAGGGGGTTAACTATCCCATCATGAACATTTATGAGCGAGGGCTCTGCGTTTTGCAATGCAAGGTATGTCTGCCATGTCCAGTCTCGACCGCAGCCAACGCTGATCATGCGCGAAAAGTACATCAACGCCGTTGTTTTCGGAGCGCCGTTCACGCCGACCAAGAACTACCTCACAAACTCGCCGTGGGGCGTTCCCGACGCGGTGTACCACGGCCCGACGGCCTTTATGCCCCTGACATACGATCCGTACACGGCGCCCAAGGAGATGGGTATCTACCGGCAAATTGGCGAGCACACGTTTTCGCACGTCAATGCGGGGGAGATTGTGCAGCGCATCATGAAGAGCCGGGACATGTACGAGGCGCGGCAGCGGGCTAAGGGGGTCAAGGCCGAGGTGGAGGCTGCGGCGAGGGCACGGGAGCAGCTGGAGGAGGAGCAACGTAAGAAGGAGGCCGAGAGGGGAGTCATGTCAAGCTGAGCGTGCTGCGATTTCGGACGGCGGAAGCGATTGATGGGTATGTTTTGGGTCATGGAGTTTTGGGTACCTATAGTCTTCAACAGGCCACGGAGAGGGAGAGATAATGGGGATGGATACCATAAGACATTAGAATACCGTTGGCGCTGATCATTCACTCACCTTGATGGTCGTATTAGGTAACACGACGCTTGATCGTAGTCGATGGGCTGAGACGCAGTTGGCTCTGCGCCGCCATCTTCTGACCACCTGCTTACTCTGTACTCGTCTGTATCGTGCCCCATGTGAGCAATGACACGCCGTGTCGTACATTGAACGAAGCGAACAACGTCGATGATCTCATACCGCTAACCTAAGATAAATAAATGAATGTAATTGTCCTACCCAATCACACAGTACAAGCTCGTTTCAGTTTGGAGAGAGGGAGGAAATATGACAGCATTTTGAATGCGCCGGCTATCGACGGTGTAAAGAAAGCTCCCAGAGCTGGGGGCATCCGGCTTAGACCAGTTTTTTTTTTCTTCTCTTTTTCTTTCTTCTTCTTCGAGATGTGGGGAAGGGATGAAGTGGGTGGGATGGCGGTTTATGCGCCGGATCGGAGCTGATAAGGTAGGGAGGGAGTGAGTGAGTGAGTGCAGTGATATATACGTAAGGTTATCTATAAACAAGGGAATCTTAGTGAAGCTTTGCTTTTTGCTGTTTTGGGGAGGGATGCTGGAATGTTCCTTGCAAGTTGTGTGTATGTGTGTGTGTGTGTTGGTTAATAGATCAAGATTGATTGTCTGCCTTTGTCTCCTTGAAGTATTCTATCTCATCTCACAGGTTGTTCGAGATGCCAGATAGGGATGCAACCTTGTCTGAATCTGGAAATGTCAAGCCAACCTGTTCCCTCCATTCCATCTCAATGTCAAGACTGCATCCGTTGATCACCACGGCGCGCCCTTCCATCCCCCCGCACCATGTCAAACGATCGGAAACATGTCCAATCCGGACATTGCATATCTCCATCCCTCAATGGAATCACAATTGGCATCCCTTCTACAAATATCGAGGCACTTTATCTTATCAAATGGTACGACCTTGTCTGTGTCGGCATAGCGGCATGTCAATGCCAGATGACGAAGGGGGATTCAGTCTGCTGTGCCGCGAAAGCGGGGCGGAGGATTTCCGCGCGCCGGCACGTGGGGTTCGAGAAAGAGACCAGGGCCAGTTTCGGTGTCGGTGGCGGCGCCTTGGATCTCCGGGTTTTATGTGCCTTATTGTTGTCTGGAAGAGGAATTCGTAGAGCAGTTGGATCAATTGAGGCTGTTTCCAATTAAAGACGAACTCCATATCAATGCCAACACTCACCAACAGCGTAATCACTGAGAAATTCATTGAGTCAATTCGAAGAAATCGAGTATTAACCCAAAACAGACGGGAGGCTGCCGCCGGGGGCTCGGCACATGGGCGGTGCGGGCAGACACGGGATAGTAATATTTCCATCACCGCACTTCCTATCCAGTCCGTCAACCGAAACAACAAGAACAAAGCCGCCCAAAAGGAAAAACTGGTCACCTGCACCACCCTTCCCTCGCCTAGAGCCAACCAAATCCATGCTCGCCCTTCTCTTTTTTCTTCTCGCCCTCTTCAGGCATATCATAACGTACTTGGTTTCGATGGTAGTGTCTGTTCCCTTTTCAGTGACGTCTTGATTCCGCATCGGCTTTTGGCCCCGAGAGCTGACAGTTCTCTCTCACTCTGAATCACGCATACAAAGAGTAGCCCTTCAACCTTAGTAGTAGTAGTAGTAATATCGTAGCACAGCAATATACCGATGATAAAGTGCCCAACTCCCCCCAGAGCCTCTCCAAGCCGAACCAACGCCCATCCCCAGCTCTCGCCGTCACCTTTTCCTAGCGTCCACGGAGTACAGGTGGTAGTACATGGAAGCGACCCGAGAGTGACCCCACACTACGCCGCGTGCCGATTGACTCCTTGAGTAGCCGCTGTCCAGCCTCAAGGTACACACTGGCGCTAGGCACTTTTTTTGTGGTCCCCCGACGAACGGACGGGATAAGAACCTTTTTCTCTTGGTGTAAAAAGGCGACTTTTTGCCTCCTTGGCGAGAACAGACACCTTTGTCTTGAGTCAGTTTGAGGATTTGGAACCACTATTTTGTTCTCTTCACCTTTCCATCATAAGTCACTATTTTGGCCTATCAAGTCTTATCAAGAAAGGGAAGAAAAGAAGAAGAATTGGACAATCTTCATACCTTGACACTCGGAGGATTGTCACCCTCAAACTAAATCTTTGCCGAACCAAATCCTTGGAACTCCAACCCAAACAAGGGCCAAGCCAAGAAAGCGTGGGACCAGCTGCTAGCATTTTCTTTCTTAAAGCCTCCCTCTTGTTATCTGGCGTCAAATAGTTTCCATACGATATACACAAGCCGCGGCTGATCAATTTTTTTTCTCCTGGCACGCTTTGAGTCATTCTCCATCGAGATTGACCCGCCATCGGACCTTATCTTGCCGCGGGCTCCTTCAAATTCTCGGGTCTCCCTCTTCCTTCTGTTTACTTCCCTTCACTCCTCAACAAACATTCATCTCTTCTCTCACTCTTCATCTTCCTCCTCAACCATCCACCAACTCGACACAATGGCTCCCTCCGCTATCCCAACCCAGGACGTCGACCTCACCGCGGCCAACATCCAGGTCAAGGAGGCCAACCAGCCCACCAAGCCCAGCAATGGCACCACGCCCGCCCCCCTCGACGCCTCCAAGCTCATCTACAACCTCACCAAGGACCCTCGTCCCGTCCCCGGCGAGGAGGTCGCCAATGCCAGTGACCACACCATCTGCACCGACCACATGCTGACCGCTACCTGGACCGCCTCCGAGGGATGGGGCGCCCCCGAGATCAAGCCCTACGGTCCCCTGAGCCTCATGCCCACGGCCTCGGTCCTGCACTACGCCACCGAGTGCTTCGAGGGCCTCAAGGCCTACCGCGGCTACGACGGCAAGCTGCGCGTCTTCCGCCCGGACTGCAACTGCGCCCGCATGCACATGTCCGCCGGCCGCATCTCCCTGCCCCTCTTTGAGCCCGCCGAGCTGGAGAAGCTCATCATCGCCCTGTTGGCCGTCGACGGCCCCCGCTGGCTGCCCAAGGACGAGCCCGGCCGCTACCTGTACATCCGCCCGACCCTCATCGGCACCCAGTCCCAGCTCGGCGTCCAGGCGCCCCGCGAGGCCCTGCTGTACATCATCGTCACCTACATGCCCCGCCTCGACAGCCCCCCCGGCGGCATGCGCCTGCACACGTCCCCCGAGGACATGGTGCGCGCCTGGGTCGGCGGCTTCGGCTACGCCAAGGTCGGTGCCAACTACGGCCCTTCGCTGGCCGCCACCTCCGAGGCCCGGGCCCGCGGCTACCACCAGATCCTGTGGCTGTACGGCAAGGACGGCGAGTGCACCGAGGCCGGTGCCAGCAACTTCTTCGTCGTCTGGAAGCGCAGGGACGGCAAGACGGAGCTCATCACTGCTCCCCTGGACGACAAGCTGATCCTGGACGGCGTCACGCGCCGGAGCATCCTGGAGCTGGCCCGTTCGCGCCTGGGCGACGAGTTGGAGGTGACGGAGCGCAAGTACACCATTGACGAGGTCATTGAGGCCGATGCCGAGGGACGACTGGTCGAGGCTTTTGCCGCTGGAACTGCCGTAAGTGCCCTTTCTAAACAAGTCGCATTGAATGAACTGTTGAGCTGACCATGTTCTTCCAGTACTTTGTCTGCCCCGTCTCGGCCATCCACCACCGCGGCAAGGACATCAACATCCCCATGGGCCCTGAGGGCACGCCCAATGTCATCACCTCCAAGATCAAGAAATGGATCGGTGACATCATGTACGGCAACGTCGACCACCCCTGGGGCGTTGTCATCCCTGAGCGGGAGTAAAGCCGAAAAGGGGGAGTTACGAACGAGCGACAGCAACGATGTTGACGATGATGATTTGCTTCGGGTTTTGATTGCATGGGAAAAGTCGAGGACTGTATGATTCACATAAAGGATGAAAGGGCGTTCAATGGCGAATGGGAGCATGTCGCGAAATGGCAGTAATCTTGAAGACTGGGTGCTGCTGACTGGGGAAAATAGATACATGAGCGTATGTACTTGGTAGTAGTTCATGACAGAATAGGCGACAAATAGACAAAGATTCCTCTTCACTTGCCGGCAGTTCCCAGATGGGATCAGTCTACCAACATGGCTTGCAGTATCCTCATTGATTGAGCGTGGGCTTCTTCTTTGTAATTCTGCCACTCGAATTAGTAACCGGGTATCCTTCTTGAGTTCCAAAATCTCATTACCTCTTCGATCTCGTCAATGGCCTGGTTGCTTTCGGCGACAATGCGTTCAACGTCTTGCTGAAGAGATGCCATCCTTGAGTAGTGCTCGTCACTCTTCGCTGTGTCAACATCCGCAACGGGGCCTCTCTCCATACTCAGGAGTTCCTGGCGTAAATCCTCCTGAGACTGAGTAATGTCGATCCATTCGTGATGAAGATTATCCAATTCGATCTCTGCCTGTTTCAGCTCCTCTTTGACCTTTGCAAGGTGAGACTCGATTGTGGCCTGGGGGAAGTTCTTGGAATGGCAAAGAGTTGTCGAGAGCGGATACGACAAATTGTAGAAGAGCTCGTCCAAGTCGGTCGTCATTGAGGACGCAAGATCGGCAAAGTCAGAGACTTCTGAGGCCATTTCTTGCTTAGCTTCGGCCAACTTTTCGACTGCCGAGGTGTACAATTCGACGCCTTCTTGAGCAAACGCCTCTGCGAATGGCCATGTTTAGTCTATCATCCTGGGGGAAACACAGCTTGAGCCTGACACAAACCTTTGAGTTGTTCAAGCAAATCTACTTCCGCTGCCTTTTGCTCCTGGGCTTTTCTTTTGTTCACATCATTGCTGAAAGTGGCAAAGCATGCGCGGTACAGATCGTTGGGCCGGAGCTGCTCCTCTCGAGATGATGATGACAGAAATGGGGCCTTGGACGCAGAAAATATGCCTGGACTGCTCATGCGCCCAAGCAGAGTTGATGAAGAGAGGCCGTCGCCGGAGGACGAGTGACCGGGTGGACAATCTTCTTGGGGAAAGAGACGGTTCATAAGGGAGGACTGGTTCGAATGCGCCATGGTAATACAGTTGCGGGAGGGGTGGTAAGAAGCTGGATAAAGAGTGATGATAATGATGGACAGACAGACACGAGAGGTGGATTGAGAGGATGAAGCAACAGAGGCGGCAAAGAAAAGGGAACGATGGTTGGTGATGTGGAAGACGGAAGGAGCGAGTGCTACTCGGTGAGGACCTCGGGCAGGCGGTATTGCGTTGACCACCTGCTGCTTCGAGCGATACTCGGTACAAGGCGGCAGTATCTGAACGGCTTCAATCTTGCAGATTGCCTCACAAAAAGCTTCATTCTGCATCTTGGATCTCCTCTGCTGGCAATCCCAGCTTCTCCTCAATCGCGGCCACAATTGTCTGCCATGTTGCCATTGCGCCCTGGCCAACATCGCCGCAGGCAAGCCCCTTGGATATTGGCTGCAGCTCTTCGACCCATCCGTCTGCGCCGCCCATGACTTCGTTGAGGAGCTGGAGGTTGCGCTGCGTGATGGGATTGCGGAACATGGCTGTGTTCATGGCCGTGGCGACGAGGATCTTCTTCTTCTTGCCGTCCACGGCACCGTCGAAGTCCCAGGCGAGGATGATGGATGATAGGAGAGAGTCGGTCATGCCGTGGACCATCTTGGCGAGGGTGTTTGCACTGAGCGGTGCAACAACTGATGTTGCTGTTAGAAATCACATATAGATCTTGAAGCTGGTCAGCAGGGAAGTATCAGATACCTAATAGATCAGCCCCTGTTCTCGCAAGGTTAGCAACTCTGTCTTCCGAGGGCGAGGACACAACATTTCACTTGCATTTTCTGAGCTCAATATGCAGGATTGGAGCTCCGCGAGTCCATGGCTGGACCCATTCAGACTCATCCGTGTATATGGCGTCCACGTTTGGATAGCTGCGAATGTCCTCGAGACTTGGCTGCTCAGCTGCCTGGCTTTGCAGGAAATGGGCGGCGGAGCTGGTGAGCACGAGTCGGATGGACAGGTTAGGATGTCGTGAGAGACCCTGGATGATGTTGGGGATCTTGATGGTCGCTACGGATCCGGATGCAGCCAGCAAGAGATGCAGCTTTCCATCGCTTCGGGCTTGTGAGACGTCTTGCGCCGGATGGTCGGAGGATAGATGGCTGAGATGCTTCATACTGGGGTCTACAAGAGGGTGAAGAGAAGGATACGGAGCGCAAATGGTAAGCAGCTCAGAGCAGGGAGGAAGATGCCTTAAAAACAGCAATAACGGATATTCAAGGGATATTATGGATTTGATACGAATAGCCTACTTCCCGTTGCGCTTCACCTTGTGGCAAGAAACCGAGTCTCGGATGAGATTTGTCACCACTGCTGGTTGGTGAACCGATTTGTGTGATTGGTCAGCGGCTTCAATTGCATCACCCCTCCACCGATTCGGGCTATCAAGTCATCGTCGGCTCAACTTTTTTTCCTCGGCTGCCTTTTCTCTTGCAACAATCGCAAGTCACAACTCACAGCCATGTTTGCACGATCAGTCGCTTCTGTACGTCTCGATCCGAACTTGGGCCTCTCGTCAGGTCTCCTGAAGGAAAAAAAGAAGTGCCTTGCTAACTCTGAATGCGCCATGACAGAGCTTCCTGCGGCAAGCTGCCCGCCCAGCTGCTCGCCCGCTCCTCTCAGCCTTCCGCGCGCCCGTCGCCCCTCTGACGCCCTTCCAGTTCCGACTGCTGTCCGACACAACTCGTTCCGCCATCGATAAGGCTATTGCCTCGGCGCCCGTCGTCCTCTTCATGAAGGGCACGCCCGAGACGCCCCAGTGCGGCTTCTCGCGCGCCGTGATTCAGATCCTCGGCATGCAGGGCGTCAGCCCGGACAAGTTCGCCGCCTTCAACGTGCTGGAGGATCCCGAACTTCGAGAGGGTATCAAGGAGTACTCAGATTGGCCGACGATACCTCAGCTTTACGTCGACAAGCAGTTTGTGGGCGGATGCGACATCCTGGTCTCGATGCACCAGAACGGAGACTTGCAGAAGCTGTTTGAGGAGAACAAGGTCTTGGTCGACTCGGAGGAGGGGGAGAAGAAGGAGTAGAATTCATCTCGAGGAGGAGGCAATTGATGGGTGAGAATAATGTACGATACACGCTGTATGAGAATAATCATGACGCATGACAGAAGAACATCGCATGTTTCGACTCTAGTCAGGACATAAAGGAGATGCTGTATTTAGTCTACATTCTTTGCATTGTCTACAACGGGTATGCTGCTCCATCCGCTCTCATGTCACTGCCCGCCGACCAGATGGGCGTCTTTTCCACCGGATCAAGTGTGTACCGGATAATCTGCCCTCGTCCAAAGAGGCCTCGCTTCGGCCCTCCGCCGACAACCACCACCTTGTGGCCCAGCTTCCTCAGGCCCTCAATCACCTCGGGATCCATCGACTCTTCCACGCTGACCGTCCAGTCCACGGGCTTGCCGTGCTCGGGGAAGCCCGCGCCGACGCATATCCGAGGCGCGTCGAGGGCCTGCTGGGGGTTGAGCTTGCCGACGATCTGGCCGAGGAGGACCTGCACGTGGCCCTGAGGTTGCATGAAGCCGCCCATGACGCCGAACGAGGAGTGCAGCGAACCGTCCTTGAGGTTGGTGGCCATGGCGGGGATGATTGTGTGGTAGGGCCGCTTGCGAGGCTCCAGCTTGTTGGGGTGGTTTGCGTCGAGGGAGAAGTTGGCGCCCCTGTTCTGCAGGGTGAAGCCGCAGCCGCGGGGGATGATGCAGGTGCCGAAGCCGCCGTAGTTGGAGTTGATGAAGGAGGCCGCGTTGCCGTGGGAGTCGGAGACGGTGAAGTAGACGGTGTCGCTGCTCTGGAGGGCGGGCGAGGGGTAGTTTGGCTCGCCGTGCTCGACGAGGTCGAGGGCGCGGGATGGGTTGAAGAGGGAGGCGCGCTGGAAGAGGTACTTTTCCGACAGCAGGCCCTCGATGGGGACGGGCGTGACGGTGGGGTCGGCGATGTACCAGCTGCCATCGGCAAAGGACAGGCGGAGGGCCTCGATGATGGCGTGCAAGTACGGCGTGGTGTTGAAGTCCTCGGGCTTGAACGTCGGGATCTCGCCCTGCTTCTCGAGCTCCTGGATGATGCCCAGCGCCATGAGCGCGATGATACCCTGGCCGTTGGGCGGGTGCTCCCACAGCTCGATGCCCTCGTCGGGGTTCTCCTTGGCGAGCCCCTGGCCGCGGAACTTGAGCGAGATTGGCTCGACGGGTTCGCTGCCCTGTTCGAGGTGGTGCTGCAGGTCCTCGAGGGTCAAGTGGCCGCCGAGGTCTTGGACGACTTTGACAAGCTCCTCGGCGATCCGGCCCGTGTAGAAGCCGGGTTTGCCTTGCTCGGCGAGGGTGCGGAAGGTCCTGGCGAGGGTCGGGTTCTTCATGATTTCGCCGGGACGGGGGGCTCTGACGCCGTCGGGCTGGCCGGGGTCGACTTTGAGCATCTCTGCGTAGTTGGGCGAGGCCTTTCGGATGAGATGCTCTGCGCTTGACCACTTTTGTTTGTTCTTTCAGTCAGATATATGAACATGACTCGAGATGGCTAGTTGGAGAGTAACGTACGTAGTAGCCAGTCACTTCAGACACAGGAAACCCTTTTTCTCCCAGCTGAATCGCCGGCTTCAGAACCTCGCTCAGGCTCAGCTTGCCGCTGCCAAACCTCTCCACCGTGTCCACCCACCCGGCCGGCGCCCCGGGGACCGTCACGGCGTGGACGCTGGCCATGGGGATCTGCCCGACGACGCCCTCCTTGATGCCGAGGTCGGACCGGATCTGGTCGAGGGTGCAGTGGGCGCCCGAGCGGCCGGAGCCGTTCATGGCGAAGACCTGCTGCTTGGCGGCGTCCCAGTAGAGGATGAACATGTCGCCGCCGATGCCTGTTGAGCAGGGCTCCGTCATGTTGAGGCCGGCGGCTGCGAGTTACATGTGAGTTTTGTAAGTTCAAGGTTCTTTAGGAGACTTTATCATAACGCACCAACCGCAACGGCAGCATCCTGTGTGAGTAAGGATGTCAGTCAAAGTGGTCTTTTGTATAAGGGAATTGAGTGTTGTATTTGGATTCTCATATCAGCTTACAGCGGCGTTTCCACCCGCGCGCAGCACCTCGAGACCGCATTTCGCTGCCAAAGGCTGTGAGCAGGCGACGATGCCCTCGGTGCTGTGGACAACACTTCGGCGGGAGGGGAATTTGAACATGTCGTAGGTGGGATCCTCGAAGAGGGAGGAGCTTGAGAGAGGCATTTGGTGATGGATAATCGAGGATGTGCTTTCCTAGACTTCTACGGGGGGGCAAATCGTCAAGAGAAGGCCTCAATGAGTGTACGTATATCTTATGAAGGTAGGAGGTTGAAGCCAGGTTTGACGAATGAAAGACAGACACAAAACAGAGAGAGAGAGAGATTACAGAGTGAACAAACATGCAATGCATCAGCCTCGTCAACCCGGCTCGGCGTACGGGGCAATTCTTTGCGATATCTATGCCCTCCCATCAACTGACTAATAATGCTCGCAACCCGGCCAGCTCCAGCACCTCAGCAAACCAAATCGCCCGTAAAATAGCATCATAGAGGGGTTTTGGTTGTGCAAGCCGAGCGCGGGGAAGATAGACAAAAGGACCCTTAAGAGTGAATCGCTCCCCCGCTTGGAAGGTCTGAAAAGGGTAGGCAAACAGAGGGCGAGTTATTTCCGAGATCGGGGCGACTTTAGAAGTTGGCTTGCGTGGGATGATGCTATGAGCTACGAATATAGAAAGGCAAGGAGCGCCTTATACTTACAAATTGGATCCTTTGTTTTTTAACATACGCAGACGTTCTAAACAAGCTGATTACATTTTGATACTTGACGTTAGATAGAGTGGCAGCCTGCCTGGATATGCTGGCATATGATGATTTTGTTAGGTTGCTCCTTTCATCCCATACATACAGCCTTCACTCAGGCACTCAATCTCGTTAAAGCAAAACATTAGATGAACCCTTATAACCTGTTCTACATATGATACCTAAGCAAACAAATAAAATACAATCAAAGACCACCTCGTAAACAGACACATCACAGCCTCGACCGTCGACTGGCCCGCTCCAAATCCCGCAGCACATCGTCTACAGTGCCAACCGCATCCATCGCCATGCCGTATCCCGCTTGATACCCCGTGCCCCCGGCGCCGTAGTTGTGCACAAGGACCTTTTTCTTGCCGTCAATGACAATCTCCTCGCGCTCAATCCGCGCACCGCCTTCACGTGACGGGCGGAGGCCTGCGAAGGAGGCGATGATGTCGAAGGGCTCGAGCTCGGGGCAGAGCTTGAGACAGCGGTTGATGATGGACTCTGTCTCGTAAGAGTATGTCGCTCCATCGCTGTTTGCGTCAGTTAGTCAGTTGTGAACGAGAAACGCCAGTATGAGTTCAAACGGAAATCGGACTCACCTCACGCCCTTTTGCATGTAACCCCCTAATATCACATGCCCATCCGTCCCCGGCCGCGGAATCACATACGTCTCGTAGTCCTTCCCATGCCTCATCACGTTGCGCTTCACACGCGGGGCCTTGACAAGGACGACCTGGCCGCGGGTCGGATAGCACTTTTCGTCCTCAACGCCAGGCAGCGTCTTCGCCGCGATGCCGGTGCAGTTGACGACGACCCTCGTGGTGGGACTGGAGTACGCGGCCTGGATGGTGGGGAACCTGTGTCTGACAAAGTGCACGCCGTACTGATCCTTCAGCCGGCGGAAGAGGTACTCGATGTGCTTGGGCGCGTTGAGGGTGAGAGTGGTGAAGGAGATGCCGAACTTGACGCCGGCGGGCAGCTCGTGGCTTGGGATCTCCTTGAACTGGCGGCTTGTGAGCGGCGGTGATGGCATGGATGTGAAGAAGATGACGGCCACTTACATCCTCGAGATACTCTGATATCGCCTTGATCTTGTCATGGGGCACGTGCTCGTCCCAGTACTCTATCGAGGCTGTTCGACGGATGTACGCCTCGTCGCCATGCTCGGAGGCCAGCCTGGTGAGATGCGTGTAGCCGGCGCGATCCCACTTGAGCGCATTTGCATCGTTGCCCGAGATGCCGGAGAAGTTGCATCCAGCCCTTTGACATGTCAGTCGGTTGGTTCATCCAGCAGTAAGCTGAGCAATTCACTAACCAAGGCGACGTGTAGGTCGCAGATGTATCTCCCGGCAGATGCTCCGCGATGACAGTGATGAAGGGTCCCAGCCCCCTCTCAGCCAGCACGAGAGCGACGTCCAAGCCGATGATGCCCGCGCTACAGAACGATGAAAAACCACAGTGAGTGAGCGATTCCTTGATGTGACGATGAGAGCCCTGATGAAGGGGGATGGGGCATGAAACACTCACCCGACGATGACAATTGCGTCGCAGGCTGCCTTGCCGACGCGCTCGTTGTCGCTGTCGCTCCGGTGCATGCCGTCGATTTGCCTGGCGATGCTTCTCGATGGGTGACAAAAAGAAGTTCAGGCGAGAGATTCAGCTGATTGAAAGGCTACCTTATCGCCAATGCTCCAGGTTTTGAAGCTCGCTCCGCCCAGTATCGAAATCGATGGGGCCGGCACGTTGGGATGGGAAATGCGGATAAGGGAAGCCTCAGCCTCGGTTCACCAAACAAACAGAGGCACTGACTTGCAGGAAAGGGCACGAGCTTCTGGGGTGCAGGGTTCTCCCTTCATGTGGCGGAGCTTGTGTATGCATTATTCTTCCTTTTTCAGCTGAAATTGCGTCTGCATTATTTGTTTATTCGATGGCTGGGGAAATTTGGGGGCAGGCCGGCTGTAGCCCATGTAAGCCGATGCCGGTCCGGGTGGCTTGAGGAGTTTTGGCGTGACGGTTTTTGAATGGCCCTGAGTTGGCTGAGAGCCGGATAGGAACAGTATTCAGCGGATGGCGCCGGCTTGTGGTGAGATGTTTGTCTTATTGATAATTTAGCATTGTACGGCATTCAAGGCACGGCCCGGGAGACGATGGGGTGCAGTAGAAAGATGAAGTTGGTCACAGTACAAGTATATACTCACCCTGTAATATTAGTTGACACACTTGAGTTGATCATCACCATCACATATTTATTATGTTGACGCTGCTAGATTTGGTAAATTTTTACATCATACGAATAGGATCAGGCTCTTAAATACCCCTTCCGCATGTGTGTAGCCTTCGGGCAACTTATACTCGTGGAACGGTATTCTCTCAACTTACACGCGTCACTTGATGGATCCCCAGCAGCTACGTATCCATGGGCGTGCTGTCTGCAAGCTACTCAACCTATCACTAATAAGCACTTCTCGTTGCCTGTAGTATGCGGTATAATGGCCAAATCAAGAATTATTGCACTACGACGGTCAAGCCTGTCCGATAAATGGCAAAGAGAAGCATTGCTTCTTACTATGGCTAGCACAATGGTCTTGATGGCAGCTGAACCGACATCTCGGCTCCTTGCATAGGTACCTATACACCCGCTTATACCCAATGCTACCCTGGGCATTTGATCCCTCAATTGCCATTGCTCCGATATCTGGCCAAGAAAAAGTAGAGCTGGGTATCGCAGTTGTAGTGTGCTGAAAGCTGGCTCGCTGCAGGACGAGATGCACGATAACGACAGGAAACGTATAGCCTGAGGATTTGTATGTCACTAGATAATCTGAAAATTCATCATACTCGTCGTCACAGTGATTGACTTTGAAGATAGCCACTCAATCAAGACATCACTGACGTGAGCTAGATGACAAACTGTATCTGCGTATGTATGCAGATGTCGCGACTTCGTCTCCAAGTGGAAATGTGTTGGAGGATCCTTCGGACTGTAGAAGCTACCGCCAGCCGAGAACTGGGTGATTGGCTGCAATTGGGTTACAAATGTAACACATGTACGAGCATGGAGGGGAAATGTGAATCAAATGAGTTCATGTATTTAAGACGGCCGACTCCTCTGCTAAGGCTTCGACTTTCAAAAGCAAGCCATCTATATTGCAAAATCCTGAAATGACAGAAACGTGGATTCAGTCAACTGCTCGCAACCTGGTCTTCCAGATCCTGAAGCGCATCGAACAAGGGCGTTTGACAATCGTGACCGAGTACGAGAGCGGCAAGAATGAAAGCGTCTCCTTTGGCAGTGATGACTCCAACTCAGAGCCCGAGATCGTCGTCGTCATCAAGAATCCGCAAGTCTTTGTTCGGTTATGCCAGGCCTTTGACTTGGTAAGAAGACCGAACGCGCTCCACGATAAAAGCAACTGCTGATACCCTGAAGGGTCTGTCGGAGTCATACATGGTCCAGGATGTAGACTGCGACAATCTCATCGGACTGTTTTCAGTAAGCCCCCTGTTCAATTGTCTACATTGACCCTGGAAGACTCACTCTGGTCTCTGCAGCTTTATGTGAAGAACCAGCACGTTATAGGGGCCTCTGGCGGCAACTTTCTCTACACACTGATACCACGAGCAGCTCACTATCTCATTCCGTCAAATGACACCACAAATGCTCTCAAGAATGCGTCGTTCCACTACGATACTTCCAACAACCACTTTGCCGGCTTTCTCTCGCCCGACATGAACTACAGCTCCGCCATCTGGTCGGGCGAGCCAGGGGAATCGCTGGAGTCTGCTCAACGCCGCAAGATCCAGAATATTCTAGACAAAGCAGAGATCTCACCCAGTCACCACGTTCTGGATATCGGATGCGGCTGGGGGAACCTGGCCATTACGGCTGTCCAGCAGACGGGATGCCGAGTGACGGGACTGACGCTTTCGAAAGAACAAAAGTTGCTTGCTGAGGAGAGGATAAGGAGGCTGGCCTGCAGGATAGAATCACTATTCTGCTGTGCGATTATCGAAAGGCGCCCGTTCCAAAAGGTGGATATGACAGGATCATCTCTATTGAGATGCTGGAACATGTGGGAGACAAGTACATGAACAAGTACTTTCAGCATATCTCCAATTATCTAGTGCTAAAGGGAGGAAGGATGGTAGTCCAAGGCATCACAAGAATCAACCCTGTAAGACTCAAAAACCCCTTCTTCAATATGGTACTGATGACAGTTATCTGCAGTACAATTCGACCGGGGGAACAGTCGAGAACTTTATAGATCGCTACATCTTCCCCGGAGGATATCTCCCGAGCATCAACCAGCTCTTGACATCGATACACAACGGCTCTCAAGGCCACCTGGAGGTGGAGACTGTTCAGAGCATCGGCCCTCATTACATCCGCACGCTGCAGTGCTGGAGAGAGAACTTTGATGCAAACTGGGAGAGCATCCGGCAGGACTTTGTGGCCAAGAACGCGAGCGCCACGGAGACGGCGATTGAAGCCTATCGTCGACAATGGGTGGTATGTAAACCATCTCTCTATGAAGACTTGGCATGTGGCTGCTGACACTGGTTACTGCAGTATTACTTCCAGTACTGTGAGGCGGGTTTCAGGACTCGCATTCTGGGAGACTATGTCATTTCTGCTACTCGAACGCCTTGGCCTGAGATTCCGGCGAATGTGCCGCATTAGACGAGATATAACGATGGCAAGTATACACGAGCCTTCAAGCATGACGTTGGAATCCGATGTGGGTTGCCGTAGGGTATTTCGTTATCTACGTAGCTATCAGAGTCGAGCGAGTCGTTACTCAGACTTGTCAGATTGATCTCGGATGACTCCGTGGCTTCCGGCTTGATGACCATTTCCCAGTGAGATTGCATGAGAGAAATCAACAGTCGTCAGAACACTCGATTTCGCATCGAATAGTTGCTATTGAGAGCAATCCCTTCATAACCGCTCCATTATAGCCTATAAATGCTCAGTCGCTTCTCGGCTTTAAACGGCGGATCGGATCGCCGTTATCAGATCCGGCTTCGGCTCTAATCCACTTCCCCACGTCCTCCGGTTTACAGTTGCGTGACATTTCATGTTCAGCTGAAGCAGACGCAGATATTCACTCTTTTTTACTTTCTTTTTTCTTCTTATACCAAATTCCTCATCGTGATTGGGAAGTAGTCAGACAGATGGGTGAGTTACACGGCGCTCGAGGCTTCAGCGTGCTGGTCAACGGCAAGGTCTACCAGTCCCCGGACTCCAATGCGCCGGACGTCGGCCCCTCCTTTGCAGAATGCATGATCATAAGGGACGGCATCATCCAATACGTTGGTCCTGAGGCAAACCTGGAGGTGGAAGCTGCCAAAGCCGCCGGCGCTACGCTCAAAGACCTAGGCAATCACACTGTTCTCCCGGGATTCATCGACGGCCACTTGCACATTCTGCTGCTTGGACAGTCGCTTACCAAGGTTGGCTTGGAGGCATGCAAGAACTTGGAGGACATTCGAGCAGAGATCAAACAATATGCGGTGGCTCATCCAGATGTACCCCGTATCTTCTGCCGGGGCTGGATGCATAGCATGACGCCCGAGGGCGTCGATTCCACTCTACTGGATGACCTGGATGAGAGGCCGATCTTTGTTGATACCAAAGACTTGCACTCGACATGGTGCAACACAGCAGGCCTGGATGAGGTTCGTCGTGTCATGAATATTGCGGCCGATGCCCCAGATCCTGCGGGAGGAACTTTCCAGCGCGGCAAAGACGGCAAACTCAACGGCGTCTTCAACGAGAGCGCTGTTTTCGAGTACATCTGGCCCTTTACGGCAAAGGTGGCGTCCATCAAGGAGCGCAAGGAGGCTATCAAGGCTGCGATCAAGGCGTTCAACGCCGCTGGCTACACGGGAATGGTCGACATGGCCATGGACGAGACCATATGGGAGCCTCTGATTGCTCTGCGGAACGAAGAAGGACTAGGGGGCATGCGAATTGCTGCGTACTGGCTCATGAAGCCGAGTGACTCCCTGAAGGATGTGATTCCGCAGCTTGATCGTGCAATTGAGCTCGCAGGACAATACAACTCGCGCACAACTCCAGACTGCCGCATCGTCGGTATTAAAGTCATTTGCGATGGCATCATTGATGCATGCACCGCCTCGCTGACGCAGCCGTATTCAACGGGGACAAGTCCTGACCCGATCTGGTCCGAAGACTTTCTCAATCCCATCGTGTCTAAGGCTCATGCCGCAGGACTCCAGGTTGCGCTGCATGCCATTGGCAACCGGACGATACGCATGGCGATTGACGTCTTGGAGAAGAATACGGCCCGCTCGCGTCGTCCGAGGATTGAGCATCTTGAGGTTTCCGACGCAGAAGATGCGGCGCGCCTAGGCAAGTTGGGAATCACCGCCTCGATTCAGCCAGTTCACTCAGATCCCGCCATTCTGCGAGCCTGGCCAAGACTGATCGGAGACCATCGCTGCAAGAGAGCCTTTGCATACCGCGAGTTTGCGGACGGAGGCGCTCCTCTGGCTCTTGGCTCAGACGCACCAACAGCACCCCATCTGCCCATCCCCAACATGTACGTGGCCACGACGAGAAGATCGTACCGCGAGCCTGGCCTGGAGACTGTGGTCAATCCCGAGTTTGCGCTCACGGTATGCCAGAGCGTCGTGGCGGCGACGCATGGATCGGCGTACTCGGTTTTCGCGGATGAGTGGACGGGGAGCTTGAGAAAGGGGCTCAAGGCGGATTTCGTGATCTGCGATGTCGAGCTCGAGGCGGAGAGGTTGATCAGGGGCGTCGTGAAGGAGACTTGGTTTGAGGGAACGCAGGTCTACAGGGCATAGAAGTCATGATATTAAGGTATATTACGTTGGAAGAGTTAGCGAATGAAGCTGATTTGGAGCAACGGCTCGGTCTGAGAACGACGTGGATGTTGGCAAAAGATTTTATGATCAATCATTTGTTGAAGGTAACCGGATGGATACTGACGGAAGCTACCCGTGTTTGACAGCATGTACGATACGGTCAAGCATCTTCTGACTGTCAATTACCATATACAGATGTACATAGGGTCATTCTATCACTGGTCGTGATGCTCAAGGGAACAGGTAGACAGTTGGAACGAACGGCGAACTCTGCGCTGAGAAAAACACCTATGCAGCAGCCATGGAGACTGTCACTCCTACTTCTAAAGGACGTCCTCGAAGCATTCTCCAAAACCTACAATGTCATTTCCAACATCCTCCGGCGACTTGGACGGTTGCAGTGAGGTCTGTCCCCGTTGATCGCATAGCCAGGCCCAGATTTCTACGACACTCATCTTCGGCCATCCCCTACTCCTGCAGATGTTGATTTTCGATGTTACATCTAAAAATACGGCTTCTAGAGCGGACCCCGAATCGCCTCGAAACTGCAGGCCGCGGAGCTGACTCGAGCATGTACATATTCCCGTCGGCCGCGACGATACAAGGTATTAATCCCGATCGCCACCGACAAGAGCCCTTGCAGCAGGCTGAGGAAGAACAGCTTCTATCGCTTCTACATACAGTAATGGAAGCCTGCCAAGAGCCTCGGACGTCGCAAGCAGCAAACGAGGGGGGTTCTTCCGCCTCATCGCACAATTAATCAGCCCCCAAGGAAATGCTTGGAACGTCCTTGTAACCCCCCTTGATATGCGACCCGCCACCTGCGGTTCAAGAGGCCTTAGGTTGTTTTGCCGGTGCAAGTTTTTGCCGATACGATACGCCGACTCATCGCTGAGCTGTTAGAGCATACATACAGTAGAGCCAGAACGTGTGGCCATTTATGGGCATGTCCGAGGGCGTAAGAAATGTCCGAGCAGCTCCGCAAATGCGGCCATGAGCTGTGTCTTATTGGGCGGCAAACTTGGCTCGCATTCCCATACGATTAGTATGTATGTTCACACCCTTGCTCTCATGTTCGAAGTTGGTACAACGGGAAGAGGGACGCGAAGGGGAAAAAAAGGCTTGACGGCCCGAGGTTCTGGTGGGAAAAAAGGGGATTCCCGTCTGCCCATCACCCGTTTGTGGTGGCGACATCTTACGACTTGCAGAACTCGGTCTTGAGCCAACCCTCTCGATTCAGTCACGCTACGAGTGCAAACTCATTCATTAGCCTTCTTGCTCATTGGTTCGTAGTTGGTCACAACGATCTGTTAGCAGACATCACCAGCTGAAAGCGGAAGGCTTCCCTATTGGCAAGGATCAATAAGAATCTTTGGCCTCGCGCGAAGGATCCGGGCTTTCGCAGCCGAGGTTTACCGCACCAACAGCCTGCCCAGTTTGTCGATTCCTGGGCCTCTTCTTCCCAGCTATTCGGAGTCGCAATTAGGAACCGACGTCGCCCCCATGCTGCAGTGAGAACTCAAAACCAGCATTGTACAACCAGTAATCTATTTCCCGTCATCCCCCCTGATGACAAAGACCTGACGGGGAAGAAGTCCCAAGCCTTGGTCAACGGCTCGGCTCCGGCCTAGCCGGGATTGTGGAAGGAAAACAGTTTAACTGATCGCCATTCGGGGCCCCTTGAAGCGCACATATTACAGATTAGAAGACTTGTAGGCTTCCTCTTTTTCTTTTAGTTGCCTGCGCCGGTCGAACGGCTTGCATGGATCAGGAGCTCGGTAGTCAAAGACGGCGTTGGAACAGCCAGACCGAACCCCTGCAAGAACTGGAAACCACGGATACATATCCGGTGCGTAAAATTCTGGGCGCCCAGCCGTTGACCGCTTTGGTACGAGATACTGCATCATCCGCCTAATCTCGCGCGGGTGGACTCGTTCTGTGGGTTTCGGTTGCGGCTTTCGGGATTCCCTTGCCATGAATTAGTCACTCAAGCTAGACTTCCGACGGTGGCATAGAGTTAGCAGTAGCTTGTTGTAGGCAGGTTTCACTTGATCTTGATGGTAGCAATGCCTTATGAGGCTGTGAACTAAAGATCACTACCGTAGTCTGCTTGGAGAAAGATCGTCGACCGTTAGGTTGTGCTACAGAAGAAGAGCAGTTGCGAAGCTGAACGCCTAATGCTGACACTTATTTAGTAGCATATTAAAGGAAAGCAAGGTGGAGCTTCCATCTTATCATGGGTACTTCACGTATATCAGATCTTGAATCCGTGTAGTAAGCATTGCTTTGGTATAGAGTAGTAGTAGTATATGGTATCTAATAACGACGTTGATATTGCGAGCTCAAAACTTCATCCATGCATACAAACCCTCACAACGCAGAGTACTTGTTAATCAGCTGCAGAAGCTTGGCATCCACGTCCTTGGGAGTCGTGGCATTAAGGTAGTGGCCACCATCAGTGAAGGACAGATCCGTCTCCACGGAAGACGTGAAGGCCTTGATGTGATCCTTTGGCACCTCTACGCCGTAGACGGGATCCTGATTGCCCTGTAGACGTGGTCAATATCCGTCAACTGAGACAAAAGCCGGTTTGCAGAGCTAAGGACTCACCTGAATCCAGTAGACAGGGCACTTGATGTCCTGCACACGCCTCAGCAGGCCATCTCGCTCCAGGAGGTTGAGGAAGGCTCCACGCAGCTTCTTGCGCCCCTTGTCGCCAGAGTAGACCTTGTTGAGCGTGGCCTTCCAGAAGTCGGCCGCCTCGGGGGTGATGGCCCCGGAGAAGCCAATGTTGACGACGCTCTCCCGCAGCCCATCGTCGATGAGGAAGTCGGGAGTCGGCTCCTTGCTGAACAGGCTGTCGACGACGGGGCCCAGCATCGTGGCAGGATCCCAGCATCCCTTCTCCCGAGATGCGGCCGACTCGTAGTCGAGCGAGCTGCCGAGAATCAAGAGACCCTGAATCTGTAGTCGAGCAATGCCCACGTTAGCCTCGTATTCCGAGGAGAAACTCCTTGTCATGCTGGGAATGCTTGAGTAACACTATTACTGCTTGTAGTAATAGTACAAAGCAGGCTCTTCTTAGGCGAAGTAGCAGTGAGACACGCCAAACGGAGCTGAAGCCGTGCAGTAGTCGTGGAGAAAACTGGGGAGGGGGATGCAGACAGGGATAGGAGCAATTGATGGAATCAAAAGTCCATATAAGTGAATGTGTATTCCGTAGAAGAGCGAAAACAGCTGCTCAAACTTACCCTCTCAGGTGCCACGAGGGCCATTCTCGCCACGATCCATCCTCCCTGGCTGGTTCCCAGAGCAAAGGCCTTCTTGATGCCCAGAGCATCCAGCACCTGGATGGCCATGATGGCCGTGTCCCAGTAGGTAAAGTGTTCTGCCTCGGTCTCGGTGGCTCCATGGCCAAGGGGCTCGATGGCGAGCAGGTTGGCCGCGTCTGTGAGGGCCTTGTTGCCGAACTGTGTGTCGTACAAGGCAGAGGTCATGCACATGGAGTTGATGAGCACGACGGTAGGCTTGGTGTGATCGACGGCACCGTTGGAGAGGCGGTAGCCGGCAGTGATTCCGCCAAGGTGCGGCACTCTGATGGTGGTTCCGGCAGTCATGGTGAGAAGTGGAGGTTGTAGTCTTGCTGTAAAAGTGTCTAGTAGGGTTTCTCTAGTGAGAGTAGTAGTCGAGGCAGGCTCAAGGGCAGGATGCTGGGGGTTGTAGTAGTAGTATTGCTCGTTTGCTTCTGCTCCTTTCGTCCTTCTTTCTTCGTCTCGGTCAAGAGTCGAGAGAACTGGCAAAGGCGTGGGGGACTAAGTATTTACTTGTAGTACAGCCGATACAAGCAATAGAGCATGGCTCGACCGGGCCCCGGGGCGAAAAAGGGAGCCGTCTCAACGCCTCCAAGCGCACCGTTGAGTTGAGCCTCGGCCTCCCCTCCCCTCCAAACCGTTGGAACGAGCTTCGGCGGGGGTTGAAACCGCATTGCGTGGGCATGAATTTGCCCCGACCCGCATCTACCTTGGCGGTGAAGACACAGCGAAGACTCTCGGCAGAGGAACTAATATCCTATAGTAGTATCTTGCCTCCGGGCTCAGCGATGGGGGGAGAGGGAGAGGCGAGGCCGGTCTACCATGGGAGTACATAGTAGTAGTAGATAGACCGTGGACTGTTGGGTTGTAGCACTAGCTGTTCGCCTGCCTCTCGGATCGGAGCCATGAGACATGCATGTTCCCTGCAGACCGTTGCTGCTTTGGGCAAATCCATGGACATCAGGGCGGAGGCGGTTGTTTCAGGGTCATCTTCTTGTTCCTGATCGAGACGCTGGTGACGTGGGTATATCGGGTTGGCCATGCGACCGCAGACCGCATAAACTCAAGTGTCCCTGAACCGAGTCAATCGCCTGTGCCATCTGGATGGATCGAGCAATGCAATCACCTCGTACCTGCTTCTTCATGCCGTTGCTGGATAGTTCGTCCAGCGGCCAGTCCAGATCCATCTACGAGCTGGACTCTTGGAATCCCGGTAATGTGCGGAAATGGAGGGCATTGAGCAGGGGAGAAGCGGAGTTTACCATGCACCCGTAACTCAAAGACGCCTAGCTCAACTTGGCCATACGACAACCCAAGGCAGCTCTACCAGGAACTGAGCTACAGTACGGAGTATAGTGAGCCCGCACAGCTTCCAGTCTTCTGCATTGACTGTTGCTTGTCAAGCCACCTACGAGGCATCAGTTGCTCGAGGCGGCGGTCCGCCCCTTACCCTCCACTTGGTTCCTGTGCGCTAAACGAGACTGAGAGTAGCAGGAGATGCCAGTCGAAACTAATGGGCACGGCACAAGAAGATTGCCATTGGCCTGGCGCAGGGCGGCTCCCGGCCGGAGCGAGAGGAACTTGGGAAGACCGTCCAGGAACTCGCAGCAGCCTTGCTCATAAGCCGCAGAGAATGACTCGCAGCCCCGGCACTCACACGTCTGAGGGCACACTGCATCGAAATGGCACAGTATAGACAAAATATTCATACATACGAGGTTCGCAATAGAATCCTTTCTCACGTCGCACCAAATGGCAACTCAAGTCGGCTCTGCACAGGGATAACCAGGCACATGTACTCGTACATGTACTCGTATATAATAAGGTGCGCGCCCAGCCTGATTTACCATCCTCTGTTTGACGCTAGAGAGGAAGAACAAGGGCAAAAAGAGGTCTGGAATTCGCCGGACCGTTCTGTGTCTTCTCTTTGAGCTTTTTCGCCCAGTCTCCTTCCCACTTCAGGATGGGATCGAACCAGGACTCTGGTCTACAAAGTGGGAGCCAAACTGAACCACCGTACATGTACGTGTATGCGAGGGGCGAGGGACGAGGGTTACCCTTGCTCGCCTTTCTTCAGCAGTTCGCTAACCCACGTGAACCGCTGATCCTGTCAGATTATTATTTGGCATTGACCTTTGATAATTATTCCGTAGCCCCCAATGGACTGTGGACATAGTTGTCTGCCGAATATACTACCTACCTAACCCGTAGCCAGTTTAAAATAACTGCTTGCTGTGTCTTCAGGGAAGATTCAACTTTGCCCCTGGACAAGTATGTCGTGATAGACGGCGGCCTCGAGCCGCTATGGGGGCCGTTGCTGTGCATGAGGCATCAAACGACTGATCGTCGTCATTCTCCGGTTACGAATCGTGGGCTAGCGAGTCGTGCTGCCGCACACCTTTCGATTGTCCTCTCGGGGCAAAGGGGAGCCAAGGGAGCCTCTCCCACAATTCATATCCCGAACCCACCGTCATGGTGTCCACAATGATACATCGCCACCCCTGGCATGAGCCCGGTATTAGCGTCAAGCACCTTGTTGACAGAGGAAACACTAACTGAAAAGTTCAAGGGGCATGATAGGCGAAGTAAACCGGACTGTTAGAAGGCAGGCCAGAAAAAGAGAGAGAGAAAAAAGTAGAGAGGAAGCAAACCTTGGAAGTGCATGGTAGGAGTACATGTATGAAAGACAGCCTCGCGCCGCCCTCTCAGCTCTCGGTTCCATTTTCTTCCTTTCCCCCTCTGAATCGAGAGCCCGCATACTTGATCCATTCGTTTGACTTCAACTCCGGAATGCTCCATGGCTCCAGTTGAGGAACTCGTCGTGAGGGCCGCGGCGGCGGACACCCCGTCGGTTCTGCCAGGCCTGCCGGGCTACAACCCCGAGAATCTACAGCCATGGACCGTGCAAGTAACGGCAGCGATGACGGTCCTGGCCGTTGGATGCGTTATTCTGCGAATTATCAGTCGCCGGCTCAGAAAGCAGAAGCTCGAATGGGACGACAGAATGATTATCTTCTCAACGGTTGGTTGCCCTGTCCAGCGTGCCGTATCCTGTTGCTCTTCATGCAATATACAGTCAAGCAAGCCGAGCAACTACTGCTTGTCCTTGTCCCATTTGCTCTCCTTCGTTGGTTCATCTCCTCGAGAAGTAAGAAGCTAAAACATGTATCGATTTCACTTGATAGGGCTGGTATCTGGTCGTCGTCGGCTTCATCTTCGCCATGTACGACAACGGCATGGGCATCCACGCTGACAAGGTCCCTATGGGAAATATCGTCATGATGGCAAAGTGGCTGCTGGTGGCCGAAATCCTCTACGCCTGGAACCTTGGCTGGACCAAGATCAGTCTCCTGCTCATGTACTACCGCATCTTCCACGTGCCCTACTTCAAGAAGATGGCCTGGGCGGTGGGCGGCTTCGTCATGGTCTGGGTCGTCACCATCACGTTCCTCTTCATCTTCATCTGCGTCCCCGTCCAGAAGCTGTGGTATCCCCAGCTGCCGGGCCACTGCATCAACCAGGTCGGCACGTGGATTGCCAATGCCTCGTCGACCATCTTTACGGATCTGGCCATCCTGATCTTGCCCGTTCCGCAGATCTGGAACCTTCAGCTGAGGACCGCGGAAAAGATGGGTTTGACCTTTGCCTTTGGCTTGGGTTTCTTGTATGTGATGCGGCGGTTTCTTTATAGCCAGCTCCTGAGCGTCCCATATTTGAAGCTTCATGTGCTAATCGCCGTCTTCAGCGTCGTCTTCGCCTCTGCATACCGAACCTCGGTGCTCTTCACCTACAGCAACTCGGATCCCACTTACACCCTCGCCCCGACGGTCGGCTGGACAGTCATCGAAATCTCCGCCGGCATCATTTCCGCCTGTCTTCCCACCCTCCTGCCGGTCCTCCGCCTCTTCTTCAAGAAGATCGGCATCAAGCGCAACTTCTTCTCCCCGAGCCGCGGCGGAACCAGCGGCAAGTCGTCCAACCTCAACAGCAAGATGTCGGGGCCCAGCCAGAACAGGAGCGTCAACGCCCTCGACGACGGCACGTCGCGCAGAGCCAACGGCAACGCCTTTTACCGCCTCGAGGACGAGACCGAGTCCGACGGCAGCTTCACCGTGGACTCGCAGCAGGCCGTCATGAAATCGAACTTCAGACCAGACACTAAAGGGTATGAACACCACTTCAGATCTTTCCGGAATAACAACGAGAGCGAGCCTGGGGCTGACCTAACCAGGGACGATATACCACTGCACGGGATCCGGGTCCAGACGGAGTTTCAGCAATCGACTTCTCCTAGGTAAATCACGGGTTTTTTTTTTAAAAAAACGCGCGGGCGTAATTGAGTTGGTCGGCTTTCTTTTTCCTTTATTCGCTCGTTTAATGGCGGGAATCTATGATGGTTCCTGTGTGTCGCATTTTTAGAAAATCGGATCTAGAAAATATGGGATCATCGGAAGGGGAGAACCTGGCAATGAGATTGTTGCGGGTTCAAGATTATCAGCTTCTGCGAAGTACACGCCCTCGTTGGCAAGCGATTTGAGTTCTGGTTATTGTTTGACATAATGTTTGGAGATACCACTGGAGTATACACCGAGTTGGGACAATTGATATACAGTACGATTGTCCAATAAGATTTGATTTACTTCATTGTGTGAGCCGTGGCGCAACCAGCGCCGTGTCTCTATTCAATATTGTTGGTGTGTTGATGTTAACCACTCGCGTGGAGTGCGAGCACAGTTACCGACTTGAAGGCAAGCAGTCAGGTACCAACAGTCGAAGCTTTCGTTCCAAGAGGAACCTGGCCGGCCCTACCTAGCTTTTGAAGTCAGCATCAAACCTATGAGAACCTACCCCTGGGGACATTTCTGAAAGAGTGGCTCAAGCCTAAATGGCGAGAACCGCTTTCGAAGGACCAGCTAGTCCGAGGAAGGGCGTAATAGAGAGCTAGAGACACAGATCAAAATGAACACCGACCACAGGGATCAAGCCGCCAAGTTTGTCCAGTGGGCAAAAGGCTTTGATTGATGAAGCTGCCAAGGTCACTCCAGAGGCATCAGTACTCTGGGCCGGCGTCTCTCATTCTATCGCTTACCCGGCAGAAGCAGCAAACAAATATGGCTACTTTTACGTCGCTGCTCGTATGCCCTTTTAGGCCCCCGTTGAGCCCCTCCTATTCTCTCACAAAGACAGCCATACTGGTTTTTCCATGTCTGACGATCTGAGGGTGGAATTGGAGACACATCGTCGAGCTGCATCAGTGCATCCTGGGGCTTCGGTTCAAAAACGCCTCGAACATCTATTAGAGTAAGCTCATCAATTTGGCTCCTGGACTGCTCCATAGCGGTCAGGTGAGAGCTCATGGTCGAAAACAGCCCGAGATGGATAAGTCGTTGGGCAGGGACTCCAAAAAGATGAAGTTTGCAGGTTAAGCTTGGAACTTTTCTCTTATTGACAACCCTGGAGCTCAATGTCTGGCTGGGGATCCCGTTTGATCTTGTCATAGATCACAGGTTGTTCATTGCAACGACGACTGTTACCAAGGAATATCGAGGCCCTGCCGTTGAGCCCCTCGATTTCCACACATAAAAAGTTCATTTCCACACATAACTAAACTGCATTAGGCCACCCAGTGTCTTATCAGTCAAGGCACATACTGTCATCTTCAATCCCATCCATCTTCAATCCCATCCATCTCCAGCCCCATCCTCTTTTACCTTCTGAAATCTCAACCTGCGAGAATCATATGCCTTTATATACATAAAGAGCAAGTCAGCGCTGCTAAAGATAAGGAGGAGGAAGAGAAGATAGCTAGGAGAATAGAAAGAGGATTCTATTCTGATGCTTTAGTATAGAGTATGCGCAAGAAGAGTAACCACACAAGCAGAGTGCAATCGCCTACTCTGCGTCTGCACTGGAAATAGAAGACAGTATGTCTTTTCTGCACAGAAACACTATGGGGAGCGGCGCCTTACTTAATGCGGTTTAATTATGTGTGGAAATGAACTTTTTATGTGTGGAAATCGAGGGGCTCCCTGCCGTTTTCATTGCAAATTGCCTCTTTGGGTAATTGCCCGTTTTGGCACGGTTTATGGAGAATGTCTCTTCCACAAGATTCATCGTGAACTTTTCTGCTCCGTAGGACCGCCTCGGCATTCTTAGAAAGTCCGCAGAACGAGACCGAGACTCACCATATGGTTGCCAAGCATGTTGAGATGGGATCCGACAGGTAGGCGGCCAGCTTTGTTCGTGGTCATATTACCAGATTGAGTATCATACAAGTCGTGGTCGTGTGCCTGGGCCCTGTTTTACAAAGCGTAATACTCCTGACAGTCATTGCAGGCACTTGACTCAGAGGAAGATACTATGAGTCTGCAATTGGAGGTAGAACTATAGTAATCACAAGTCCGGGCAATGACTGAAACAGATTCGTCCTCAAGAACTGCGTACTCAATTGGACACATCGCATTAATCAGCTATTCATACACTCCCCAAAGAGACAACACCATACGAATTACACAAAAGCAGAAGGAAGCAGGTGCTGAAGAAGAGCAAATACAGCCAAATCCAGGCCTTCGGGATGGAGTTTTGTCTGTTACAAAAGATTCTGGTCAATCTCGAGTTCACTTTGCATGTGCATGGAAGGCTTGGTCGACACAATCGCGTTCGTCGTAACCCAAGCATTATGCCAGGATGTGTTGTCGGCCTTGTAGAACTTGTCCAACGTAAAACGGTACAGCGCTCCCCTTTGCAAGAAACAATAGTCTTCGAGATATAGTCTTCGCTTACACATCACTTAGATGAACGCAAGTCAGCCTTTATTATAAGCAGACATCCCATCAGGCATGGGAGCTGGCTTCAGTCACTTGGTGGTACTAGGTACCGTTAACTACCAATGGAAATAGCCTTGTACGAGAGTTGTAAGCAGAGGTGGACATGCATCTGGCCACTTATCATGATTCTCAGGCCACTCATATATAGCAAAGCATCGCACTAGCCAAGGTGGTCTACAACTCTCTTCTGCCGAGGTCCTATTTAGGAATGTGTTTTCGACTTTCCCCTCATGGAGGATTGGTTGATGTAACCCTTCGCATAAAGCTGTGCGATTTTCTCCTCTGAGCAGCAATTGGTAAGAGCTATTGAGTAAGAGAAGAGGATTTATTGTCCAGAGTTTATTGTCCAGAGCAGAAGCGGGCGCAGATGAGATGAGTTATGTATTTTGGCTATATAAAGAGTTCCACAGATCAAGCTACGATAATTTGCATGTGTCTTTTGTTAACGCCCAGTTAGACGGGGAACTATTGAGTCGACTTGAGAGAACACGGTTAAAGGTCATGGGATTTCCAAGTCATCTATGATAACTATAATGTTCACTTGGTTGTGGTGGACATCTTGCCAACAGCCAGCCGCAATTTGAGGACATTATCCAATTGTGACACGTCATGAATTACCTCCACAGCAACACGAGGCAAAATAGAGCAATTTTCCCGATAGATTACCATCGAATGCGTATCCGACTAGATCGAGCCAAAGAGCCAAGCTACTTGGCGGAAAATTGCATTGCCCTTTGCTGCGTCATGCAGGCAAGGCTCGGTGCTTATTGTGCAGCCTGCATCCATCGTCATCGGGTGCTTCCATCACCAGCCTTATAGAGTTAAGCTTTGGCTGGAGTCTTAAAATTAGACATCCTTGCAAGAGAGCTGTCAAATCTCTAATTCGCCGACTGAGCCAGCCTTGTGGATGTATATAAAGAGACTTCTGGACCGCTGTAAGTATACAATCCGATCTGATCCACGCCGATCTCCAAACACCCTGGAGACAACACACTCCGTACAAGATGAAGGTTCAACTCCCTTCTCAGCCTCTCCCCGCCCTGTCTCTTACAAAGTGACTAAGACATATATCCAACAATAGGTCTTCGTTCTCGCCTCCGCCCTTACTGGCCTGGCTTCGGCCGCCCCCTCAGCCCTCGCCAGCGTCTACTACGAGCAGTGGTGGGACCCGGGCTGCAACGGCCGAGCTCTGCTCGGAGGCACCCTGACCCAGGGCTTCTGCACTGTCGTCGAAGACTTCCCTGGGCAAAGTGTCAAGCTCACCCTGAACAACCCATGCCCTGCCGGCACCACGCCTCAGGTTACAGTTTCAAGCTCTAATGACTGCGACAATGGGCCGGTTGACTGGACGTTTGGTGCGACGGGCGAGTGTATCGATGTGTCTATCCAGCCATCTGCGATTCACTTGAACTGTGTTTAGAGGCGGCTGAAAATGGACGATATATGAGAAACCATGAGGCTTTGGAGAACATTGAAGAATGAGCGTATGGTTTATAACGTCCGGTGATAGGCGGAATAATTCCAAGAGTCAAGACCAAATCTCAATGTTGGAAACCCTTCGAAGTCACTTTTGTAGGCAGTTGTGGCAAGTCAATCACACCTTGTCTATTGGATGAGAAACTGGACTTGTATCAGACGTGACGCGTTGGAGAGCTCCGCACGTATGACTGGTGTTTCGCCTCCGAACATGATGAATCGTAGAACCAGGCGGATGATAGGCATTGATCCGTGCAGACAGGGAGCCAGATTAGCGGCATCGGTTGGGCTGCATATCGCGGGCAGCATGCTGGTGGTTCTGGTCGAGCAAGGTATCCAACGCACCCGGGCGAGGCTTTGCTTGCGAGTCCGATGTTGTTTGCTTCATGCATGTTATCCTTACCATATCTCTTGCCTTGATTCACATGCGTCGAACGCGTATACATAGTATCGCTCCCCTGTCCCAATAGCCACAATCAACCGCTAAAGAGAGTCGGATTCTTCCAGAAGAAGGCATTGGCACACATGTGGGACAGCTTGTGAGCTAGCGTGTAAGTGACTGTCCGGGCAATTATTTGAGAGTGAGAGATATTGCAAGCCATCTACGAAATACAAAAGTGAAGTCTCAAGTCTACGAGATCATAGATAGATACAACAACCGCAATTTGCCTTTGCAAAATAAGAAACTCAGGTGATGATGCATGTTATATGTTGAATGTGCCTTTGAACGGACCTTCGGAGTCCGAGTGGCCGGAGCACAACTCATGGAGGGTTCCCCCCCATAGCAGATCGCAAATCGCCAATCGCCGGCAGCTACTGTAAGAGGACACGCACAGCGAGGCATCGATAGCCTCCTGCTAGCAAAAGGTGGTTGTGCACGGCTTTGGGTTAGCAGTGCGGAGAAGAAGGTGACTTCTTAGAAATCGAAGGCCACAGTGCACTGTACGCATTCCTTCTTCCTCCAACTGACACGGAGAGGACGGCACTTGACTGCTGCAGTACCGAGAGCTCACCCTGGGAGAAGCCCCTCCGCAACGTGCGAGCCACGGATAGTTGCATCCGAAGCGAAGCGGCAGCATCGAGTCTCCTGATTCCCATCGACCAGCTCGCCCCCCTTGCCCCGATTCGAACAGCTTCCACCCTCCACCAGAACCCACTATAGAACTACTCGTACGCGTACATGGCCCGAGAGACCCCGCCTGAGCTATGCACAGTAGAGCATGTCGACGCGGGTCTTTGAAATTGCGAGGCTTCGGTTCGTCAGCACGGACAGCGATGACACAACCGCCGCCAATGGCGTTTCACCGCAGATCCAGATGAGGCCTGCGAACGGCGTGATCGCGACATTGGCTGGCGGACAGTGACATGCTGGAAAACGCGGGGTTCGTCCCTCCGGACCCCTCCTCTAATGGCTGTTTGGCTGCTCTCCTCCTCTTCGCTTGGCGGTTGATACGGGCATTTATATGGTTTGCTGTTTCCTCTTTTTCTTCCTTGTTCTTTCTCTTCCCTCTTCCTTCTCTGTGTCCTTCTTTCCCTCGAGTTCATTGTTAGCGGATCTCGACAAGCTCAGCCAAACTTGGGCTCGCACTTACATCAACCACTACCAGATACCCCATTGACTGCAACCCTTTTCTTCGTCTTCAGTCAATCCACAACAACCACATTAAAAAAAAAGCAAAGATGGGCGAATCCAAGTGCCCCGTCAACCACATCAACGCCGCAGGCCACGGAACCAGGAACAAGGACTGGTGGCCTGAGGACCTCAAGCTCAACATCCTCCGCCAGCACACAGACGTCACCAACCCGCTCGGAGCCGACTTTGACTACCCGGCTGCCTTCAAGACGCTCGACTACGATGCCGTCAAGAAGGACCTTACGGCCCTGATGACCGATTCCAAGGATTGGTGGCCCGCCGACTTTGGCCACTATGGAGGTCTCTTTATCCGCATGGCATGGCACAGCGCTGGCACGTATCGTGTCACTGACGGCCGTGGCGGTGGTGGCCACGTAAGACTGAAATCAACAAACCGTGACTCATGATGGCAGCATCACTAACTCATCTCTCAAACAGGGCCAACAACGATTCGCACCCCTCAACAGCTGGCCCGACAATGTGAGCTTGGACAAGGCTCGCCGCCTGCTGTGGCCCATCAAGCAAAAGTACGGCAGCAAGCTCTCGTGGGCTGATCTCCTCATCCTGACTGGCAACGTGGCGCTCGAGTCCATGGGCTTCAAGACGCTCGGATTCGCTGGTGGCCGTCCAGACACCTGGGAGGCTGATGAGTCTGCCTACTGGGGTGGCGAGACTACGTGGCTGGGCAACGATGTCCGATATGCCCACGGCTTCGAGGGCACCAAGCCTGGATCTCACGGTGTCATTGATGCCGACGAGAAGAGGCACACTGATATACACTCCCGCGAGTTGGAGACTCCCTTGGCTGCGGTATGTCTTGTCTTTCTCGACTGGTGTTCAGCTACGATGAGCATTGCACTGACTCTGATTCTCATGACAGGCGCACATGGGTCTGATCTATGTCAACCCCGAGGGTCCTGATGCCAGCGGTGACCCTGTTGCTGCTGCTCGTGATATCCGCGTCACCTTTGGCCGCATGGCCATGAATGACGAAGAGACCGTCGCTCTGATTGCTGGTGGACACACCTTTGGCAAGACTCACGGCGCTGGTCCCTCAAGCCACGTCGGTCCCGAGCCTGCTGCTGCTCCTCTCGAGCACCAGGGCCTCGGCTGGGCCAACAGCTACGGCTCTGGAAAGGGCCCTGACACCATCACCAGCGGCCTGGAGGTGACCTGGACCAAGACCCCGACCAAGTGGAGCAACCAGTACCTGGAGTATCTCTTCAAGTACGACTGGGAGCTCACCACCAGCCCTGCCGGAGCCAAGCAGTATGTGGCTAAGAACGCCGAGCCCATCATTCCTCACGCCTATGATCCCAACAAGAAGCTGCCGCCCACCATGCTGACCACGGATCTGGCGCTGCGCTTTGACCCTGAGTACGAAAAGATCGCCCGTCGCTTCCTGGAGCATCCCGACCAGTTTGCCGATGCTTTTGCAAAGGCCTGGTTCAAGCTGACGCACCGTGACATGGGACCCCTGAGCCGATACATTGGCCCTGAAGTCCCCAAGGAGCAGTTCCCCTGGCAGGACCCCGTCCCTCCCGTTGACTTTGCTTTGATCAACGAGGGCGACATTGCTGCTCTCAAGAAGGAGATTCTCAACTCTGGCGTGGCTCCTAACAAGCTCATCTCGACCGCTTGGGCTTCTGCCTCGACGTTCCGTGGCAGCGACAAGCGAGGCGGAGCCAATGGTGCCCGCATCCGTCTGGCGCCCCAGAAGGACTGGGAGGTGAACAACCCCCCTCAGCTGGCCGAGGTCCTGCAGGCACTCGAGAAGATCCAGAAGAACTTCAACAGCTCCCAGAGCGGCGGCAAGAAGGTGTCTCTGGCTGACCTCATCGTCCTGGCCGGAGCGGCAGCCATCGAGAAGGCGGCAAAGGATGCCGGACACGACATCACCGTTCCCTTCATCCCTGGCCGCAACGATGCCACCCAGGAGCAGACGGACGTCCAGTCTATCGACCACCTCAAGCCCGTCGCCGATGGCTTCCGCAACTACGGCAAGTCGACACCCAGAGTCAAGCTGGAGCACTTCTTGGTCGACAAGGCCCAGCTCCTTACCCTCAGCGTGCCAGAATTGACCGTCCTCATCGGCGGTCTGCGTGTTCTCGGCACCAACTATGACGGATCGTCTCACGGTGTCTTCACTAACCGTCCTGGCGCGCTGACCAACGACTTCTTCGTCAACCTCTTGGACTTGGACACCGCCTGGAAGGCCAACCCCTCTGACATTGACCTCTTTGAGGGAACCGACCGCAAGACGGGTGCCAAGAAGTGGACTGGCACTCGCGTCGACCTCGTCTTTGGCTCTCACCCCGAGCTCCGCGCCGTTGCCGAGGTCTACGGCAGCTCCGATGCCAGCCAGAAATTTGTCAAGGACTTTGTGGCTGCTTGGACAAAGGTTACCAACCTGGATCGCTTCGACCTGCCGAGAGACTCTCCCTTTAGGCCTCGCTTGTAATTGGGGCTTGCGCATCTACGCCGCTCAGTGTTTTGGCAGCATTTGAACCGATGTAAATGTGGTTGTATGCACTTCAAAGCAAAGCATCGAGTTATGTAGATAATAAAAAAGTAAAACTGTAAATGCGTATCCCTTTGATGTGATTGATTCAGCTGCTTGATGAAACTTATCGTTTGATCATACCTTAACCTCATATGAAGATACAAGTGACAACTAGTTCCGATGTCAGAACAAGGGTGATGTCAGGAGCATTTGTCAAAATCCCACCAATGAAGCAACACGCAATTCTGTTATTTTTGAATGCCCATCCGCTCAACGACCCTGGACCCTTGATCTCTCGGAATGGCCGCATAATCAGATCGAGCTTCCTCCATATTCACATGTCCGAAGCCACGGCCTAACCGCAACTAGTAGATCAGAATAGTAGTAGCTGTCGCTGTCTTCCTACGCCCAGGTCCAGATCTCAAGCTAACAACAAGACTCTTCGATTCGCTCAAAAGCGGATCCGTCTATAATTGGCCACGTCCATCCGCGGAAGCTTGTCAAACGTCAAGCACGCAACAAGAAGGTGGAGGTTTCCTAATTAGTTAGTTGTATCCGGGATCCATGACTCAATGACGTGCTGTCTATGATGCTAATAGCTGAACAGCCGATTTAATAACACATGTGAATCCCCGAAAGATGTCTATTACGTTCTTGTGTTCGACGAGGAGCACTTTATACATCTTGCATCTTCCACGCTTCCGTGTTCTTGCAACACCTTCACATTGCGATTAGAACTGCCATAGCCTACAGAATCCAGATCAACCATGGCGACAACAATGCAAGCATGGCAACTCGCCGCTCCAGGCACCATCGAAGAGACGCTCAAACTCATCGATAATGCAGCTAAGCCAGCGCTGCCCCTCCACAAGGGCCAGATCCTCGTCGAGGTCGTCAGCGCGGGCCTCAATCCCGCGGACTACAAGACGGTCGAGATGGGCTTCTTCTCCAGGGCCATCCTGTCCTTTCCCAAGACGCCCGGCATGGACCTCAGCGGCCGCGTCGTCGCGACGGCAGATGACGTCGAGGATGTCAAGGCCGGAGACGTCGTGCTGGTCCGCCTGGATCCTACAAAGGCGCCTGGCGCGCTGTCTCAGTATGTCGTCGCCGAGCGCGACGGGTATGCCGTCTTGCCGGCGGATTTCGATCTGGATGTCGCTGCGGGCGCGCCGACGACTGCGATGACGGCATATCAGACGATCAAGCCATATGTCGAGAAAGGCTCCAAGATCTTTATCAATGGCGGATCGGGAGGCGTGGGGACGTTTGGCATTCAGATTGGAAAGGCTCTCGGATGTCACGTCGCCGTCTCCTGCTCCACGAAGAAAAAGGAGCTCTGCGAGAAACTGGGGGCCGATGAGATCTTCGACTACAAGGCCGGCGACTTGGTTACGCAGCTCAAGCAGAGCGGTCAAGTCTTTGACCTCATCGTCGACAACGTCGGCTCGTCCCTCCCAGGTCTCTACCAGCAGTCGAAACATTATCTCAAGTCGGGCGGAGCCTACGTGCTAGTGGGCGGTTCAGCATCTCTGAGCAGTATCAAAGGCGTTACCATGGCGAAATTCGTCCCTTCGTTCTTGGGTGGAGGGAGGAACAAGCTCGTCACGTACATGACGTCGAATAACCACGATGATCTGGCGCAGATTGCACAGTGGCTTGGCGAAGGGGCGATTAAGACGATTATTGATGCGACGTTTGAGTTTGACGAGGCTGCGCAGGCTTATGCGCATCTGAAGAAGGGGTCGAGTGGTGGCAAGGTCATTGTTCACGTCTCGAAGAAGACCTGAAGTTTGGTCTGGTAAAGACACATTCTTTTCCTGCTCAGTGTAAACCCTCTTCGCCAGCAATGTTGTCACTTAAGCGAGTTGTCCATAGTTTCCTTTAATTTTGACTTCGTTTGTCTTCGTCAAATAACGAACACCATTGGTATGAGGCTCTGCATATACGCCTTAATGTTGTAATCCAATCACAACACGGTGTACTGTCACTATTGCTCACGATTATAGTGCTGATGTGATATGTGAATCTTGGATTTATATTCATAACGATCTCTTAACTAGTCTGCTCCCACTTCTCGTCCAAGTCGTCCTAGCAACCGTCCTCGCCCTTAACTGCGACCTCGCCCTCAAGGCTCGCAAATGTACGAGTAGCACACCAAGATGTTGCTCAAGCTGCACGCCGCGCTGAACTCATTGCAGTCCGTAACGCTGTTATCCCCATTGTAGCACGTGCCCTGGACGCTGCCGTCTCCGCCCGCAATGTAAAACAGCCAGGTGCCATCGCTCTGGAGGTAAAAGTTGAGGTTGCCGGTGCCGCACATGCCGTCGAGCTCAAAGTAGTTGGAGCCGGTGGACGAGAGGCCGTAGACGGGCGTCTCGCCGGCGATGACGTGGCCGGTGCGGTCGCCGTTGAGCATGCAGTCGCAGTTGTAGTAGTTGGACGGGCAGGCGACGGCGTAGGACTCGAGGCTGCCGCCGAAGCCGGGGGCGATGGAGCAGGGGCCCGTCAGGATGTGGAAGTCGGCGGCGACGACGCTGGCGAGGCTAAGCGCTGCGAGGACTTGGGGGATGGAGAACTTCATGGCTGGATATAGGATGGCTGGGATACTTGGTGTATCAAGATAGGAGTGAGATGATAGACTGGTGAAGAGCTGTCGTTGTCTTGTCTGTGTCTGCTTCTCGTCATGACTTCAGACGGCGAAGACCTCCTTCTATATATACATGATAGTACTAACTGCTGATGGAGATATACTCGGGCAACGATTCTCGGGCAACGATCGTCGTCAGGACTTAAGCCTCTAAGTCGCTTCTACCCATCAAGATCCACTTGATGCATGGAGAAGCTGTGGGAGGCATTGTTAGTTCCCGTAGGTTACTCTGTTTCACCTTCCCCTTATGGGATCATCTATCCCAGACGCTGTGGTCAGACGGACCGTCGGCACAGTTCGACTCTTGTCGTTCATCACGATACTACATATCCCAAAGCCCAAGGTTGTTGCCCAGCAATACTCCACCCAGTCGGCGTAAAAAGTTGTCAACTCCCAGGCCAGGGGGGTACGTCAGAGATATGGCCGTTGCCCAGTTTCCTATGCCTCGCTTGGCGTACCGGCAGGCATCGTATAGTCCTAAGATCTCACCACGGCCCCGTGCCAAGATGTTGATCGTCTGAGAGTTGAGAAAATGCATCCTGCAGGGCGTGCTGAACTAGGACTCCAGCTATACAGCCAATATTAACGGAATAGGCATTCTTCGGAGGCCATTGCATCATACGGTAGCATGGACCTGCCTATCTAGGGCATAGCAGCTCGACTCGATCCACGCGTATCGGAGAAGCGTTCTGGAAACTGTTTGTAGATGGAGAAGCATCAATACTACCAGTAAGCAGTCACGATGTACGGGGAGTATCGGGTGGTATGATGGCAAGTTTCATCTCTATCCGTTGGGTATTCCCGACGGAAATGGCACGCAAAAGAACAAGAGCCAGCAGGTACAGCATTTCTCTGATGGAACTAACACCGCACAGAGAAAAGGAGACGGAATCGAGAAGCGGTTCGGAATTGAGTCATGGAAGCTTACGGTTGAATGCGCTACTGCAAGGATCTTCCCCAGGAACGCGCCGGTTCAGCCTCTATCACCCGGATTAGCAAAGCTACTACCACCGGTTAGAGCTGTGATCAGCCTGCTCGAACATTGGCTGACCGCAAACCGTTTCTTTGATCGCCAGTCCTTATGCTTATATTAGACGTCCAACAAGAGACGTCCAACAGGTTGGTGCGGAGCGACCTTTCCGAGGCCGTGTTAACCGAGTCATAAGCTGGGCTGTGGCGGAGACGAGCAGGATGAAGAGGAAGTTGATTTGTGGATTAATGAATTCTTTGGTCCATTACGCGGATTGTAGTGACGGAAACGTGTCGCGGCAAGCGATGCTATGGGGCTCCCCATGGGGTATTGCTATGTAAGTGCTTACTGAATGTCCTGCGTGAACCTGGATTGAGGCATTGGTCAAGTGGGCTTGCTATAGAGTCCTAGAGTTGAATACGTACAGGAGATACACAACCTGTGAACAAAAAATTAAGGATACTATCGCTCCAAAGTATTTCGGACTCATGAAGGTTTCATAGCTAATGTTTTACTTGTAGATTGAGAACTTTGTGTACCGAATGCCCTCAAAGACATGAAACACAAAGGCACTCTCATTACATCTTGATGTGATCATGGAGGCTTCACGAACCCACCGGAGACATAACATAGATAACACCCCCTCTCGCCAAGCAGCCGAAAGTGGTGAGATACGTCAACACGCTTGAGACGCCCTCTGGCAAATATCGATATGGAATCATCAAAAACATCCCGAAACTTCACCGGCTCGGACAGACAAAGACCCGAATCAACTCGATAGATTGCCTATGGGTATATAAGACGCTTCAATACCATCGACTTTTCCGGCATTGCCAAACACGCATCCCGCTTCAAAGGTGCTTGGCAAAGAAGTCGGCAGCCTGCTTGTAGCCGCGCCCAAACTCCTTGACGTTGTCCTCGTTCTTCAGGTCCGCCCTGGCGCCCATCCAGCCGTGGTGCATGGTCTCGTAGGTCGTCACCTCCGCCCGGTCGCCCAGGACCTCCTTGTACAGGGCAACCTTGTCGGCGGGCTCGTCCTTGGAAGCGAGCAGGATGTGAGGCGCCGTCTGGGCCTTGGCATCGGCTTCATCCAGGAGACTGCCCACACACACAAAAACATTGGTCAGCAAAACACACACACAGACACACTCATGAAAAGAGAATGATGACCACACTCACCCAGGATGAGCCGTTCCGCTGGCGCTGAACCTCCGTCCAACGCCCTCGTTGCCCTCACCACACGCCATCACCGCCAGCTTGCCTCCCCAGCACAGCCCAAAGAGCCCCCAGTGGCCCTCGGCGGCCGGGTACTTGTCGGCCAGGGCCTTGCGGAAGACGAGCAGCTTCTCGAGGTTGGTCTGCAGGTTGGCCGGGCCGCCGAGGAAGGCCTGGATCTTCTTGCCCTTCTCCTCCGTGTCCGGGGGCACGGCGTCGTAGTCCAGGCCCGGCCCGTCGAAGAGGTCCGGGATGAGGACGAGGAAGCCGGTGTGGGCGGCGAGGCGGTCCGCGCCCTGGATGGTCTGGGGCCACATGCCGAAGATGTCGTAGACGTCGATGATGCCCTTGGTGGCGGTTTCGTCGCCCACGATGTCTGTGTTTTGCAACGAAACTCATATCAGATCTCCTGTTCCTTTTGCCTTTTTGCGTCTCTTTTTTCTTTTTTCTTTCTCTTCTCACTTGAGAGAGTTATGATGTGAAAGATGGGCTCATCTTACAAGTGTTGATGCCGGCAATCTTTTCGTATTTGCCCTTGGGGGTGTAGTCAGCCGTGACCGGCGCCACCTTGCAGCATGCCTCGCTAGCCATGGTGTCTATATGTGATACTATGCGCAAAGACTGAGGAGGAACAGAGAAGGTATCAAGGAGTTGATGCTGTGAAGATCGATGGGTTGCTGACCGACATGGTGAGCTTCATCGTCCCTATCTATATATGTTTTGCTTTGCTCCTCGATTTTGCCTCGAGTGGGTCTTGCGCGGGCAATTTTGCACTCCGTTTGTTTGCATGGCAAGCGGAATCACATCTGTTGCTCCATATCGTGCCTCGAGTCGTGTGCCGGCGTCGGTGCCGATCCGGCGAGCCGATAAACTGCAGCGACGACGAATGAGTGCGCCTGAGAATAATGTCCGAGAGAGGCTCTAAATTTCAGGAAGGGAGACAACACACAGAGAGTCAGATGCGGAGGTTCAATGTAACCTCCTTGACTTTCTGTCTGCCGAATCGGTTCGAGATGCTGACCAGTCTGGTGTTTTGCTTGGCACAAGGAGTTTTTGGGCGCTGGAAACGGACTTTTGCCTCCCGTCTTACTACGATAGAGTCTACCTATTCTCCGTACAATAGCACTAAAAAAGAATTGTAGATTTCCTTCTTCTTATTCTGTGGCGGGGTCGTTTCAATTCCATGGATTTGGTTCACCCCGCTTTTAGCGCAGTGAAGACTTGAGATTCAATGCAGGTCTTTTGTGTTCGAGTAAGAAGAGACAAGTCATGCAGAGCATCTCACAACGTCACACGAGATAACCGCCGCTGCATCTCAGATCGCCCATGAGACGTTAAAAGGCACGAGTCGTTAAATCCGCGTTAACTCCGGCCATGGCTCAGCTTAAACGGCTCTGTTGTCGCCAGACGGAACTGCTAGACGGATTCCATCTCGATTAGGCTTAGAATCTTCGTTCTTAGGAACGAGCTCGCGTTCTCGGAGAGTCTGAGACTGCGACGTTGTTCTTGTTCCTTTATATCTGCACTTATTTTCCATGTTTCTACTGTAACACATCATTATGCCGCATGATCTTGTGTGTAAGATGCTGCTGCTGGGTTCTCTGCATCGATTCACCCATATACCTACAGTAGTACCCCGTACTTGTATGGAGGATAGAGTATTCTATAGCCATCATCATATCGTCACCTCCCTTACGTCATGTAAATCACTTGTAGGTTCCAGGTTGTCAACGACTTGGGGGCTCTTGTGTATGCCATCTGTATATTCCGACAATTCGTGATCAATCCCCTATGAAGTTCGACGTACCTTATTCACGAATCTGTAAGACCGCTTCAACCTTCCTCCATTACAGATACTATTGCCTCCCTTACAGACACTGTCTCCCGCATCGCATATACTCTACATACAACATGGCAGACCAAAGCTGGAAATCGGAGCCGCCATACAAGAAACCCGACGAGTCCTTCAACAAGACGCTCCAAGGCTCGTGCCACTGCGGCCGAGTCAAGTACTGGCTCAGCAAAGACAAGCCTCTCGCCTCCAAGTACTGCCACTGCGATGGCTGCAAAGTCCTCCATGGTAAGCTTCCCTTTACTACAGGCCCCCCTTTAGCTTGACCATGGCCTTTCTAACATCAAAGTGTTCTAGGCGCCCCCTTCCAATGGGCAGCAATCTTCAAAAAGCAAGACATGGCATTCGAAAGCGGCGCCGAAAGCCTACGCTTTTACAACTCTGGTTCTCAGTCGCAGGAGCGTGAACTACCCTGCAAAGTAAGCTGCTCTTATTGCGGCACTCTCATCATGGACGAGGGACGGAACATGGTCCTGCTGTTCCCGACGCTTCTGTCTTTCCAGAACGAAGCCCAGCGGAAGAATTTCGATGTGCAGTATGTGGGCTTCCCGGAGTTATCGGTGCTGAACCTTGTGACTGACATTGTGTGGCAGGTGTCATCTCTTCTATCCACAGAGGGTCGTCGATTTGCCGGATGGAAAGCCGAAGTGGTCAGGGCTGGATGAGAAGAGCGAGCTGCTAGACGAAGCTTGACTCTACTGAATCGAGTAGAACTTAAACTTCTTGCCGCTTCTCGCCGTCCTTGTGCAGCGCCAATTGATCGCATTCACCGTGACCTCGTTGTCGACACAAGAACTGCCAAGACCGTTTCCCTCCCCCGTAACTCAACCACCAAATGGTAAAAAACTTGGCGCTTCGGGCCCTTTTGATTTGCTTGTTTCAACGTTTCTTCTAATCCCCCGTTTCTCATGTGTGAAAGATATGTACACGTCGTTCGCATCGCCCCCCCTTCTTCCCGCCCTCAGTTGCTCCGCGCACCCGCTTTTGACTCCCGCAGCTCGTTCATCTTGGCGACTCGCTTCTTGAACTCGACGTACTGGCATTTCTCGTAGCTGTGTCGCTCGTCCTAGAAGCCAACCATCCCCCATCACCGCGTTAGCAAAACGAATTCTCTCTGTTCCAACTCCCTATGCAAATCTCCTCTTTCTCTCTCTCTCTCTCCCCCCTCCTCTTTCCACGCCACACAGCTCCTCCTCAGCCTTCAACAACAACACCCCGCCCACGTAAAACGTACCGTGCACTTCCACGGAGCATACCACGTCTCTCTCCGGCACTTGTTGAGCGGAATCAAGAGGTGGGCGCAGCTGTCTCTGTATGCGAGCGGGAGCCGGGCATCGCGCATCTCCTCGCGGGTCGCCTCTGCAGTTTGTCATTCCCCAAAAGTCAGCAAATGCGCGCATCATCACAGAATCAGCGGGGTTATCAGCAACTTACGCCGCGCCTCGGTAGCTGCGTCGGAAGCCATGTTTGCGAGTTCAATTGGCCTGCGAAGCGGGATGTCGTGGGAGTTGAATGCCCGCAAAAGGTTCCTTTGATGCTTCTCGGGTCAAGGTCGGCTCGTTGGGGGTTGCTGGGTTGTGGCCCGAAAAGTCAGGCAGCGGGTTTAGCTGCGAAGGTACATCGGTTCAGGTACCTCTTGTCCGCCTCAGCCATCAACCTCGGATTAGACCACAACCACAAGGTGTAAGGTTGGTTGATGATCAAGTCTTACAGCGACATGTAAAGACAGCAAATGCCTCCCAATAGAGTCTCCTGATCTTGTCCCAAATGTCATCGCATGTCATCATAAACCCCGGCTGCATCAATCTTTGCCTTCCACGTCAGACTGTTTATCCATCTCGGCGTCCAATAGACACGCTGCTGCACTACAAGCATCGTCTCGCTCAAGCAATCAACAGGCTGTCAAAGAGTGAACCACCGCCAACATCAACCAACAGCATAAGTGAAGAAAACAGTTTCAGAAACTTCACAACTTCACTCCGTCCCGTCCAATCCCAACCCGCGACCCGCGACACTTTCAAACGCGCATCTTCGCGTTCATTCGCGCACCAAATGATTGGCTCTCGTCCTCCCACTTCGTTGCACCGTGAATCTCATTACGGCCCAAAGCCTCACTCTGTTCACGATGCAAGAAAATCCACCAGCAAAGATCTGACTCCAAAGCCCACACCGAAAATTGCAAAATGCGTCATCCATCTGCTTACCGACTTCATGCAAGATCAGGTGCTTTCGTGACGCGGCTGCGCGCACTTGGCGGCCAGTCGATGGCTCGTCGTCTGTGAGACGAGTCGTGTTTTGTCGTGCCATCGTGCATTTTCGCTCAGGCAGGCCGTTGGGCTGAGATGAAAGAAGAAAATATCCAGCGTGCTCCACGCAAAGATGACTGCGTACGCGTAAGTTCTATATAAGTCGGCAAGGCCGGTAGCTTCTCAGAGATGGCGATTCTGCCTTGTTATCATCTCTTGCCTCTGTACATCCATCTTTCATTTCGTCTTAGAATTCTGCTCAACCTTGTCGCTTGTTCCCTTCATTTTGCCATCGACAGTTTGTCCACCACACGGGTATAATACACATACTACAACCACCTACCTATTCTCTCTTTATATCAGCGTCAACCATCTTGCTTCAGCATTCTCAATCGTCATAGCGAACTTCTCTCATTTCAGCAAGCATACTCGCCTTCGACTTCTTCGACTTCTACACATAATCATCATTCGTAATCTTCACAATGACCTCTCACCACGACATCATCGCCTGGCTCGTCCCTACAGCCCTCCACTCCTGGGCCGACAAAGCAACCCAGCTCCCCGAAAACGCCTCCCGCATCATCTCCTACACGCCCTCATACGCCCATCTCTGCTCCCGTCTCTCGAACCTCACGCACAACATTCCGGGGAGAGCCATCCAGCTCAGCTTCTCACAGCCCCCCAAACGCCCCGGCAGCTTCATCATCGGCACCGATCCCCGAACCTGCGACATCGTCCTGCCCCGCGTCGAGGGCATATCGAAGCAGCACTGCGCCCTCACCTTTGACGCGCATTCCAGACTCGTCCTCAGCGACTTTTCAGAAAGGGGAACCCAGGTGTGGTACGACTGGGAGAGCAACGGCGACAGGACGGACTACTCGTGGCTTCTCAGCAGCGCGTGTTCAAGCGAGTTCCCGAGCATGGTGCAGCGCATCACCGTTGATATCCAAGGGGTCAGGTTTCAGGTCGTCGTCAACGATCATTCTGCAGACTGGGACGCCTTTAGGGAGCGGGTCGATAGGTTCTGCGAGCAACCGTGCTGGGAGGATGAATCTTCCTGGGTTGATGCATCAACAGTGCTGTCGTCGACTGTGACTCCCTTTCAACCCGTCGTTGTCAGGGACACAACGCGCGAGCCTTATGGAGAGGTATATCTCTGGAATCTGGCACGGCCATGGGAGCCGATGGTGAAGGCATCAGCATGATATTGCATAGTGCAGCGGCACTGACACCAGTCATACCACGAGCTGGCAATTTGTTCAGAGTACCCCACAACAAGTTCTATAGAGACCATAGCATAGCTCACTACACAGCCCTGGATTGTATGTGCCTCAGACTGCAACTGCCCAGACTGGCCATGCGTGGCAATGCATAATCTTCTGATTCAATTCCCAAATGTACAAACGCTCAGAAATAATGTGACAAGCCCTCCATCCAAAGAGGGTATCATAAACTCCAAAAGCAAAGCCCACCCCGATGCATGGTTTGCCTCTGCCGTTGCCCGACGTCTTCATATCCAGTGACGCTCAACCTTCCGCCCCCTCTGACGCGCCCTAAGCCTCAGCAGCTGGTGTCTCGGCGGGCTGCTGCTCCTCTTCATCCATGAACCGCGTCATGGCAAATTCTGGCGCTCTCCTTCGTTGGATGCCGCGTCCCTTGGTGCCCTTTCTAAGAGCTGCCGTGGCAGCCTCTTCCCGGACGAGCGCCTTTTCCGCCTCCTTGTCCAGCATGGTTCCCTCCAGGCTGAGGTAGCTCGTCTCGCCGCTGACGCCGACATCAAAGTTGCGGATGCGGAAACGAATCTTGCCCTTAACCTTGTTCCCGTTTGCGTCAACCCAGAAGCCCGTGCTGTGAATCTGGCGCACCACACCCTGGTCGTCTGCGGTAATCACCGATGCCGTCTCCTCCATGCCATGCGCCTCGGGGTCATCGTTAGAGACCCATTTCCAGGAAGATGGCAGACGTCGAGCCTCGATAGATGCGTTGAACTGGCCGAAGCAGACGACGCCGATGTGGCCCTCGGTCTGGAGGTTGATGGTGCCCTCCATCCACGCGCCGCGACTAGGCACAAACAGCTCAACTTCAGCAGTGATCCAGCCGAAGCCAACTGCGTACTCGTTGATTGACTTGACGACTGTCTGGTCGTCGTCCGAAGTCGCCGCACCTTTTCGCCCCGGGTTCTCGCCCAGCGCGACGTTTTTGTATTTTAAGAGCACACCCCGCAGGGACGGGACGTATTTGTTCTTGAGATGTTGTAGGTGTTGGTACTCGGCGTTTGTTACGGGCTGCGACCAACCAATGGGGTATATGGGCTCGTAGAGAGAGACGGTCTGGCTGTAGAATGGATACTGAGGTCGGGCAGGAATATCGGAGGGTTGGTAGACTTCAGGTGCTGTCTGCGGCGTTGGCTTCTGGTCGGGTTGATCGGTCTCCGCGGCATCGGCGGCATCGCCAGCTGCAGGAGTTTCGTTGGCTTCCGCATCCTCGTCGGCGTGCTTCTTGGACTTCTTCTTCTTCTTCTTCTCTGGACTGCCGTCCTCGGCGTCGCGCTCCTCTTCTTTGTGCTTCTTCTTGTGCTCCTTCTTCTCCTTCTTCTCCTTCTTCTTGTGCGCTACCTCGGCATCGTCATTGTCGATGCTGACTTGCGGTTGCGAAGCCCCGGCCTCTTCCTCCTCTCTGTTTTCATCGACGGATTCGCTCTTGGACTTCTTGTGCTTGCGGCTCCTGTCGGGGAGCGCCTCCTCGTCTCGCTCGCGCTTCTTTTCCGACTTTGACGACTTGTCCTTCTTCTCCTTCTTGTGCTTCTTTTCTGATTTTGAAAGCGCCGGCTCGGGCGACGCAATTGAGGTGGACATTGTGTCGCAATTCCGCGCAGCCGATTTGCTTCGCGGTGGGCTTGAGTGAAGCTTCAAATGCTCCAATTGCCGGGGAAATTTTTTTTGCAGACGATAGCTCGTCGGGTGGCTTATCTTATCGATTATCGTACGTCTGGTGGGGCACCTGCATTTATGTACTGATCTGATCTGTGCCTCGAAGAAGTCTGAAGATCGTGAACATGACAACTTTTCTCCTCAGTTTCATTTTCTCATTTTTATCTAAACTGATCAACTTATAGTAAATCCTGATCTATCAATCTATATTACAATTTTAGTTTACCTATGCAGCATGTGCCCGTCTTTGTTCACCGACCGCTAGCTAGTACTTCATCCCGGCTCTCGTAGCCATGGGTCACCGTTTTCTCGCCGATTTGACAACAGCTACCAGTAACCAGCAATTCAGAAGCTCACGCAATTCATCCGGGCTCCAGTGTTCCAGTGATGCAAAGACCGTGTTTATCATATATGCTTATCTATTTAGTGGCATAGTATAACATCATCTATATTGAGAAGCCTTCACTTCAAACTGAGAAGCAATTTCATGGCATTCTCGCCGACCTGACTGGAGTGTATCATGCCTGGGCATCCAGTTCAAGAAATCTTTCACACTCGAAAACAAAGTCAGGTATATCAAGCTCATGCGCATCAAAGGTTGTATCAGCCTCAGACATCATTTAACCAGGCTGCTAGAGCACGAATTGGTCGGAAATCGCTCGGACCACTCAGTCTGCCCGGCGGCCAACGAAGCAGGCGAACCCACCTTGAAAACAACCCTATTATACGTCCTTGTACGTAACAAAAGGACCTCTCTGGACAAAAAATTGAGAATTGACGCATCGTCGAATGTCACTGGAGGGACCGGTGGAAGCTCCGAGACCCTCTCCACGTCCCATTCTCGAGTCATTCAGACAGAAGAATAGCCCGTACACTAAGCCGTAGCTTATACGACCCGACAGCCCTGAACCCTGTGCTGTCCCATCGAAGAAGCAGCTTCGCCGACGGATTATCCGTGAAAGGCAACATGATGACAGTCAACAAAGCATTGATCCCAGTGCCTCTCCTCCCACCTCTGCAGGACAGGAACAAGAGACCAAAGAGACAAGAACGACATCTCATTGAAACCCATCAATACTCCATGATGGGCGTTACACGAATCCGTTCGGCTCTCCCACACTCGCTGGAAAATTTCTACCGTCGAGTCAGCGCTTGTCATGCATGTCCCTTGTCGGATCGCCTTGGCATCATCGACAAAGAACCAACTCTCAGGCCCCGTCCAGGTGGAATTGCTTGCTTGAGCACGTTGAGAATCCATACCGGTCACCAACAAGGCATGGCCTGCTTGTTGATAGCACCGGCCAAAGGTCCGGACACGGCCATGTGGCACCGATCCACCATGGCTTCCAAGCAGTTTTTATCAATCAGTCCCATATTATCAATCAGATAAGATCCTTGACGGCTGTCCCCGTCCTCCTCTTAAACCCCATCGTGTCGCCCTCGGTGTCGACGCGGCGCCTGGTTTCTCGCACCCGTTTCCAGTCTCGTCCGTCCTACCATACTCTTCGTATTCTCGAAAAGAGGTCCTGCGCATCATGAGCGATGAGGAGAAGCGTCCCGCCGATGTCGTCGGTGTGTCGGCTCTAGACGAGTCAGACACTGCGTCTGATGGACGGAGCACCAAGATTCCGATGAGCATGAAGATCTTGTCTGTCATCCTCGTCAGCTTGGTTGGCTTTGGCTCTCACTGGAGCAGCGGCGTGACGGGTGCCATGAAAAGCACACTGAAAAAGGTTGGCCCTCTCACTTGTATATACATACTCCCTGGATGATTATCATTGACACGGCCGCAGGAGCTGCACATCAACAATGCGCAATATGCCACGCTGGATGCCAGTGAAGACTTCATCAAGACGGCCCTGATCCTTGTCAGCGGTATCATCACAGATCGATTCGGTGGTGCAAGTACGTACCACTCCCGCGTTATTCTTGATCGCCAACAGGCCAGCATCTGCCTTGCAGCCTGTACTAACAACTTCAACAGGGACAATGCTTTGGGGCAACGCCGTCTACAGCATCGGAGCCATTCTCATCGCGGCGGCCACCCAGGTCCGCAGCTTCAAGTTCATGATTGCCGGCAGCGTCGTCCAGGCCCTCGGCGACGTCGCCACGCAATGCGCCCAGTACAAGGTCTTTTCCTCCTGGTTCGCCCCGTCCAACGGCTTCGCTTCCACCCTCGGCTTCGAGCTGGGCCTCGGCAAGATTGGCAGCTTCGTCGGCAAGGCGTCCGCCAATGTCATTGCGGAGAACACGGGCAACTTTAGCTGGGTGTACTGGTGCGCCGTCTTCATCAACCTCTTCACCAACGTGGTGACGGTCGGCTTCTACTACTTCACCGAGTACTGCGAGCGGCGATATGCCGGCTCCAACGACCCGGCCACCGGCGAGAGGCTGACGGAGAAGAACAGCAAGTTTGAAATCACAAAGATGCTGCGGCTCCCTTGGCCGTTCTGGCTCGTGTCCCTCTTCTCCCTCTTCCAGACCTCCGTCGCCGGCGTCTTCTCCACCAATGCGACTGAGTTTGCCGAGAAGCGCTTCAACATCTCGGCCGTCACCGCAGGCTGGTACTCGGCCATGTCTCAGTACCTCGGCTTCTTCCTGGTGCCCCTCCTTGGCATCTTCATTGATGTCTTTGGTCAGCGAAACACCATCATGCTCGTCTGTGGTCTCGGTATGCTGCTTTCCATGTGCCTTGCCGCTTTCGGGCCTACAATTGCAGGAACGGCAGCCAGCTTTGGCATCTATGCGTTTGCATCTTCACTGGGCCCTACGGTCATCATCGATAGCATCCGCACCAGCATGTGGTACCAGGAAGTCTTTGGGTCTGGCTACGCCATCAAGATTGCCATCAACAACAGCATGACCATCATCATTGGCATCGTGGCCGGCGTCATCCAGGATCACGACAACGACGGCTACGACCACGTCGTTATCCTCTACGTCGTGCTGGCAGCAGGCTCTGTGGTTGTCGGCGCTTTGATGTTTGCAATGGGTTTCTTCAACCCTACGATGGGCAGGCTGCAGTGGACGCGGAAGCAGAGAATCATCAGGGGCGAAAAGATCAATGCCCTCAAGGAGGAGTTTGAGGAGGGGAGGAACCGGGAGAAGCAGAAGATGTTGAGTGTGACCTGTTTTGCTGCTATGATTGTTCTATTGCTGGGGGCTTGGGCGACGTACTTTTGGGGAGCGGCTACAGGCCATAACGATTAACGATGATGGAAAAGTAGACAACCGGAGCAATTGTAATAGACGTGAATTTGTTGACCAGATGTTACCGATAATCTATAAAAGCGAGTATATATGTTCTCAGTCTATAAGTTCCAGTTCTATATTAGCATTATGATAATCAGTTTTCACCAAGCTCATTCTATATATGCCGAGGGCATCAGGCTTCTATCAACACAGTCCCTCTTGTAGTCTCTGCGGCGTCTCTCATCTTCTCTTCTGCACTATGACGAGGATGCTGCCACACGCATTCCCCCAAACAACCCCCTATTTACCATTTCGCATCCTCGCCTGCCTCCTCCACCCAGCCGCAAACCTCCACTGCACCGCCGGCCCCAGCAGCGCAACAAGCTGCACAACCGCACAAATCGTAAACGCCCACCCCACCCCGATGCCATTCACCATGGGCATGACGATGCTCGTGCCGCCCGCCGCAAAGAGACACCGCGCCAGATTCAGGCTCGCGCTCGCCGCGGCGCTGCGGTCGGAAAACACGTCGACGAGATAGGTCATGATGATGGACTGCGTCGACACGGCGGTCCAGCCGGTGATGAAGGTGGATATGATGGGGATGGCGATGGGCACCTTGTCGGGGTAGTTGATTGTCCAGCCGAAGAGGAGGATGGAGAGACATTGGATGATGGAGAAGAGCGGTACCAGGCGAAGACGAGCCTTTTCAAGCGGAAAGCTGTCCTCCGCGGCCTCCTCAACCCCAACCCCGTTGTTTCCATCAGTCGCCATCTGAGACTGTTGAGCAGCATCATGCGCAGCCTTGACCTTTTTGTAGTCCTTGTCAAGAATCTTGCCCGTGATGAGCGTCCCAACCATGGACCCCACGCCGTTGGCGATAAACGTCAGCCCAATCTGCGTCTCCTTGAGATGATACTTCTGCTCAAAGAGCGTCGACATGGCGGTGATGCTCATCTGCCACACGGCGTAGTATATCGACAAGAAGACGATGATGGGCGTCGCGTGTTTGCTGAAGAGGATGCGGAACGGGCCAAGCACGTCGATGCGCTTCTTCGCGTCAGGGGCCGCCGCCGAATTCTCGCCGTTCCACTCAATCTTGGTGAGCTTCTGGTATACGACGAGAGGATACCTTGCCATCGGGGACGAAGGCGTCCGACTGCCATTCGCAACCACCGACCGCAGCGTCTCCGGCAGAAACACCACCAGAAACACCAAGAAGCCGCCCCCATACCCCGTCAAGAACCAGAAAATCGCCCTCCACCCCAGCGATCCCGCAATCGCACCCCCAATCACCGGCCCAATCGCCACCGGGACGAGCAAGCCGGCCTGGAAGATGCCCATCAGCCCGCCCCTGTTGGCCCTCGTCGTGATGTCGCCGATGACGCCGCTGCCAATCGCAATCGTGCTCGCGCTGCCCGTGCTCTGGAGGCATCGCAGCACCACGAGGGTGGCATAGTTGTTCGTCTCGGCCAGCCCGACGCACGCGCCGACGAAGACGAGAAAGGTGCAGCAGTAGGCGACTCTTCGGCCCTTGACGTCGGACACGGGGCCCCAGAGGCTGGGCGCGATGCCCTGGAAGATGAGGTAGGATGTTACGGTGAGGTTGACGAGTTCGATGGAGACGTGCAGGTCGGAGGCGATGGTGGGAAGGGCGGGGAAGTAGATGTTGGAGGCAAAGCCGGAGACTAATGCGCCGGGCGTTAATACTTGTGTTGGACAAAAACTAAAGTACTGCAAGAGGGTTATAGTAGTATTAATGTTGATTACTTACAGGTTGCGGCTGTGGAGACGATAATCACGATAAACGCCCTTTGTCGACTGTCAAAGATGCTGTAGGGCTCGGCTGGGTCTGGAGTCGGTGGCGTGTCTGCCGTGGGCGAAGGGTTTTCCACATCTTGTTCATTCCCTGGTTTCGATGACATTTTCAGTAATCTTGAGTCTGAATCGACTTGCTCTGCCAATTCCAATGGCACTTACAGATGCTCAACGCATCCCTTTCGTCATTCTATATACCTTCTCTCGGGGCCAATCTCGAGGCGAATATCGGAGCTGACGACTTACACGTCGGAGTTGAGAGTGGAGCTTTCCGGAGTTGAGCCAGCTCTGGCTGCTCAGCATCCAATCAGCGCCCGCTCAATATCCCTATTCGAACATGGGTTCAGTGACAAAGCAGAGCATCAACCGGAGTTGAGAATCAACGTGTAAGTGATTGAATGTCCAGTTTTAACAACCAAGCCAACAGACAAACAAAACAAGGCCCAATTCCGAAATCAAGAACAAAAAATGACTCCTCTTCGTCCCTATTCTGCTCCAACCACATCACCGCAAGTCCCATATCCTCCAAAATGCCTTCCGCCGAGACCAACAGCGCCCCCCTGAGCTTCGGCAAACGATATGCCGTCCTCAACCTCGACTTCATGAACATCCTCTTCGACATCGCCAAGGACACGCCAGAAGGGAGCAAGTTCGTGGCAAACTGCTCTAGATGGGTCGACGCCGTGCATAAGCGGGATCCTCGGCCGCTGACCGTCTTCACGACGCTCTACTTCACGAGCCCTTCCCAGGCGGAGCTGCCCAAAAACGCCCCCTTTGCCAAGCTGGTCAATGGGTTTGCGAGCTTTGACGAGAAGAACCCTGCGGTGCAGGTGCCTTCATACTTCAATGTTGATGACAAGGATATTGTTCTTCAGAAGACACGGTGGTATGCAGGGGCGGGGAATGACCTGGAGACGATTCTCCAGGAGAACAACATCAACACTGTCGTCATTGTAAGTCGAACACACTCCACATTACTGTGCAGTGCCCTCCCCTATACATCATACTAACTTGTGGTTTTCATAGTCTGGCCTCAGTCTGTCCGGTGTCGTCATGAGCACAATCTACCGACTTTTCGATCTCCACTACAACGTCTATGTGATCTCAGACAACGTGCTGGAACTGCCCGTCTCGCATCACGAAAACTTTGCCGCCGTCTTTCTGGATCTTCTGATGCCAAAGATGAATCTCAAGGTCATCACTCTCGAAGAAGCACTCGAAGCCCTGGAACATTCATAGATTGGTCTGGCGCCTTAAGTGGCGGTGCCCTGACGACAATGGAAGAGAAGAACTGAATGGGTATATAGTTGGTTTGAAATTAGGGGCGTTAAGCAGATTTGTTGCCTTGTAATGGTTCACCCTCCGTGTGTGCAGCTCGTGATTGCATAGAGCATGGTGCCAAATTCGTCCAGATCCTCAAGCCAGCTGTCCACTCTATGGCGTCTCTTTGCGACCTGTGGTTCATCCAGTCCTTGGGGAATAGGCCACAGCTCGTTGATGCGGAGGCTTCCCTCATCCCACTCGGCGAGGTGCACATTGTACGCAGCCTCCCAGTCGCGCCGTGTCTGAGCGAGCCACAGGGTTTTGCTCGAAACTGCCGGCAACCCTTCCAACTCGGTGCCAAGAAACGTTGTCAGCCCGTCTTCAGAGGAGAGGACGCTATCAAAGAGATACATGGTGAAGATCGTTCGCCGTTTAGCCTCGGCAATGACCCAGCTTTCCCACTTGGGGCGCGTCCGCCGCTGCTCTGCCAGGCTCATTAAGCCTTGACGAGCTGCCACGCAGGCCAGCTCTTGTAGATTCATCATAGCCTGACGGAGAACAGGGTTGTTGCCTTGGCTCAGTCTGAAGAACAAGACCATGGTGTACATGAGGAAGGCCTGGAATGCGCTCAGCATGGACAGATGATCATAAGTGTCGCGCCTTTCATATATGTTGCTCATCTCCCTCTGCAGAATCTCGGCAGTCACATTCTCGCTCCCTGGCAAGGGCTTGTCGCATATCCGTATGATGCTTAGGCAAGTAGACAAGAGCGGACTTGGATGCGGGCCCATCAGCTGCGTGACATGAACGAACGGCGGGAACCCGCGGCCATGGACGGCCATGCCGGTGTAAGACTTGAGGAGGCGGTAGATAAAGGCCGACACAGTGGCCGGGTAATTCTTGACACTCTGGCCAGGGAGCGGGATATACGCGTTCAGCCACCGGTTGCTGATTTCCTCTGCGTTGATCGGGCAGATGAGATCGGGGGTGGAGAAATCGAGAAACTCTGGCTGCTGCTGCGCGGGCAGCAAGGCTGAAGGTTCCAAGGATTGCGCGGCTGACCACTGCGTCCTCGTCGTGGGAGGTGCCGTGGAAAAGCTGAGGGGGCTGTGGTCGTCCAGGTCGAGGTGGATGGACGGGGACTCTGGGTCCTGCGTGCCCTGAGGCGGCGAGATTTCATCGCGCTCCGGACTCGGGAGAGTGCCGGCAGATGTGCGAGAGAAGCTGGGCAGAGGGCCGGGACCGGCATCTCTGCTGTCGCCAAAGAGCTTCGAGGCGGCGGTCGTCGTGGGATTCGAATGAGGGTAGAGGCAGGGCAGATGCCGCAGAGCGCAGCGCGAGCAGCATCGCTCCTTGCGGTCGCACCGGGCTTTGGCGATGGAGCATTGCTGGCAGGCTTTCTGTCGAGAGATGGCGTATCGTGAGGTCTTCATGACTTGAGGGGACGGGAGGAAGCATTGAGCGGCGGCATTAGCAGGCAACGTCATTTGACGATTAATAATCGAGACGAGACGGGAAGAATGAATTGGGTGGGATAGTATAGGGCGAGAGAAGAGGTGGAGGAGCAGGATGATGAGGAAAGATGGAGACGATGGAAGGGGGACAAGATCAATAGTCGAGGTGAGGTGAGGTGAGTTGGTGCTACAGGTAAGAGTGTCAAAGTCAGGGTAAGGATGGCAAGATTTAGAGTTTCGACAAGCTTAAGTCGATTGAAGCTCCGTGACAACTGGCGCCACCGCCCGGCACTATCTTTCTTTCTTGCACATTTAGACCTGGCAGTTGTCCATGTCTTGTCGACTGTATACCTCTGCGTCTGTCGAGGCCTTGCCTCGGGTTGGGTACCGCAGCCGTCCTGTTCGGACTTCGCACAGGTACTGTGAGTTTTTTGAGGCGAGGTCCGAAACCTTGAGGTAACGGGATCCTTCAAATGGTAAGAGTAGTAAGCTGCCTATTCTTCGAATTCTGCTCGGTAATAACTCGATTATAGTTTGTACACGCAGTTGCAGGTTAGTTCCATAGCCCTGTCAAGCTTTCCATCGACAGGATAGAATGGTTCTACAAAGAAAGCATAAGGTATTATGTTATAGATTATGCTTTGTTCAATGAGTCGATATACAGGCTCCCTAGCTGTTCCTCAGCGCCTCTTCCAATACTGCCTGATAGTGATAGTGACAGCACAGGCTCCTCATGGAAACCGGCCGGAATGTTTGATCCTACCAAGGTAGCATCATAGGGCTCTTAGCGCTGTAACTTATAGTGGCCGTAGCACCGCTTATTCTCCGTACGCCCAAATAGGAATACGAGTTTGGACCCGGATAGTTTGACGATCCGACTACGGAACCTTTTCCGCGCCCGGGTTTCCGCTATCGAGCATCTTCTATTGTATCTTATCATGCCTCTTCTGTAGTTATCGTCGTCCACAAGACTCATTGCATCAAGCTCACGTTCATAGATCTACTGCACTGTATACCCCGTCAGCCCTGCAGCTCCAGCGTGGGCCCCAGCTTCAGCACGTCTCCCGCCTGATACGTCGTCTCGAACCTGTGCTCGCCGTAAAACACCACCACGGAAGACGCTGCAGATGCCCTCAACGTCACGCCTCCCAGCTTCCCGTCCTGCCATGAGAAATCAGCCTCCAGTCCTCCCCGGATCCTCATCCCGTTGACCGTTCCCTCAGCCCAAGCCGCGGGCAAGGCCGGTAGCAGATCGACCTCGACTGGCCCCCCAAGGCGAGGAATGATGGATCGGATCAGCATCTCAGCAATCGCCGCGGCACCCCCAAAGTTGCCGTCAATGACAAAGATGTTCTTCTCCGCTCCCGCCACGCCCGGCTTGCTGTAGCTCAGCAGGTTGTCGAAGCTCAGCTCGCCCACCAGGTGGCCGACCTGCGCGACAGCCTTCTCTGCGTCTCCTAGACGGGCGTAGTTCTGCGCAAACAGGGCGGCGGTAAACTCAATGTCCTCGAGATCCTCACGGCCCTGCCTTCGCTCGAGAGTCACGCGTATTGCCTCTGCCAGATCGGGCTGATGGCGAGCCGAGATCTGCGCTGAGCGGCAGAGAGCCATTGTGTGAGACAAATGGCGGTGATAGGGTTGTGCCTCTTCGAAATCGTGAAGCCATTCTTGAAGTTGACCATTCTTGCCGATCTGAAAAGGAGGCAGCTTCGCCAATGCTTCTTCGTATATCCGAATATCCTCCTTCAACTTGATCTGCTCACAGTCTAGCTTTGTCGTAACATATTCGCAGAGTGCAAAAAGATCGCGAAGCAAAACGACGTCCAGAGTCGGTGCCAGTGCCGCATAATGCTCCTCCTTCTCGCCATTGTCGTTGACAAAAAAGAAGCTATTCTCTGGGCTCACAGACGGACCAGTGAGCAGCCAGCCCGTCTTTGGATCTTCAATCATGTAGTCGAGGAAGAACTTGGACGCGCCGGACAGCACCGACCATGCCTCGTTTCTCGCGAAAGCGTCGTCTAGGGAGTACTCAAACATCTCAATCAGATGGTTCGCCATCCAGAGGCCGCCTGTTACGTTGAGCCCGTACGAGACCTCCCAGCCGGGATCTGTGAACCCCCAGACGTTGCTGAAGACGTGAGCGACCCAGCCGTGGCAGCCATAGCAGACACGGGCAGTATTTTGGCCGCTCGCAGCAAGGCGTGTCAGGTAATTGATGAGCGGCGGCATAAGATCAGACAGGCCGCTATTCATGATTGCAAAGTAGTTCATCTGCGTGTTGATGTCGAGATGGTAGTCACAGCTCCAGCCCATCTTGCAGGCCTCGCCATCGTTCCACAGGCCTTGCAGATGCAGCGGCAAGGGTGAATCATGCCGGGTGCCGGCGATGGTAAGGTAGCGGGCATAGTGAAAGTAGAGCGCGAACATGCCGGCATCAGCATATCCGGAAGCCTCAAAGCTCTGCCGACGCTGGTCCGTGGGAGTGCTGGCGGCCGAGCCGGATTTGGATCCTAGAGAGATGCTCACCCGGCGATAGAGCGGCTGGAAGTCTTGGAGGTGCGCTTGGAAGAGATCAGAGGCAGACAGCTTGAGGGCCGCGTCCATCTGTGAGACTGTTCGCCTTCTCCATGCGTCTTCAGGCTCGGTGTAGTCGGTGTTAAACGTCACCAGGATGCTTATGCTCTTCTTTGCCGAGATGACGAGTTTCCCATGGCGATGCTGAATCTTTCCATCGTCTACAGTTGCCGCAATGAGGCCGTAGCCCTTGACTCCACAGGTTCCATCGCTGTGCACCGTCTCGAGAGCCTGGGCATTGAACTCGAGCTTCCCATCAGCGTTGATATTGGTCGTGAATGCCTCGTTCTCGCCCTGGACACCGACTTCAACCTCCAGCCCCTCCAGCTCATCGCCCTCCAGCTGCACAACGAGCACTTGGTGCGGATGACTCAGAAAGCATCTCCTCTTGAACTGGCGGCCGTTCAAACTGTATCTCGTCTCCGCCACAGCTTCGTCAAGCCGCAACTCTCTCTCAAAGCCAACAACATCGTCAACGCTCCCCTGTCCATTCAAGGCAATCTCAAGCGTTCCAACGCCCAGGTTGGTCCCAAAGTTGGTCTTCTTGCTCTCAAAAAACCTTTCCGCCCTCTTCTTGCCCTGAGCGTAGTCGCCGTTGAGATAGCACTTTTGGGTTTCTCTCAGCTCATCTTTGGCGCGTTCAGGCTTCTCGGACAGTCCTTGGCCTGCTGGCTGCTCTTTTCCAGACCAGAAGGAGACTTCGTTGAGGATGAAGACTTCCTTGGAGGGAGAGGAGAGTACGGACGCGGCGAAGCGGCCGTTGCCCAGGGGCAGCGAGGTTGGAAATGTTGTTGAGGGGGTGGTGTAAAAGAGTCTGTGTTCTGAAGACATTTTGCTAAACCGATATCAAGTCCCAAACTTCGTTGAAGTTGTAAGACCACTGTATTCTGTTGCCGGCACCAGATATGGAGGCGAGGTTCCAAGTTTCAATACATGCCTAACAATGCTTCAGCTGCGGAGCCCTGCTATTCTTCACAAACCCCTCATGAACATCAGCTCACCAGTTTACATCACCAACACGAACTTTCGAAGCGGCTGGAAATCCGATCCCTCCAAACCTGAGTGCCGGTAGCCGGAGCAAGACAAGTCAGCTGTTTCCGTGCGGAGTCAAGCCCCGGGAGCATTGTTCGGGTGGACTCTTGGCCTCTGCAGGTTTCTCGCTCTAGGGCCCCCGGTTGATTGGTCGATCTGGCGTCGAGATGTTCCCCGGATATTGAGCCGGATATTGGCCCGGGAGATGGTGTAGCGGATCGTGCGCCACTAGATGCCGCCTCCCGGGTTTTCGTCCGAAACATCGACCTGGCAGGCTTTTGGTTCGTTTGACAAACTCTCTGGCATCTGGACCATGACCAGTTCGCGCGTTGGAAATTTCCAATAGTTTAGCTGAAGAGACTGGCAATAGGCGTGATGCTACAGACTCTCCAGCTATTTACCCGAGGGCTGATCTAACCAACAACAAGCTCCAGCCGACGGGATTCATGCCCATGTAACAGACAAGGGCGTTGGCTCGTCGAAAACTGAAAGTCAGCCGTACAAGAATCTGACTTCCAGGCCTACATTTGGCGTAGTCTTGTCATGAAATGCCCGACGGATCCCACCCCCCTCATCACGATATCCTGCTGCCATGTGCCATCAGAAGAGCCGCTCTCGGCAACATCATCACCAGCTTGGGCAAGTCCTTGCCGCTTCCCCAGAGCCGGGATGCACTAAGTCGACTCGATCGTGCGGAGCCCCGCAACTTGCCCTCATTAGTCTGGGGAATGACTGTCGTATTGCAGTTGATCCAACACCAAGACGATGCGTATAAATACGATCCATGTAACTCCGTGATAGTCATGTTGTCAAGGGGACAGGGCCGCGATCTCCTAGACTTGTCTCTTGAGGATTTCGTTGATAAAGGGCTTTCCAGTTGCTTTTTTCTCTCTCCCTCCTCTTCATCTCCTTGTCCCCCATCAACTCTAGCAAACGAGGTGTCGTTGCACTATCACAGCCCACCATGGAGAAAGAAGTAGAGGCAACGGCGCTCGAAAACGTCGCCAGCAACATCGAGCATGAGCTCACCAACGCCGGCGCCACTGGCAAGATGGCCAGCATCAGCGAGGCCATGGCTAACAGCGGCACGGCGACGGAGCACAGCCTCGGCTCCTGGCAGGCCCTCAAGCTCTACCGCAAGGGCGCCTTCTGGTCCATGTTCATCTCGCTCAGCATCATCATGCGCGCCTACGACATCGAGATCAGCGGCAACTTCTTCGCCCTGCCGGCTTTCCAGAAGCACTTTGGCGTCGACTACGGGCCCGACCACGGCGGCTACCAGATCCCGGCCCGGTGGCAGGTCGCCATGAGCATGGGCAGCCTCGTGGGCCAGATCGTGGGCGCCTATCTCGTTTCCTTCCCCATGGAGAAGTTTGGGCGGAAGAAGACGTTTGCCGTGTGCCTCGTCCTGACGGCGATCCTGACGTTTATGCAATTCTTTGCCAACAGCATCGGCGTCTTGACGGCCAGTATGTATCTCAGCGGTATTGTCTGGGGAGGATACTGCGTGATTGCGACGACGTATGCGTCCGAGGTTCTTCCTCTCAGCCTGCGCGGCTTCCTCACCGGCTACATCAACCTCTGCTATGTCATGGGCCAGTTCATCCAGACGGGCGTCACCCGCGGCTTCATCAACCGCCCCGATCAGTGGGCGTACAAGATCCCATTTGCCATCCAATGGGCGTGGCCCGTCATCCTGCTCGCCGGCCTGCCCTTTGCCCCTGAATCACCCTGGTGGCTGGTCCGACAGAACAAGATGGAAAAGGCGGAGCGGTCCCTCGAGAAGCTCGTTCAGAAGGACTCGGGCATCAACACCAAGGAGACGCTGGCCATGATGGTCAAGACGGATCTCCTAGAGCGAGAGCTCGAGGTCGGCACCACGTACGCCGACTGCTGGAAGGGCGTCAACCGGCGGCGCATGGAGATTTGCATCCTGCTGTTCGTCATCCAGAACTTTAGCGGTAACCCCGTCGGCTTCGCGACCTACTTCTTCGAGCAGATTGGCCTCAACAACGTGCAGGCGTTCGACATGGGCGTCGGCCTCAACGGCGTCGGCTTCGTCGGCACGTGCCTCTCCGCCATTCCTCTCATCTACCTCGGCCGTCGTCCTGCGTACATCTTCGGCCTCAGCTTCATGGTCGCCACGCTCTTCGTCGTCGCCCTGCTCTCGTTTGCGCACGACTACACAACCAACGATTCGTACCGTTGGGCCCAGGCCACGCTACTTATCGTCCTGCAGTTCGTCTGGCAGGCGACCCTCGGCCCGTTGACGTACGTCGTTGTCTGCGAGACGCCCTCGACCAAGCTCCGATCCAAGACGATTGCCATTGCCACAATGATTGATGCTCTCACGGGTCTGGTTACGTCTGTTATTGGGCCGTATCTGCTGAATCCTGGTGCTGCGGGCGCTGGAGCCAAGATTGAGTTTCTGTATGGTGGCATTTCTGTCTTTTCGCTTATATGGACCATTTTCAGAATGGTGAGTGATTCTTCCCCTGGTACCAGGAGGGTCCCTTTGCTTGACTACGGTTGACTGACGCTCTTTTTTTTATATAGCCGGAGACAAAGGGCCGGACGTACGAAGAGCTCGACATCATGTTCGAACGCAATGTTCCAGCGAGAAAGTTTGCGACGTACAAGTTTGAGGATGAGGATCTGGCGCCATGAAGAGATGGATGGACATTCCCGGGCAAATCCTGAGCTGGCAACACGTTAATTTGCTGTAGTTGCAGTGTGTAGTGGGCCATCAATAGTAATGAAGAGAGTCAAAGATAACAACAAGGCATCTCAACTCGCTATTGTGTACCTGTATCATATGAAAGATGTTGATGAGACGCAATTGATGAGACGCAATTGATGCATGTATAGACGTTCACGGGCTGCGTGTAGTGTCGACCAAACTCGAGGGCAGCTTCGTCTTACACAGGTACTTACACGAAGGTATGGCAAGACACACACGTTCCACCACCGCCGACTCACTTTGCCAGCGACATTCATCAGCATCGCATACCAACCCCGTTTCTCTATGAGAACGAATAAGAGATATAGTTTGCTAGGTCGAACTGTACAAATCATCTCATGTCAAAGGATTCTTCTGTTCCTTTTGATGACATACCTACCGGTTCGTCTCTCATGACTAAGCACGAGCGTCAGGATTTCAGCTCAGCCCAGCCCTCACACGCCTTTCCATCGACACACCGTGTTCGTCACTGCAAACATGGACTCACCATCCAATCGCCATGTTCAGCATGAGCGACAACACCAACGGGAGCATCACCGACAATGAAGCGCCTCTGCGGCGTCTCAACGGGCGCCTCCAGGCATGTGATCAGTGTCGGGCACGCAAAGTCGCCTGCGACCACACGCGGCCAGTATGCACCCGTTGCCTTAAGAGGAACCAGGCCAGCGAATGCACCTACACAGTCGGAACCGTGCTTCAGCCTCGGAGACGCGTGAGGCGGCAGAGGACGAGGGCGGCGAGCACGACTCTGAATGCGATGGAGATGAGGCCTGTCAACGGGCACGGTTCGCCCGGCTCGGGCTACATGGGCTTCACGAGCCATGCCACCGTCTTCGAACAGACGAAGCGAAAGCTCAGCCTGCTTCAGGGCCAGGGGCTGGAACCTCGTCTGTCGCGATCCCTTCCTGATGATCGAGCCGTTCCCTGGCTCTCTTTCGACCAGCTTCCCCATCTGGTGCGCCACATGAGCATCTATGTCCTGGAAGCTCTGCCGGGCCAGCGTAACGAGCAGATCGTCTTCAACCATGAGGATAGCCAGGGAAAGGGCTGGAGGCAAGTCGCTGTGGCTCGCATCACCCGGTCGGTGCAAGAGCTGCTGAAGAAGAACCCCGACGGGACGGGGCCTGACCTGGAGCGAATCGCCGAGATGATATGTCACAACTCGGCTCAGCCCTTTCGGGATATCGACGACCCGCATCGGTGGATGGATCAGTACTGCGATAGTAGCAGTCTCAGATGGGAGTCGATCGGGTGGATATGGGCAGGCTTGGAGCGTCTCGGGGACATTGTGAGCTCATTGCGGCCTTCTCACATCCAGTGGCTTCCCGGCAAGGGATCCCACGATGCGTCCAGAACGTACATGACATATTGTCTTGATTTGGCGCGACACTTTTGCGAGGGCAACCCCGTGTTGTTGGACCTTCATCGATGTCGGACGACTCTGCTGTCTATATTGGACGGCGATGCTGGTAAGCATGATGCGCTTTACAAGACAAGAAATCAGTGTTAACGTCAGTCCAACAGCTGGATCGTGCTGGTATTCTCACGGCGGGGGCGTGTCCATGATGACATTCATGGGACTACATGCCCTGGAAAAGGAGATTCCATATACGCCCACGCTGTGTTCCGAGAACAGCAGGCGAGTCGTAGCCCAAATCTTCAACACCGACAAGTGGTGTGTCGCATTCTCGGGGCGACCTCCTCTCATCCATCGCCGATTCTGCACGACACCTCTGCCCCTGGATCTTTCAGATGAAGACCTCGTAGCGGATGAAGCAACACTGCGCAAGGTTGTTTCAGAACTGGACGACCAAGGCTGGAACACAAAAGGTCACATTTATCCGGCTACGCTCATACGAGCCCGGCGTTTGCTGGCAGGCACCCTGGAAGAGGTCATGGAAATTGCATTGAGCTGTGCCGTTTGTGTCACTCTGGATGAACTGCGGTATGCCTTCTTTGCTAGGCTTTCCCGAGCGCAGCGAAGCTAATGAGGCCGCATAGTAACATTCAGACCCGAGAATTGGAAACGTATGCGGCACTGCCCGCGCATCTTCAACAGGGCCCCCATCTCCTGCTAGATCCCGAGCTGGACACCGAGTTGGTCTACGCGAGGATACTGATGCGGCTGGCTCATCTGCAGACCATGTTCTTATTGGAAAGGCTACTGCTGCTCAACGGTAGCCTGGACGAGGGCAACTTACTGCTCTTCAGCTTCGAGATGCTCACCCTCACTCTTGCCCTGTGGACGCATAAAGACCGTTTTGCCGAAATGCGGCGCAACTTTGAATGGCTTGTAAGTCGTCGAGATTCCCGATCATGACTTACATATAGCAAGATGAACCCGTTCTGACAGTTGAACGCAAAGCTCATGGCCCACGCAGCCCCGGCAGGCGGCATCCTCTGCCTCGAGCTGCTCAACCCGACATTCGCCGGCAAGCACCCCAGCGACGCCCGCATCACCCGCTCCAGCATTATCCAGAACCTCAGCCTCCTCGTCGGCTTCCTCGACTGGGTGCGTCCGTCGGCGCCAAACGGGGATCTGTGCATGGACTGCAAGGTCATTATCCAGCGGGTGCTGGATCACACGCTCAACGGCAGCGCGGATGGGAACAGTCCGCGGGCGGCGCTGGCGTTTGATTTCCCGGAGCCGTTGGATTTTAATTTTGAGCTGTTGGATACGTTTGACTGGCTGCATACAGATGTTTAATAAGGCGTTGCGAGCTATTTCGCCAGTAGTAGATAGTGCTTTAAGGTGCCGAACGCGCACGTGACCACGCGTCACCAAGTCCTCCCAGGCCCTTGGTGCCTTATTTACTTTCGCCATCACATCTTCTCTCCATTCACCACATAAGCGCACGAGGCGCGTCAGCTTGGCATCATGGACATCTTGACGCCCGAAGAACTCGATGCCATCGAAAACAACCCCCTTGGTGACGCGCTGAATCCCATACGAGAAGCACTGCGGGAAGCGGACTCGACGCTGGGCAGCTTCCAGCTGGACGGCACGACGGACATCGTCGAAGATTCAGATCCGCCCGGGCGACCGCGGCTGTTTGTAGCAGCGCTATACAAGCTGCTGGGTATATTCATCGGCTCCGAGGCCCCTGCCTTCCTTGCTTCAAGGACCGGCGGACGTGATCTAGCCTCCGATTTGTATGCCGTTCATTCATTGCTTCGACCGAACGACATTCGGACGACCGACACTACCTACCAGTATTTCCGTCCGTTGTCAAGAGCCGTCATCAGGCGGGCCCCAGACGCCGAGATTTGGACCGCCGTCATCCGTCTCGTCCTCGCAACATCCCACTCCCACTCCACTCCGCCTCCCAGCGATGCGACATCCGCCGGGACCCCCATCACCCATTCATCAGCTTCGCAGCAAGGGTCGGAACAGACGCGGCAGGCCATAGAAGACCGCGTGTTTGAAGAGATCTGCCACTGCACGCATCGTGCGGTTGGCGGCTTCCACGAGAAATATTTCCAAGGCAGAAAATGGAACCGACGAGCAAACCAAATCTGGCAGCACGCCAAAAGTCAATACGGCGACGGCGAGCATCGATGGACCCAGCTCCCCAAAAAGTGCACCGAGGACGACGTGTGCAAGTGGTGGCTCAACTTGCAAAAGGAGTTTATGGCAAACGAGAGAACCGCCTTCTTCAGAAGCTCCGGGGACAATAGAGTTGGAACCGAGGCGCAAAGACAGCTGGACCTCTTCGTGAAGCTGAAAAGAGATGGCTACAAGCACGACTGGAAACATGTCCTGGTGGTTGGCGAAATGAAAGAGTCGGACAAGAACTCCAAGGCTCTGTGGCTCCAGATTGGCAGCGCAGTTCGAAACGTCTTCGCTGCCCAACCTACACGTCGTTTCGTCCATGCATTCTCGCTGAGAGGAACTGTGATGGAGAATTGGGTCTATGATCGGTCTGGTCCATATAGTGGCGCCGCTTTTGACATCCACGACCAACCCGAAAAGTTTATCCAGGTCATGTGCGGGTACCTGATGATGAGCGACGAAGAATTCGGGCTGGATACCTTTTTGATGCGGAGGGATCACAGGCTGTTTGCCACAATGCCTGTTGAACCTCGTGCAAACAGGAGGAAGCGGAAACTTGAGCTCGACGCTAAACCAATCGCCTTTCAAAGAGCCATCGTCTGCCGCGGGACGTCCTGCTTCCGAGCCCGCGACGTGGGCTCGACAGAGCTTGACACGGTTGTCAAGTTCTCTTGGACCTCCAGCAAGCGACCACCTGAAGCAGAACTACTCACAAAAGCTCACGAAAGGGGGGTTAGAGGGCTTGCGAAACTGGTTGGCTATTGTGAGGAGGTCACTAGCATCAGTGAGCTACGTCAAGGCCTCGTCTTTGTGACTCCGTACAAATTCCGGGATACCCCGGGCGGCTCTGGAGTATCCGCTTCACAGTCACGACCCCTTGGCCCTTCCGTTCCGTTTTCCGGTCCCAGCATTAGCAGTAGTGCGTCAAGAAAACGGAAATCTGCGGCCGAGTCGAGCCGTGCGGCTAAGAGATCTCGATCACATAGCTCGCTACACAAGACAAAAGACGAAGAGAGCGAGTTGAGTTACTCTATCGAGACACCGCAAGGGACCAGCCTAATTCAGCAGGACCAAGACCTGCCATACGACAATCGCATTCTGCGGGTTCTGGCCATCTCTCCAGCGGGACGATGCATCAGTCAGTTCAGGTCCGTTGTTGAGCTTCTTGAAGCCCTGTGCGATGCCATCAAGGTACACCGCTCTCTCTACCTGGACGGCAAAATTCTCCATCGCGACATTTCCGAGAACAACATTATCATCACCGACCCGGCGAAATCCGATGGCTTCAAAGGCATGCTCATCGACCTGGACTTGGCCAAGGAAGAAGGCAAGGGCCCTAGTGGGGCTCGGCATCGAACCGGCACAATGGAGTTCATGGCGATTGAAGTCCTTCTAGGCACCTCACACACGTACCGTCACGACCTCGAAGCGTTCTTTTATGTCCTGATATGGCTCAGTGCACGTAGAGGCTGGGCCTTGTCCAAGGCGTCACCGCCCAGACAAAGCTGTCTATCGTCCTGGTACACAGGAAGCTATCAAGACATTGCGAGGGTCAAGCGTGGGGATATGGGGTCAGAAAATGGACTGCTTTATATCTTGGAAGAATTCCCGGAAGAGTTTGATTGTGTCAAGCCCTTATGCAAGAGAATCAGGAGCATTTTATTCTCACAAAAAGGCTTCACGGGCACCCCTAAAGATCCGAGTCTACTATACGATCCTATTATTACAGCATTCCAAGATGCTACTGCTGCAATTCAAGCGGGAGATGCTTATACTTGAAGGGATTGGCTTTAAAAGCCTATTGCCGATTTAGCTAGATCTTCTCTCCAACTAGATCTATTATATCAGCTATGGCATTCCGGAACTAGACTTGCAGAACTTGCGGCAATGACAGCTGTCTTAAGGCTCTGAGAAACGACAGATGAATGATCACCTTGGTCAGTTAGAAGCCGCTGTCTGTCGAGATCTCTTGCAGCGATTACATAGACTATGAGGTAAAATTGAAGTCTAGAACGCCTGAGAAGCAAGTTGCCAATGCCTGACTTGCCAGGTCTATACCATTTGCAACACAGCGATGGCATGAGTCCTCACGAGTGGTCTTCTCCTGGCGCGTGATTGGTCATGGCCGTTGTCTGAGAACGTTTCGACATAGTCGAAGCTGTTGTCTCTATCCAAGCTCCGCCATGAACAGAGAATGAGGTGCTGATCTAGGGCAAGTTCGGATCATCCATAGTCTCCAAGGGCAGGGTCTGAGGCCTAATTGACAATCGTAATAGCAGTCACAGCAAGGACGGCAAAGAGCCTGCCGCCGTGGGCTTTGTACGGCGCTTGGGCAACGTGAGAAGAGGAGGCTTATCGCAAGTTCTGATTGTGAGCTTTATGATCCGGCCACCAGTCAGCTTTCAGTTGATACCACAGATACAGCTATATATATATATATATATATATATATAGCGTATGGACAGCATGCACAGCTTGCAGTTTTCCTGGGGAGCCTTGCTGGTGGATGGTGAGCGGGGACGGCTGGGCTTACAAGATACTAGATCACAACCTTGGCAAAATGAATCATCTTCTTGGCTGATGTTTCACCCCAATTCAGCCTATATACCGAGCTATGTAAACCACAATGCCATCTCAGTCTTCGGTGATGACACGCCCCGAGATGCAAAAGCCATCGAAAATGTTGCTGTTGCCCCATAGAATGCAGCATCCGGACAAGGGTTACCGGTCGAAATCTAGCGATCCGGTTCCTGAGTCTAACCCTGCAGCCAATCTGGCGTCTTATAGCGAGCACATGGCACCGGCTGACCCCTGGCTTCGGTGCCGAAAGAATCCTAGAGGGATGCACTGCATCTCCCCCAGGTACACCATGGCTCTCGGTGAACCTATAGCAGTGAAGCAATTGGCAAGGTAGCTTCATCGTGTTGCTGAGCTTCCATATTGTTAATGGGCTGTATATTGCCTTGTAGCTGTGCTGTTAGCCGCACCGAGTAGACTGATTTGGTGTATATATAAATACCATGTAAGCCATGCTCTGGGCAGTTCTATTCGACATTTTTACAGCAGCTGCTCCTATTAGAAAGCCAAGATGAAGAAGGGAGCCATCCTGGCAGCTCTCCTGCCTCTGGTAGGGGCAGACGATGCCGCAAACTCCCAGATCCGCATCGCCTACCACGGCGACGACGGCATGATGGTCAGCTGGAACACGTTCGACCACGTCCCCCGTCCCAGCGTCTTCTGGGGCCGATCAAAGGAGCACCTCACCAACGTCGCCTCCTCGGCCGTGTCCGTCACGTATCCCACGTCGACAACGTACAACAACCACGTCCTGATCAAGGGTCTCAAGCCAGACACGACGTACTACTATCTCCCGGCACAGCTTAACGAGGACGTCTGCTACGAGCCGTTCAACTTCACCACCAGCCGCAAGGCTGGCGACAAGACGCCCTTTTCCGTCGCCGTCGTCGCCGATCTGGGGACCATGGGCGCGCGCGGCTTGACGACGTCCGCAGGCACCGGCGTCTCGGGCAACAACGTGCTCAAGCCGGGCGAGAAGAACACGGTCGACTCGCTCATCGGCAACATGGGAGACTATGAGTTTCTGTGGCACGTCGGGGACATTGCGTATGCGGACTACTGGCTCAAGGAGGAGATTCAGGGATTCCTGCCCAACACGACGGTCGAGGAGGGGTACAAGGTGTACGAGGCCATCCTCAACGACTTTTACAACGAGATGATGCCCGTGACGGCGTCAAAGGCGTACATGGTCGGGCCGGGGAACCACGAGGCCAATTGCGACAACGGCGGAACTCCTGACAAGGCGCACAACATCACGTACGATCTCAGCATCTGCATGCCCGGCCAGACCAACTTCACCGGCTACAAGAACCACTTCCGCATGCCGAGCGACGTGTCCGGCGGCACGGGCAACTTCTGGTACAGCTGGGACAGCGGCATGGCGCACTTCATCCAGCTCGACACGGAGACGGACCTCGGCCACGGCTTCATCGGCCCCGACGAGCTGGGCGGCACAGAGGGCGAAGGCGCCAGTCCCGTCAACGGCAAGATGAACGCCCAGATCAAGTGGCTCGAGGCCGACCTCCGGGCCGTCGACCGCAGCCTCACGCCCTGGATCGTCGTGGGCGGCCATCGGCCCTGGTATCTCAGCCACGAGAACGTCACGGGCACCATCTGCTGGAGCTGCAAGGACGTCTTCGAGCCGCTCTTTATCAAGTACGGCGTCGACCTGGTCTTGTCCGGACACGCCCACGTGTACGAGCGCCAGGCTCCGATCGCAGACCAGAAGATTGACCCGCGAGAGCTGGACAATCCTTCCTCGCCGTGGTACATTACGAATGGAGCGGCGGGCCATTACGATGGACTGGATGTGCTGCAGAGCCCGAGGCAGGAGTACAGTCGGTTTGGGCTTGACACGACGAATGCGACGTATGGATGGAGCAAGCTGACGTTTCACAACTGCACGCACTTGACGCATGAGTTTATTGCGAGCAGCGACGATGCGGTGCTAGATTCGGCGACTTTGTATAAGAAGCGCAGGTGTGCGGACGGAGGTCATGGAGACCATTGGTGGTGAGGTTTGGGAATCTGTATACGAGAGGCTGAGGCTTGATAAGTACAAGGTAACAGAGGGTTGTCGATTTGCATGAGATCTGCCATGGCAGTCAGATACATATACGCTGAAATCCGGTGGAATTGGCTGGAGCCTTTTCTTGAGGAGGCGGATAAGCGAGACTCTGTTCGGATATGTTACCGGTATTTGGCTGTTTTGACCTCACGGCCGAACACGTCTTAACTTACATGATGAAGGGAAAATAGTTGAGAGTTGCTAATCTGACAAAGTTCCGAGGCTCAATAGAACAATAAAACGACAAGAACTGGTGGTGCAAGGGTGTCAAGTCGACTGATGCGCTCCCTTTCATCAAGGCAGAATCATGCCATATAGATCGTACCAGAGCATCAGCGCTACCTCATTCCAACGCACATCATATCCCGGACATCTGTACATGTAGTATATGTACTTCTCCCTCCGGAGCCTTCACACTCCTCCATCGGACTCGGCCCCGAACCTCGCCTTCGGTCTAATCCCTGCTCGTCCGCCGTTGGTTGTACAGATACTCCGCATAGGCCCCCATTCTCCGCATGTAATATTCCGTAGGCTCTCACTCCTTCCTCTCTCTCCTACCTGTCTTTTCCATATCGGTCGAGTAGGCCATCATCGTAAGACAAGAACTATCAGAGTCAAATCAAGGGAGGTATGCACAGCTTTCTGTTTGTCTGCGTGTTTGTGTCCCCCCTAAGGCCGGGCGAATCTTCACCAAGTAGCTCATCGAGCTATACGCGAATTTGACAAGGCTCGTCATCATCAAGCCACAGAACTAACTAGTAGTTGGGAAGAAACAGATCTGCCGAATCCGATCACTTCAGCCATTGTTACGCCAAGCAGTCTTGGCTCAGTTGTTTGCATTCACTGAGAAGAAGCTGTAGAATATAACTAACACAGGCCGCTGTTTGGCTCAAGCTCCCGAGGCAAGACAACGCTTCGCACTCGGTTCACAAAACGAACAAGACAGCTTGCAAACGGGCTGCTGCATGCATGTTGGTACCGTATTGTAACTCACATGCAAAGCAGTGACCCGATCTTGTGTACCCATGCACCAGCTGGCAATAAGCTTTCCTGCTTGATCAGTTGCTCCCCCGTCAGACGTTTATATCTTAATAGGCAATTGTTGTCAGCGCGCCGGAGGAACTCGCAGAACTCCTCGTTTGCTCTCCGCATATAAGTCAAGGCACGCGCCCCCTCCCCCATCGGCTGCTTTGTCTGTTGCTTTTCGAAAGGACGACACCCCGGTCTCTTCCGTAAGCCATCTCGGGGAATTCGAGCGAAAGAGAAAAAGAAAGGGAGATGGACTTTCAACATTTTGCGCCGCAGATCGACAAGATCCCCAAGCTGAAGCCGAAAGAAGTCGCTTCCATCGCCTTTTGGAATGTTCGTCGTCTCTCCGCCACATCACAAGCCTCTGAACATCAAACCCGAGATACTCAGGCGTCAATTGGATGTTCAAACCCCTGACTAGAATAATGCTAGACCGTCCGCGACAACTTTACCATCTCAACATGGATCGCCATGGGAGCCGTCCTCCAGGGCCTCCTGCTCCTCTTCGCGCGGCCTACCTTTGCCGTCGCCCCAGCAGCTCTCTTTCTGCTCTTCCGATTCACGCGCACGATGCTCATGCATTGGGGTCTCATTGCCAACACGCAGATGCAAGACGTTCTCATGGGCAAATATACCGTACAGATCCCGAACGTGGACGGCAGCCCCCCGAGTGAAGTCGCCGACAAGGGCATTGCAATTATCATGCTGGGCGTGAGGAACAACCAGTGCGTTTGTTGCCCATCTGCTTCATATTTTGTTAGCAGTTCTCGCTGATACGATGTTTCTCATAGTGCATTGGGCTTGTTTGGATCAGGCGCCAAGGACATCTTCCTCTTCTTCAAGGCGATGATGCAGGCCCTCCACGACGACAAGGAGAGCGGCTGTATGTCCTTCACTTCAAATTTCCTTGTATACCGAATCCTCCATGAACTGATGATGAGGACAGTCCTCGGCGCATCTTACTACAGAAGTGCCAATGAGCGTTTGACAGTAGGCGATCCAATGAGGCTCCTGTATTACCAGAATCACTCTGCTTATCCTCGTTCTTCCAGTCCAACGGCTTCATGACGTGCTGTTACTTCCGAACCGTCGAGGACATCCATCGATTCGCCCACTCTCCCGTCCACCGCGAGGGCTGGAACTGGTGGAACAAGGTCACCGACACGCATCCGCATCTGAGCATCATGCATGAAATCTACGACACGCCGAAGAAGCAGTGGGAGAATATCTTTATCAACTATCACCTCACGGGCATTGGTATGCTATTTGAGATGTTCAATTTAGAATAAACGATGACATGAGCTTACAGTATGAGCAGGCAAAATGGCGAGGCCGGTCGTTATCAACGGACAAGAGTACACGCCTATTGCGAACGCTGCTAAAGGGCCGCTGAGTACACACAAGGGACGTTTGGGCAAGCCAGGACAAGGCGACCTTGAGAAGGAATATCTGGCCCATGCCTACTAACCTGCACTCAGTTGGATAGACAGACCAGATGAGGGCATCTAAAAGCTGCGTCTCTGTTCTTACATAGAGGGGTAAATGAACCACAAGTGTAACCATCCAGAGCTATTGGTGTGGCTTATACCGCTGGAATGCGCACAACCAGAGCTGGCAGCAACCATGACGCCTCAATATAAAGAGCCGGGTCCGCGTCCAATGATGGCATGATGATGCAAGACGAAGGAGAGGAAATCCTGGCAGCGCGAATCAGTGGCTCATCCTTCGTTCGTTATATAGCCTGAATATACCCCAGATCTACCTGCATCCGCCGGATCTAACCTACCGATCCAGAGTATACGCTCTTGTAACGCCCATGTAATCATGCTCCAAGTACGGCCGTCGACGAATGGATTCATCTGGTGCTTACGTGATGCCTTCTACGATAACAACAATCCCGACTCCTTCAACGCCGCGCTCGTGACAACCAGCTCGCTGGCAGGCATGGCTTTCAACATCTTTTATCCGTTCGTTTACATCATATACCTATCTGTGCAGTTTGCGGAGCTGTTGGTGTCACGCACGCTTCGGCTGCTGATGCTGACCGGGGGGGAGAAGAAGAAGAAGCAGCCTGATGTTGCCTCGAATCCATGCTTGTCGTGCAAGCTGAAGAATCGGCGGTGCGACAGGAGGCTTCCGCAATGTCTGGAATGTACAAGGTCAGAAACTACATCCATGGTCATCTGTTCAAGTCTCTATGATAGCAGAGATTAATACAACGATGCAGAAAAAAGCGCCACTGTGACTACAATGTCAAGGAAATCGCCCCCCATATCTCTGAGCCATCGTCAGACTCTTTTCAGGAGGATTATCTCGCAGTTCACGCTCCGCCCTCAACTTCAAATCCATACACCCTTCCAGTGTCCAACTTTCCAGCCCTGTACTTTGTCGACCCGCCAGTCTTTCACAACCATCACGTCGAGATCCCCAAGCCGTCGGATCGCCTGCCGAGCTACGTCGTCGGAGAGCTCGGCAGCGCACTCCAGCATGAGTTTATCGGCCGCCTGTTCTTTCACACCATTCATAGATGGTTCCCCATGATCTCACGGAAGCGCTTCTATGAGGAGCTGCACGAGGCCTCTGAAGGTCCTGGTGTCGCTGCCGACTTTGGCTGTTTGCTCCTGGCCATGAAGCTGATGACATGGCGCCCTCCTTCGTTAGAAGGCGATGCTCCCGGCGGCGAGGGACCGAACGCTCGTACGGCGACCTACCGCGCGGCGAAACAGTTTTGCTTTGAACTGGAGGCAGCTGGAATGGTCTCTCTTCGAGTTCTTCAGGGCATGCTCCTGGTCGCGCTGTACGAAGTCGGACATGCAATCTATCCAGCGGCCTTCATGTCCGTAGCAGCGTGCGTACGATATGCACATGCCTTGGGGATACAGCCGGGGGGCATGCAGAGGCTCAAGCTGCCGCTGACGTGGGTGGAAGCAGAGGAGCGGAAGAGGGTCTGGTGGTCAGCCTTTCTGCTGGACCGGATCGTCAGTCTGAACTGCCCAGGCTGTCCGGCGGCGATTGACGAGCCCGGTCCACAAGAAGTTCTTCCGACAGATGACGCGTTGTGGGATGAAGGCGTGAGTATCATACCACAGCCGAGGACCGTGGACGTGGCTAACGTACGTCTTCAGGCTGCAGAAGAGCCTTCATCCCCATTGCTCAACAAGCCCGTCAGCATGGAGTTCGGGAGGTTTGCATTGTTGACGCAGGCTTTTGTTCTGCTGTCCAAGGTGCTTAAACTCAAGTCCACTTCGCCAGAGACCTCGACAAAGGCTCTGAAGGATGAGGCGCAGCGGCTGGAACGCACAATAAAGGCGCTGCTCTACTTTGGACAGATGGAGGTCAAGTCGCGAAACGGAATGCCGAGCTTTGAGCTTCACTCGGTCTGCACGATGTGAGTTCTCTTAAACTTCTCGCGGCACTTCAGAAGGGACAATTTGAAACTGACTTTTTGTGTCAAAAGATCTTTGATAACATTGTACACTTCGCCCAAGATCCCCATTGATATGCCCATCAGGTTCATCGAATCCCTCGCCGACTTGTTGAACAGCTCCAACTATGAGCATCTGGTAACGGCAGCGCGCCGTGGACGAGACGAGATTTCGCCATTTCTGATACAGCTCCTATACCAGACTTGCGTGCTCCTGCTGAAGACTGAACACCCCAAGAATGGCGACTGGAGCGATACGCGGGTAGAGAAGCTCAGGAGCGCATTGTGGTGGCTGGATAAGAGGTGGCAGCTTGCAGGTAAACCTTTTACGAACCCAAAGATTTGAGGAGAGAAAGCAGAGACTAATGTGTATATTGTTAGGTGTCTTTCGTCAGTCGCTGGAAGCTCAGCAACTTGCGTTGACGAGGGACAGCAGCAAGGCATCTGACAGTGGTTCCAAGGACGAATAACCCGTGCTTGCTTGATGACCATTCTGCCTTGAAGAAGGTAGTCTCTGTATAGCGCAGAGTCGTATATACTTCTGTGGTTTATAGCTGTACATACATTCATCGTACATAGTTACCAGAAATTGTGCTGTTCAGTCGATTCTGACAATCGTTTTGCTCAAGACCAAGGGGCTGAGGCTCACAGAAACTACATGTAAGCGACGGGACTTGGATCCCACAACGAAGCTGCAATATGACTTGGTCGTGTCAAGCTCCTTATTCTTGTCTCTAGCAAGACAGCGCCTAAATCTTACTTAACAAGCCAACTTGAATCGCAGAAGCCTTATGAAATAGAAGCGCATCTTCTCCCGCGTTATGCATTGGCTATTCCCACGTTGCCCAAGCCATTGTGGCGGTGCGAGTTGTCAGTTCTCATCAGCTCGCACTAATGGTTGAAGCCGACCGCTATCCGAAGAGAATAGGCTCACCTCTCAGGTGCCTCTACCGGCTTCATTTGTAATCCCGTTTCCCTCACTTGAACCTCGTCTCTTGAATCTCACCACAACTCTTCAACTCAACGTCCATATCGCCTCACACGCCAAGTATCCATCTCCATCTCTTCCACATCACAAAACTTATAACTCAGCATCTGCCCATGACTCTCGCTTAAATCAGCATGTCAGACAAGGGCGAAAACGTCATCCTCCCCAGTAACGCCGTCTTCCTCGTCCACAAGGTCGGCACCTCGAAAGCCGGCCGCGGAACGCAATGGGAGACGCGCACAAAGGCCATGCGCGCTGCCCCAGACCCCAATCCCGTGTTGTCCATCGCAAACAGCAAGAATGACGCCGTCAAAACAAAAGGCGACGCTGCCGAAGGAGGAGCATCGTGGGAGTTTGTCTCCTACACGCCCCGCAACGTCCATCAACTCCCAAGGAGGCCCAAGGACAAGGAACCCAAGCGGAAGCGACGCGTTCAAAAGGATAGCAACTCACACAAAAACAAAAACACTTCCCTTGTATCGGTTAAGCAAGAGCCGAAGCTACTTCGCGACCCCGACCTCTTGCCGCCGGATCTCCCCGTGGCCCTGGTTGGACATGCGCTTCTCTACATCAACTTTTGTATTCTCATCTCCGTTCCATGCTTTTTACACTATTTGAGTGCTCCAACTAAACTGTAAACAGTCTTTCACTCAATAGCCGCGGGAGCGTACACGCTCCCATGCCTGCTCTTCAACCCTGCCAAGAGAGACTGGTTCCCCAGGATGATGCAGGATGAAGCCTGGCGATGCATCATCTTGTCTCTCTCCGCCAGCACACTCGCCTCCATGACGGGTTCCTCTTCCAACTACGTAGACTCTCACGCTCTCCTCGACGAAGCGCTGCGGCAGCTCAAGAGCCGGGTCGCGTCCGGTGCCCTTCCATCCGACCAGACCCTGGGGGCGATCTCGTGTCTATCCATGTGGAATGTAAGCCATTCTGTATCCTATTCCTCGGTTTCTCACTTGGTTTGTTTGCATTTGCTCACATGCCCAGAATGAGCAAGGAAACCACGAAAAAGCGTGGATTCACGCCAAAGGCCTCGCAGAACTCGTCAAGCTACGGGGAGGCTTTTCCAAGATCAGCGACGGCATGAGATCCAAAGTATATCGGTAAGAAGCCGCCTCACCGACAATACACATGGGCACTCGCTTACAACAACCTTTCAGAGGTGTCTTTGACATTGCGGTCAACAGTGATAGGCCTCCTCTTTTAGATGACGGTCTGCGAGGCTATCCGAGCGGCGCAATAGTCTCCGAAGACGGCTCAGCAGCGGATGACTCCGAGTTGGATACCTCCGAGTGCCGGATTCCGCTGCGTCTGTCCAGCATGTTCGATGATGTCGTACAGTTCAGTTCCACCGTTGACGATGCCATGACTCGGAACATCAAGCTGGACACAAATTATCTTTACCAGCTTGTCTTTGGGCTGTACAATCGTCTCCTGAGCTGCCAATCCGACGACATGAGTGGCTGCGACAACAGCCTTCGCATCTGCCTCATCCTATACATCAAATCCATCGTCTCTCACGACAATCTAAACACAACATCGACGCACTTGGTCAGAAAGCTTCAGGCTTCTATCCAAGACTGTCTGGACGCCCACTCTTCAACGCCACTGACCAGATGGAAGCTATTTGTCGGCGGCCTTGCCGCCACGGAGGGAACTACTGAAAAGCAGTGGTTCCTTCAAAAACTGGCCGATACCACGGCAGAAAAGACCTTGGAAGGCGAAGATGGCTGGGAATCGCTACAGGCGGAGCTGGGCAGCATCGTATGGTCAAGGCCAATCAATGAGGGGGCCGGACATAGACTGTGGCTTCAGATTGTGGAAACTCGGTCTCAGTGATGACGGGTCTCGATTCACGATGGCGGGGGGCTCCGAATGTTCCAGCTGGGAATAGCTTCATGCGTTGATGATGCCGGACAAAACTCTACAGAGTGCAGTTCCCTATTCGGAGCACCTGGGTTATTATACTTGGACTCTTGTATGCACAAAAATCAATATGTCTCCGGTGGCGGTGGCTGTAGCAACAAAAGTTTGTTTACTTCTTTCTCGTCAGGATAGGCTCCCAGACCTCATGATTGGATTATCAGGTTCCCAATATTAGCCACAAAGCGATGTGCATTGCGAGAACCCATGTGCTTCGTCCAACGGAGATATAGCGTCAGTTATCGTGTCGCCGGCAAACCATCCTCATCTGGTACGCAGCCCTAAGGTATGTTGAAACAAACGATATATTACCCCTGGACGGCAAGATCGTGGACTCTGGTCTGAAAAGAAAATTCCAAACACCTCGCTCGGTCAAGGCAGAAACTCTCTCAGCCATAGTTTCCAGCTCTGGTCTATCTTATTCAAAATATCTCACGTCCTCCAACCGAAGGATGCCAAACTCTCTCGGAGACATACTCCATCCCAACAAAGACTAACATCGTGGCCATCCAAACAAACTTCAACAGACTTCTCCCATCCCACCGCCAAAAGTCTCCAAAGCCACAGCCCATTTCACATCTCCCAACAAAACTACATCCCAGCCTCAAACTCAAAATGTCCGCCATGTTTCCCTTTACACTGAGATTGTCTCCGATCACGCAGATCCGCGCCTATATAAAGGGGTCCCTTTCCCCCCATCTCTCTCTCTTTTCCCTCCCAATTTCCATCAATCTACCAACTTCTCTTTCGCTGGCTCTCGCTTCGCCATCGCGCTTTTTTATTCTTTTTTCAAAAAAGAAACAACAAACCACTCTCGCCTCCGTCCTCTCTTTTTCTTCGTCTTCGAAGAAACCAAATCTTCGGTAAGCAAACCTCTCCGTCACTCTCTCCAACAAAGTGAAAAGTCACTAACATACAATTCTACAAGCAGACCCTCCTCTTTTTTTTTCCCCTTCTCTTTACAAGGGAGAAAAAAAAATTGAAAAAAAAAAAAAATGTCTGACCAGCCCGCCGAGGAAATTCCTCAAGGGTGGTCGGTGGTATCCGCCTCCGAGCTGGATGCCATCGCGATGGAGATCCAGCCGCTTGGTCTCGGGCTGGATGCCCTGGCCAGCTTCTTTTCGGGGGCCTGGCAGGTGAGGATGATGGAGGAGAGGCGCGCCGCCGAGGCGTGGAGGCGGAAGAACACGGCTGAGATTGGCCGTCGACTGGCCAAGGACTTGGCGGGCTTGAAGAAGTGAGAGGGCCCAGGAGAGATAGGGGGAGGGGATAGAAGCAGCGCAGATTGAACAGTCATATACAATCTTGCAGAGCTTCGGTCAGACAGTCTTGTCTCAATACAAACTTGACTTGAATACAATCTTGTCTTGAACGTCATCGTGACTTGTTGCAGTAGTAGTTCGAATACAATCGTCTCTTGCGTAGCCCAGTGTTCGTATCCAGTCGTGACAAGTGCCATATATATACATCCACAAGTCTATGGTAGAAAAGAATTACACAACGTGATACCCTACAAAACTCCTCATTCTCCCCTTGACTCTATTGATTCCCATATCACCGCTCTTCATCGCTTCATAACTCATCATGCCCGTGCGCTGGGTCAGGCCGCCCGAGGTCCTTTTGCAGGTCCACGCCAGTCTTCAGCCGCCACTTCTCCCACAGGTCCCAGAATTCGCTCTCCATCTTTTTGTCCATCTGGTCTGGCAAGATGACTTCGTATGTGACGTATAGGTTTCCAAACTCGTGTGTATGGTAGACGCTCTCTCCCTCTTCGTGCCATATAGGCATGCCTTCGCCAGGAATGGTTTCTACCAATCCGCTCTGAACGACTTGGCCTCGCTCGCGCCCAAGACGCACGACGTGCTTGTCGAGGTGCGTGAGGTTGCGAGTCCAGCCACCCATCCAGGCCTCCCGCAGCGACAGAACCTCCGTCCAGTACAAGTCGTGGCCCTTGCGCCGGAAAAAGGTGCCGTCGACGCGATCGGGGTTATCCTCGTATGACGGAGCCTTCTCGCCCAGGTTGACAATGAGGTCGCCGGGAACCCAATCGGGGCTCTGGTCGGCTTCGTTCTCAAACACCACCTTGGCATCCCGAGCAATGCCCCTCTCGACGGTCAGGCTGATGGTCGCCATCTTGCGCTCGACTCGGTTGCCGTGGCAGACGGGACACTTGTTCTTGATGGTCTTGCCCGAGCCGCCACAGTGGTCGCAGCGAACCTGCATCTGTTGGAACATGCCGGGCACGAGCTGCTGCTTGACAATTCGGACCCCGTGCCCACCGCAGACGTTGCACGTCTCGACCTTTCCGTCCGCGCTGCCCGTGCCCTCGCACTTTTCGCAGATGTGCTGCTTCTCCCACTGGAACTCGGTCGTTGCGCCGTTGTAGAAGTCGCGGAGGGAGATCTCGACGCGGACCTCGATGTTGCTGCCTCGGGGCTCGCGGCTGTTTCTCCCAAAGTGGCCGTGGCCGCCAAAGAATCTGCTGAACAGGTCGAAGGGGTCGCCTCCTCCGCCGCCGCCGCCGCCCTGGCGATGGGACTTGACGCCGTCGTGACCGTAGCGGTCGTAGACCTTGCGAAGCTCGGAATCGCTTAGGACTTCGTAGGCCTCGGAGACCTGGACGAATTTCTCATGTGCCGTCTCGTCGCCTCTAGAAACAACAAAGTAATCAGTACATGGGGAAAGACATGGTAAGGCTGCGTGTAGCTGGAAGAGGCGTACGGGTTCTTGTCTGGGTGGTATTTCTTGGAGAGCTGGCGGTAGGCCTGCTTGAGCTGCTTGTCTGACGCAGCTTTGTCGACTCCTAGAATCTAATTATGTGTCCGTCAGCATCAACGGGGCTTGATTCGAGGCATTGAGTCTGTCGTACTTTGTAGAAGTCCTCGGCGCAAAACGCCAGCGATACCAGCGCCAGCAAGACGAAGATTGCCGCGCGCAGTATCATGATGCCTGTGATGTAGCCTCTGTCCCAGTAGCTGATGCCGCAGGAATATGTAATCTATAAAAAGATAAAGAGAATCAATTATTGCAGAGACTCATGAACTCGAATCTCCCGCTGATCTGCTCTGGTGGCAGATCTCGAGTGGTGCAGTCAAGAAATGCTGCAGATTCGCAGCTCGTCTCACTCAATAGTTTACAGCGTGTTAACATTGGATTTCCAGCGTCACTCAAGGGCCCGAATTAGTGAATTAGCGGCTGCATCATCGCTGATAACGCCCGCCCCAGCGCTATCGCAGGCCGCCGATTGGGTCGCGGATTAACTGCGGACTGACAGCGTCCCCAGAATCCCGGAGCTCCACTATAATTCGGCAGCTGTCTCTTTACTTCCAACCCAGTCTAGGCAAGCAATCGCGTCTCATCCTTTCATCCAGCTCCAGCAGGTGCCTGGAATCGAGGAGCACAGAAGCAGAAGCAGAAATCAGCTCTTTCTGCTCTCACCAGACAGTAACTGCTTCTCACCACCATCGGCAAGATGAGCTCCAAGAAATACGCCTTCGTCCCGATGGACGATGGCGACGCCTCGGATCGCCACAAGGAGAGCCGCATGAGGTCCCGCCAGGAGTATCTTAAGAAGCGCGAGGCTGAGCGGCTCGCCCTGCTGAGGAGGCAGGTCGCCGAGGAGACGGAGGAGCTCAGGAGCGGCGTGCGGCTGTCGGAGAGGGAAAAGGCAGAGTTTGCCAAGAACAGAGAGCTGCTGCGCCTGGCCGAGGAGCGGCTGAGGATCGACGACCACCAGGATGGCTATGTGATGCCCGAGGACTACATCACCGAGAAGGGCAAGCTGGACCAGAAGAAGAAGGAGGAGGCGCTGTACAAGCGCCACGTCGAGCGGGATGAGTACGGCCAGGAGAAGTTTGTCACGGAGCATGACGAGTGGGAGCGGGAGCAGACCACCAAGGCCAAGGCCCAGATCGCGGGCCGGGAGCGGGAAAACGAGAACTACGACTACGTGCTGGACGACGCCCAGTATATCCAGTGGAGCCTGGACTCGCGGATGCCGGGCGAGCGCAAGACGCTGACCAAGGAGCAGCAGTTTCTGGAGGCTCAGATCGAGGCGGCGGAGAAGAAGGCCCTGTCCATCCAGGAGACGAGGAAGAGCCTGCCCATCTACCAGTACCGGGAACAGTTTCTGCAGGCTCTGGAGCAGTATCAGATTCTCGTCATCGTGGGCGAGACGGGCAGTGGCAAGACCACCCAGCTGCCTCAGTATCTCCACGAGGCCGGCTACACCAAGAACGGCATGAAGGTCGGATGCACACAGCCGCGACGAGTGGCCGCCATGAGTGTGGCGGCTCGTGTTGCCGACGAAGTTGGTGTCAAGCTTGGCCATGAGGTTGGCTACTCGATCCGGTTTGAAGACTGCTCCAGCGAGAAGACGATACTCAAATACATGACAGACGGCATGTTGCTCCGAGAGTTCATGACAGAGCCCGACCTGGCAGGATACTCGGCCATCATGATTGATGAGGCTCACGAGCGGACGGTACACACAGACATTCTTCTGGCCCTAGTCAAGGATTTGGCACGAGAGCGAAAAGACCTGAAGCTGCTCATCTCCTCTGCCACCATGAACGCTGAGAAGTTTGCACAGTACTTCGACGACGCCCCCATCTTCAACATCCCCGGTCGACGATATCCTGTGGACATTTACTACACGCCTGCGCCAGAGGCCAACTACCTAGCCGCCGCCATCACAACCGTGTTCCAAATTCATACCACGCAGGGCAAAGGAGACATTCTCATCTTTCTGACGGGACAAGACGAGATTGAAGCCGCCGAGATGGAGATTGCAGAGACGGCGAAAAAGCTAGGGAACCGAATCAAAGAACTGGTCATCTGCCCCATCTATGCCAACCTGCCGTCGGAACTCCAGGCCAAGATTTTCGAGCCTACCCCCGAGGGCGCCCGCAAAGTGGTGCTGGCGACCAACATTGCCGAGACAAGTCTGACGATTGACGGCATCGTCTATGTCATCGACCCCGGCTACGTCAAGGAGAACGTCTACAACCCGGCGACTGGCATGTCGAACCTGGTCGTCGTCCCGTGCTCTCGAGCATCCGCCAACCAGCGAAGTGGTCGTGCCGGACGTGTAGGGCCAGGCAAATGCTTCCGACTGTACACCAAGTTTGCCTACATGAACGAGATGGAGGAATCGCCGCTGCCGGAGATTCAGCGAACAAACCTCAACGGCGTCGTGCTGCAGCTCAAGTCGCTCGGCATCAACGAGCTGTTGGATTTCGAATTCATGGACCCGCCCCCGACGGAGACTCTCATCGGCGCCCTGAACCAGCTCTTCGCCCTCCAGGCTCTCAACCACAAGGGCGAGCTGACCAAGATTGGCCGCCAGATGGCCGAGTTCCCCACCGACCCCATGCTGGCAAAGGCCGTGCTGGCAGCCGACAAGGAGGGCTGCGTGGAGGAGGTTCTCTCCATCGTCTCCATGCTGGGCGAAGCGTCTGCGCTCTTCTTCCGACCCAAGGACAAGAAGATTCACGCCGACAGCGCCCGCAACCGCTTCACCGTCAAGGAGGGCGGTGACCACATTACGCTGCTCAACATCTGGAACCAGTGGGTCGACAGCGGCTTCTCGCCCATCTGGGCCAAGGAGAACTTTTTGCAACAGCGGTCTCTGACCCGCGCCCGAGACGTGCGAGACCAGCTGGCCAAGCTCTGTGAGCGGGTCGAGGTCGCCCCTTCAACGTGCGGCGCCAATAACCTGCGGCCCATCAAGCGCGCCATCACGGCCGGGTTCTTTCCCAACGCTGCCCGGCTGCAGAAGAGCGGCGACAGCTACCGCACATTCAAGAACAACACGACGGTCTGGATCCATCCGAGCAGCGTGCTGATGTCGGTCGACCCGCCAGAGAAGACAGTGATTTACTACGAGCTGGTCCAGACGACCAAGGAGTACATGCGCAGCGTGATGCCCATCGAGGCCGCATGGCTGTCAGAGTTGGCGCCTCACTTCCATAAGAAGAAGGACATTGAAGAGTTGGAGGACCGCAAGATGCCGAAGCATAAACGATGAGCAATGAGTCACTGCCTTTTATTTCGGGTTGTTCAAGCTATCACTACATACATTTAATGACGATCAGGGACAAGGTCGCTTCAACTTGGGTCTCAGCTTAGGCCTCGTCTTCCCAACGGTACATAATCTCCGTCCTCACGGTATACTTGGTACCTTCAAGTACATCCGCTCCCTCGTGTAGCAGCAGGGGGTGTTGGAAGATGAGGACGCTGCCGGTCTTGGGATTAACATCCAGGCGCTTCGACCTGTCGCGCGAGAGAAAGGACGTCGCACCCCCGACCAGGCCTTCATCGTTGAGGTAGAGATGTAGGGTATAATACGTCTCCAGGATGGGTCCCTCGGTGTTGCCAGATCGATAGGGTGCGTCGCAGTGTGCTGAGCAATTAGCTACGGGCAGGCAAGGGGCTCAGTCAATATCTACTTACGTCTGAAGAACATGCCAGGGGTGTACTTGAGGAAGCGCATCCGCTCATTCAGGCGGGCAAACCTCCATGTTCCTTGGGTGCGGATGTGATCGGGCCTTGGGCAGGGGGCCGTGGCAACGAGCTCCGAGAGCCCCTCCGCCTGAGCACAGCGGTCCCACAGGCGGTCCACGAGAAGCTGGTTATCCCAGATGATGCGGTCGCTGTTGCGGTAGCCCGGGACCCGAGCCTCGACGCCAGGCGCGACGCTGACGAGAGCCGGCTTCCAGGGCGAATCGCCGGGCTTTTCGGGCCGCGCCGACGCCTCGGCATAGGCAATCAGCTGGCTGCACTCCTCAGGGGACAGGACGTTGTCGAGGATCCAGGCCTTGCACTTGGCGTACTCGGGCACGGGGGAGTCCTCCCAGGGGACGGGCCTGAAGGTGACTGGCTGGGAGGGGGGAGTAGTGAGGAAGGTGTCGGGGATGTCGACGGGATTGGAGGTGTAGTCTGCGGTGATGAAGCCGGACATCTTGGTGGACGTTTCGGGCGCTCTAGGTGTTGATGAGCTGGACTTGAATAGCCTGGACAGCATGTTGACACTCGGTAGATTGTCTGCTCAGAGTGCTTGATACTCGATATGAGATTGTCTACTCGGCGTGCTTTATAGCTTTATATATGGTGTAGTCAATGAATGAAATGATGACTGGAGGCTGTGGCTTCACCGTACTTTTGACTGCTGTTTGCCTGCTAGGCACCTGTCTTTGATCCTTGACTACCTCATCCCGCGACACTTGGTAACACGTCGCTTACATGGAATGCAAAGGACAAGTGGCCATCAAAAAGACTAAACACAATCCAAATCTGACAGCAAATAATACGTTTCGAATGACAATCGCAGTGAAATGGTAAAGGTCTGTCCTCTGCGAATAGCTCAGCGTAAAGAGGGCAGTGCAAGTTCATCCTTGCTTGTCTCGTTTACCCGAAGCGGAGAAACGTGGAGGGATGCCTAGACGGGGCTTGTGAGGCTGAGCAGCGGTTGATGAGTTCTGTTTTGACAAGTTTTACCTGGCTCGCCCTTTACGGCTGCGAAATAAGAATCTTGTCGACTGGACGGGACAGTGGTGTAAAGCATGGCTGATGTAAAAGTGAGGGAGGGCGTATTTGTGTTTAATGGGAGAATAGGTCGGATTCAGAGGGGGGTGGTTGTGAAGCATGTTGGAGACGTAGGTTCAGTTGAGAGAGCTGTTGTCGGTGATTTTATCTTCTCAGTGACTTGTACAACGGGCTTCAGTACTATCGCATTGACAAAGAACAGCACACCATTCGCTGCCTTGTACTGCAATACGAAAGATGCGATTAGGTTCAAGTTGCTGAAATATTTCTTTCTGTTGTTTTTGTGGTCGGCTAGGTTCTACATTATTCTTGTGGCAATGTTGCGGAAATGCGTATTTGACCAAATTGTAGGTTAGCCTACATACATAGGTATGTAGAGTAGAAGCTTTCATCTACTCCGTAGGCCTCAGCTCGATTCGAACTCTTTCTAACGAAACTGCTACTCAGCATAGTACAAAAAAAACATGAAATTAAAAAATCAAAATAGCAATTCGACATGGAACAAGAGAAAATAACTGGAGAGGAGATGGAACAGAATCACGTCTAATAATTCATCTTGAATTCAACGCAGACTGAGCGAAAGCACAGCAAGCCCGTCTTATCTCATCATTACACTCCCAACGTCAAGCCATACTGCATTCCAACCCCCTCGTCACAACTCATCTCATCAATCTCAAATCGCACGTCTTCATAAATCATCATTCAATCAACATTAAGCACTCGCTCTTTTCTATATCAAAATTCATCAAACAAAACATCATCATCTCTCGTCCCGTATATCAACTAACAAGCTAAGCAAAACAGAATCATCAGTCATAACCAGACAAACACTGAAAAACAGCGAAACAGGAAAAAAAGAGTCGTTAAAGCAACACAAAAGAAACAGATCGTCATCATCATCATCGTCGTCATGACCCATCACCACCCTCACCTCCTCCTCCGCCTCCTCTCCCTTCCCCCATCATCATCCTCATCCCTCTTCCTCCCACCATCAACAGCCTGCATCACCCCCGCCAACGGCCCGGCCAACGGGCCCGCCAACCCCGGCAGCATGTCACCACCGAGCACCTCCCCAATCACGCTCACCCAGCTCTTCCGCCCCTCCAGCACCCCCGTCACCGTCCTCACCAGCCTCTCAATCTGCTCCGGGTCCGTCCCCCCGAGCTGCCACCCGCCATGGACCTCCATGTCCCCCGGCCGCTGCGCCGGACGATGAAACTCCCCGCTCCTCGTCACGAAGCGGCTGCTCCTCCCCTGCCGGCTGCCCCCATCCAACGGCCTCCCGTGCGAATCAAACCTGTCCGGCAGAACCTCCACGTCGTCATCCGAATCATAGTGCCTGTGCCTGCGCCGCCTGCCCTCTCCATCGCGATTCGGCGAGCGATCATGCGTCGTGTCGGATGACTGCCGACGATGGCCGCTCGACCGCTTGAACTGGTTCTCGCGATACCTGTCGCTCCACTCGTCCTCGGACCCGGAAGCTTCCGACTCGGACTGCTTGGCGTCGTGCTCCTTCTTGTGCCGTATCATCGTCTTCTCGCTCGTCGGAGAAAGCGGTCCAAACGACACAGACTTTCTCCTAGTGCGAACGGGAAACCCCGGAGGCGGAATCTCGATCCTCGGCGGCGGCAGTTGCTTGAGCGGTTTTACGGCCTCTACGTTCACATGTTAGCCTTGACATGATTCTACTCAAACAAACCCTGGCTCAGATAAGCCCTGAGGGGAAAGGTGTACGATCCAACGCACCCTCAGGTTGCCCACCATTGTCATCATCATCTGGCAGACGTTCGCTTCTGGAGAGGTCACTCACTTGATCATGCGGGAAGCTGCCGTCCACCGCTGGCCCGGGAGGTGGAGGCCCCGGCGGAGGGACCAGGCCCGAAGGCGGTGGACCAGCCGGCGGAGGTGCATAGCCGGGCACTCCCGAGTTGTTGACCGGCGGCGGTCCCGGCGGCGGCGGAGGACCAGCAGGGGGCGGCGGAGGCGCATACCCGTGATAATCTTGTGGTACGTAGGGTTGGTACTCACGGGGCGGCGGCACGCTAGGGTCAGTATACGGCGTGTAGGTGTGCTCCCGCGGCGGAGCGCCGACGGGAGGGGGCATACTGGCTGGTGGGGGTCCACCGGCTGGAGGAGGAGGTCCGTTTGCGGGCGTGGTCGAGCCCGGCGTCATGGGGTAAGGGGGGTAGTAGGCACCGCCAGAGGCAGTAGGGGGCGAGTGTGGTCTGCCTTGGTCAAAGAAGCCACCGTTGTTGGGGGGAGGAACCTCGCCATAGCCTGCTCGCAAAGCTCAAGAGTAAGTCATCGTCGTCTGGAGAAAACGGCCAGTCGCCTGACAAAAACTATGAAGGGGACTGCGGGTGGGATTGGGGCTGGGGCTCGGGCTGGGGTGGGAGGGGGGATTGCTCACGTCGTCCTTGCTCATCGCGCTCCCCTGAGCGCCTCTCCTCCTCCGACCGCCGCTTCTCCCTTCTCTCGTCCCTCCGCTCCTCTCTCTTCTCTTCCCTCCGTTCGTCTCGTCGCTCCTCCCGCCTCTCCTCCTCCCTCCTCTCTCTGTCCTTGCGGTCTTTATACTCCTTAATTCCCGCTGCCGCAGCGCCCGCGGCAGCCAAGTCTCGCAACCTGCTCCTGCTCCGCTTCCTTCCGTCGTCATCGGACTCCGAGGATGATGATGGGTCTCTCCGTCTTCTCTGTCGGTTTCGCCGCCTCTCCTCGGCCTCGGACTCGTAGCCTTGGCCGGTGGGAGAGCGCGGATCGGGTGGTGGTAGGGGGTCATGCCCGTACTCAATCAAGCCTAGCCCAGGATCAGCCGCGGCCTCGGAATAAGGGGATCGGGCTCTCGACCTGCTCCTACTCCTGCTCCTGCTGACGGAGCTACGCCTATCATAGTCGCGATCATCGTCGCTGTATCCCGCCTCTCTCTCCTTCTTCTTGTCGTGGTGGTCCTTCCACACCTTGCCGGCTATGCCAGCGGCGGCGGCGCCGGCAGCAATCTCGGCGCCGCGTCGAAGCACCGACTTGCTGCGAGACCGGCTCCTGGTCCGTGACTTGGACCGCGACTTGGACTTGTCGCGGAAGTGCTTGACGAGGCCGGCGGTCGCGGCCGTGCCGATGGCCGCCTTGGCCAAGGTCGAGAGGCTGCGCTTGCGGCTGGGTCGGCGCGATCGCGAGCGCGAGCGCGAGTAGTCTTCGTCGGAGGAGTAGTACTCTCGGCCCCGGCTCCGGCCACGGCGCCTCTCCTCCTTCTCGGCCTTGCTGGCCTGGTGATACTTGACGGCGCCGGCAGCGGCGAGAGCGACGGCGGCGATGCCCAGGCCCTTCTTGAGGGCGGAGTGGCGGTCGGGGGACTCCTCGCCGTCGCCCCAGCGGTCCTCGTAGGCGCTGTGTGCGCGCCGGATGGCCTCGGTGCCGATGGCGCCCAGGGCGGCGCCGGCGAGGACCTTTTTGCCGCGGTGCTCGGGAATCTCCCCGTACTCGTTGGGGCGGCTCGAGAGCAGCGCGGTGATGCCGGCGCCGGCAAGGGCGCCCTCGGCGATGTGGCGCTTGTGGTGATCCGAGCTCTGGCTGCGGTCGCGGCGGACGGTGCGACGAGAGTAGTAGTAGTCGTCGTCGTCGCTGTGGTAGTCGTCGCCGCGGCGGCGGGCGATGCGGCGGTCGCCCTTGTGGGCGCCGATCTCGCGCCGCTCATGGCGGTAGTAGTACTCCTCGTCGTAGGGGACGCGGGCCACGTCCCGGTCGCCCTCACGCTCCCTCAGGACGATGATGTTGGGCTCCTGGCGGGGGATGACAATCTGCTGGGGCGGCGCCTCCTGGACGATGATCTTCTGGTCCGGGGCGCGCTGGCGCACGACGACGGGGGCAGAGCCGCGCTCGGGCTCGTGGTAGTACTCCGTCTCCTTGCGGTAGCGCTCGACCTCGTGGCCGTGGGCGTCGTCGAAGCGCTCCTCGACCCTCTTCTCGACGCGGAGGTCGTCCTCGTGGTGGCGAGGGCGCCGCTCCCAGTCGCGGTCGTCGCGGCGCTCGACATCGCGCTCGTAGAAGACGGTGCGGGAGCGGTCCTGCTCGACGTCGAGGGCCGAGCGAGGCCGGTCCGGGACGTAGGCGCGGTCCCGGCGCTCATAGTCGACATAGTCGTTGGCAGGGCCCGAGTAGCGCGAGCGCCGCTCGTCGTCCATCTCGATAAACTTCTCGGTGCGGTCGTATCGCTCGACGCGCGGCTCCTTGACTTTGTAACGGGTTACGGTGGTGGCCTTGAATCGCTCGTCGTCAGACTCACTGTCGCGGCGCTCTCGATAGACCCGGGTGGTTCTATAGTCGGCCATTGCTCAAGCCCAACACAGCCCGACGCTTTCTCTCTTCCTCTCTCTCTCTCTCTCGTTCTGTCACCTTCTACTCTCTCTCACAGTGTCTATTCAAGTCTTTCCGCTTCTGCCGCTTCTGCCGTAGACGTCACTCTCAGGCGATGAGATCTGATGGATATGTATGTACGTATGTACCAAAAGGCGATGAGACGGGGAGAACTGACTGAAAGGCAGCCAGGCAACCAGGACGGCGGCACAGTAAATACAGTATAGGATGATCCGGGAGGCTGAAGAAGCACAAACAAGGAGGGGTAAGTTAAACAGTATTCGAGTGGTGGGAGAGGTCAAGGTAGAAGGGCGAATATGACGCAGAAGAGTCGCAGAAGGCCGAGGAACCCCTGCCTGTAATAGGGCTTCTTTGGGCGGTCGAGTCTGAGGGCGGCACCAACGGGGGACACGATGCAGGATAACGTCAGGACAGTACCAATAGCGGGCCTTTTTTTCTTCTTGTCTCTCCCGGTCTCTGCGAAGTGGGCAGCTGATGACGATGTTTCATTGGGGAGGAGAGAGGCCAGAAGCAAGAGACCGCAGCGAGGGAGGGGGGACGGCTGACTGGCAGAGAGGCCTTGTGAGCCAGCCTAACGGGCAGGCTAGACAGGGCCCTGGCAGGGCTAAAATGCGCGAACGAAGCTGCGAGAAGATGTCTGGGCGCCTCTGTGCCCGGGTCATGTCGGCGTTTGTTCCCTGTCAGCTCGGGCAACTCTCGTGGTTGAGGTTGGAGCTGTCGTCGACGGCAGTTGTTGAAGCAGCAGTCGAGATTGTTGTGATGCCTGTTGTTTTGTCTCGTCTGCCGTGCCATCTCTCGAGAGCCTCACTTCCCCCCCCTCTATATTCACTGTCGATGATCACCATCACCATCGCCATCGCCATCACCATCTTCTTCCTCCCTCCACAGTGTCTTCCAACACGGTACGCCTGTTAGTAAACCACTCCTCCCCCCCTCCCCCCTCCAAGCCCAGCCCATCAACCAGCTGGTCACCTGCATGAAACGAACCTGCAAAGTACATGTAGTAAACGAGCACCGCCTTGTGACCAGGCAGAAGCGGCAGCGCGTGTGGCGCGGGGCCTCACCAAAAAAGGCTGCAGGACTCGCGCTCATTCTCCTGCATTCTTGCATCTCACGAGGGATGGATGGGGGGTCCCCTGGGCTGGGCTTGTTGGGCTCGAACATGAAGGGACCAAAAGAGATCGGGTCGTTGCAGAGCTTTCTCGCAGATTCTTCTGTACTGCGACAGGAAGAGACGAACTCCCCCCCTTTCTGCGTTGCTCCCTCTTCATCCCTCTTGGCATGATAGCACAGCACATGTGAATGGGTGCGGTGACACCGCCTCAGCCTCACTTCACTTCCGCTGCTCTCCATCCATCCATCTGAACCAAACAAAATCGTCTTCCTTTTTCTTTCCTCTGTCCACTCCTGTTCCGTCCCGCCGGCATGCCGTGCTTCTCTGCACCCGACGTCACGCGCCAGGCACACAGAACCCGACAAGTGAACATTCCATGGTGTTGGACAGCATCCAGCTGCGCTCAAGTGCCCAAACCTGTCCCTCCCACCCACAACCGCAAGCCATTCCCGCACTAGATCAGAGAGGAATTTCCCGTCTCAGCGCTTCTTCCACGTTCTACTAACCAACGTCCGCCCACTCACGACCCGGTGCCTGAAGCCTCAGTGACAGCACTAAAAAATACAAAGCAAAAAGCGGGATTTAGAGGGGGGAAATTGTTGGAAGAGGGGAAAAGGCGCAGCGGAAGATGTCGTCATAGCTCGGGAATTAGGCCAACTCGGCCCACCAAGGCTAGAACCTTTGAACCTGAAAATCGCTGAACCACGATTCTCCATTCATGCCCAGTCATCATGTTCATGCATGGAAGAGCTGCATGTCTGGTTGCCAGTTGCCAGGGCATCAAGCGAAGAAAAAAAATCACCGAGAGAACGAGCAACTGCCGAGATCAAGGAACTGTTCTGTTTATGACGCCTCTTTCGGCGAATGCCGACTTGGCTCGCCTATCCACCTATGTCCGTTCCGATTCGCACACAACTACTACCGAAAACTGCCATGTCAATCACTGACTTTGAGCGTAACTCAGCCTTTCGGAAAGCCGGCGCTTGTGCCATATTACATACATAGCTTAGCCTGTCCCTTGCAGCTTACAGATGACAGCCGAACGGAATCTGCCAATGCCGGCCGACCTGAGCTCGGTAACACCGTCAACATGGACGGGCTAGCCGCCGTATATCATCGAGTTCAGTAAGGTATCTAACGAACAGAGTCCCAATTTCTATCCCATGTATATACATGCTGCGGCTTTGAGCATTGTGCAAGTAAGAATGCCAAACGAGGAAATGCAAAAGAAAAAACAGAAGCCAAGAACCAACGACGCCCGTGACCCAAGCTGAGGATTTGAAATCATATACACTGCTCCCGCCTCACACAGGCCTCATAACGATACCCCCTAATCATCATACTCGTGCTTGTTGCCCAGGACGCCCACGCCGCCGTTGCTCCGCCGCCTCTTGCCAATGACCTCGCGCACCCAATCGCTCAGCGTGAACCCCCAGTGGCCCGCCACCATGACGCCGCTGAAGACGTTGACGAGCTTGAGCAGAAAGGCGAAGAAGCCTTGGCGCCTCTCATCCACGACCAGCATGATGGGCTCGATGTCGTACTTGAAGAAGATGCCCGGCACCTGGTGGTCCGAGATGGTCTTGCTCTGCTCCGTGACGGCGTACTGGTTGGTGTTGACAAAGCGGTTGCTGGTCGTGTAGACGGTGGGGACGACGGAGAGGTAGTACTGGAACTTGTGGAAGTGGACAATGGCCGTGTTGACGGTGCGGTCGAGGGGGTTGATCAGCGACGGGTAGAAGGGGCCGTACGACAATTCCGAGATGATGTGAGAAAAGTTGAATTCTAATGACGCGAGTTAGAGGTGGTGCTTAGGTTCGTTCATGAGGCTGAGAGGGACACATACTGTCATGGTCCAAGTGATCGCCAATCCCGCTGTAGCCGTGGCCTCGGGCCGTGATGTGGAAATCGCCCTGCACCTTGTTCAGGTCCAGGCTGCCGTACATGCGGCAGCTGTCCGGCCTGCCCCTCGGCTTCGGCGTCTTGGCCCACTTGGCCTTTTTGCGACTGAGGGACACGATGTCGTGAACGTGCTCCTCGCCGAAGCCCTCGTCGTGCGAACCGTGCCAGCCCGCGCCCGTGTCCAGCTTGCCGTTCTCGTTCTTGCCGAGGCGGTGCACGCCCTTTGCGTCCACCCACTGCTCCCAGGACGTGGCGTCGCGGGTCAGCTTGTCGCCGGCGAGGATCCTATCGCCCGACGCGTCCTGCACGTTGACGTGCAAGTCGGCGCAGTTCATCTTGACCACGACGTCGAGGTTGATCTGCATGTCGTGCCCGATGCCCTTTTCGACGGCAAACGTGTGGTGCTCGGTGCCGCGCCACCAGCGGGCAATCTCGGACCACAGGAAGATGCTGGAGATGAGGAGCATGGCGACGGTCCATTTGCCGCCGCCCGCTGTCTTTGTCACATACTGAGGCTTCGCCTTGGCTGTAGCAAGAGATGTGTTAGCCGATCCCTCGATCTTCAATGGACAGCATGGGTAAGGTAAGGTATATAGCTAAAGTAGCCCGAGGGTCATGTCGTACGGAATGCATCAAAGGCGCTGACGATGCTGCCCTTTGCGCCAAAGTCGTCCTCGTTCAGCCCCTGCTTCTCGAAGCTGTCCATTGTGGGAGGAGCTGGTGTAAAATCCGAAAGTCTCTTTGCAAAAGAAAGATCTATACCGCACAAAGGATAATCATTGGGTGACGACTGGAGAAGCAGCAGTTGAGACAGGTCCCAAGCTCAGACGATTGAGTGGCCGAGCTACAGCTTGATACTACTATCACTCCGTAGTCGCAACCGTCATTCCAGAGCGGCCGCACCGTGCCGACAGCAGCTCAATTCGATGCAATGCAGGCGCGCGCAGATTCAGAACCGAGAGTCGGCCTCAAGTAGGACCTTCTGACGTCGTGGCGGGCAGCGGCGCATGCAGTTACATGCGATGATGGTGATGCTTCGAACCTTGAATCAGCATACTAAGAAGCTGGACACGTCTCCAATTCGAGGCCCCTGCCGTTCAGGGCCCACGGTGATTGGTACAGATGGGCTGCGACCGGAATATCGGCGGCCCGCGAGGTTCTGGAACGGCCAACGGCATGCGAAACCGCCCAGGATGTTTAGGTCTGAAAAATTGGGGGCCCATTTGAATGAATGAGAGAAGGGGCGAGAAATGCTGCAGATGTCAGACTCGAGCTGGCTGTTGGCCTGTGAATGCCATTCGTTTGCATTGTGTTGCAGTCGCGTTGATGCTTGGATTATTGAATGACTCCATTTGGAATATCTGCCTTTGAGTTGCCTAATACCTAAGAATGCGTCTTATTCTCTACTCTAGACAAAGTATTTCCATGTCCACCACGCTCGACTGCATCGCACCAGCAGCCGGCTCCAACAAAAACAAGCCACAGGGCTGGCCGCTTGAGCCGGATTGACGAGCACAGACCAGAAAATTCCATGTCGGACGGCTAGAGGCGCAGGAACCCTTGAAGCAGGGCGGGTCGACGCCTGGGGCCCGGGGCCTTGAAGCGCCAAGCAGGCGGGAGGTCGGTGCAGCAAATCAGGTGTTTTGATCGTGCTGGCGGGATCTCGTGGCAGCGGGCTGGATCAGCGGGCCAAGAGATGCGATCAGTTGCCGGGATCAGGACACTTTTGCGCTTTAGTACGGTAGATGTCAGTAGACTTGGTTGATTGTGATAAGAGTTCATTTTCGTGTAGAGTAATAACATGCTGACAGAAAGGCGTTTGATGCCGTGATTGTGACGATGCTGTGCTGGGCTGCTTACTCCCGCCCGAGTCGTCTCTCGTCGTTGCTGCATACGAGCATCCACGGGCGTATCCAAAAATAGGCGGCCAATCCATGCACCCCGGAATGATGGGCAAGCCGAACAGAGGTATTAATTGCAGTCTCTTGTATTGTAGACTGAGGGCATCATCAACGAGGCAGAACTGCATCTGAATATGTAGTGATCTGTTTAACCACTTTATCTGGCTCAAGCACTGCCCACCACTGGTCGTATACGCTGGTCCCCTCATTCCGGACTGCGTCGTCTCAGCGATTGATGGGTGGGATCTTCGGCGCTTGTATCCGTATTGCCAGGGTGCTCAACTCCACGGACAACGTCATCAATCCGTGGGGAAATACGGAAACCCAAGCCAAGATATGTTGTACGATGGTTGTTGGCAATGACGAGTCCCCAGAATACAGTCTCTGGTTGCCTCGAATATCGAGGGAGCCAACATGTAGCATCGAGTAGTATCAATATACTGCATGCCAGCCAGAAGCGTAGTCCCAGTGATGCCCTCAACGCATTTACCCGGCCACCCCCCAGCCCCAACCCCAAGGCATGGCATGCCCAAACAAGTCTCAAATAAGTATCCCTTGCGCGCGTCTGCAGTGCAGAGTAACCTGCAGCAGCATGCCAGATGCCCGTCCCAAACAAAACTGCCCACTCCCGTCCCCTCTGTTCCCATTATCCAGTCCTCAGAACTTCCTAGCGCCAGCACCGTCACCAATTTTTGCGCCACCGCTCCAGTTTATTCTCACCCAGAAGTCCGAGAGCCTGGCAACTGAGCAGCCAGAATCCAACCAAATCGGCCCTGCATCACTCACGCTTCACACAAGAAACAAGCACTGACTTGCACTTGCGGACCCCCTTGTTTTGACGTACTGTACTGTATTGTCCTGCGCTCTTTTTCAAGTTTACCCGTCTTCCTGGGTTTGCCGCTTCACATCACTTCTCTCTCTCTCTCTCAAACATCCTCAACATCCATTCTTTCATTCCTCTTCTGCTCGGAAATCGAAAAAGACTCGCCTCGCCGTAGCGACATCGTCAACAGCAGCGGAGGAACTCCCGCCTCTCCATCGACTCTCGCTTCTTCCTCCCTCGCTCGCTTATCGTTTTCCGTCTCTGAACCCGCCCGGGCATTTTACTACGTAACCGCTTATTCACCCGTTCACGAAATCGCATCGCATCGCATCGCATCGTATCGCATCGTATCGCATCGCACCGTCCACGATCGCCCATTGCCATCGTTGCCTCGTTTGCTTGCTCGAGTTCGCGCTCACGTGGGGACCTTTCACTGCGGTTGGCGCTTGGACGACACGACACTCCAACTTCTGTCCTCTTCATCGTTTTCCCCCCCAGACCTGGCGTCGCCAGTATGAGATCCTTCGTTCGGCCGGGCGCCCTGGCTGCCCTTGTAGCTGCGGCAGATGTCGCCGTCGCACAGCAGAGCCCGTTTTCCATCGCATCAACCAGTGAGCATGCCCCCCTTCGTTTCTGATAATGATGATGATGACTCTGTGGCTAATCTCGCTCTGCTTCCTCTCTCCCCTCCCCCTAGGCGACATCAAAAAGACAGCAGCCACCGTCGCCTGGGATATGCTCCAGTACTACCATGGCAATGAATCCGGCCAGACGCCCGGTATCCTGCCTGGCCCTCCGCCTGCTGGCGATTACTACTGGTGGGAGGGCGGCGCAATGTGGGGGACGCTCATCGACTACTGGTACCTCACGGGAGACACGACGTACAACGACCTCACCATGCAGGCCATCCAGTGGCAGACGGGGCCCGACGACGACTTCCAGCCGCCCAACGTCACGCTGTCGCTGGGCAACGACGACCAGGGCTTCTGGGGCATGACGGCCATGCTGGCTGCCGAGGAGAAGTTCCCAGACCCTCCGGCCGACAAGCCGCAGTGGCTGGCCCTCGCCCAGGGCGTCTTCAACACGCAGGCCAGTCCCGAGCGTCACGACGACACGTGCGGCGGTGGTCTCCGCTGGCAGATTCCTCCCACAAACCCGGGATACAGCTACAAGAACAGTAAGCGCGAGATATGGAGTCTGTGAGGTGGTGGCATATACGATCATGGCGGCTAACACTCATCTCTCAGGCATTGCCAACGGCTGCTTCTTCAACTTGGGCGCACGCCTGGCTCGATACACGGGCAACACGACATACTCGGACTGGGCCGAGGACACGTGGGACTGGATGGTCAAGGTCGGGTTCCTCAACAACGATACCTATGCCATCTACGACGGCGCCGACGTGTCCAACAACTGCACGCAAATCAACAAGGCCGAGTTCTCGTACAACAACGCGGTGTGGACTCTCGGGGCGGCCTACATGTACAACCGCGTACGTCTTTTGTCTTGATACTGAACGTTCTTTCTGATCACTGAAAGCTAACTCGCTCTGCAGACCAACAGTGCCACGTGGAAGAGTCGACTCGAGAAGCTGGTCGACCACGGCCTCGAGACCTTCTTCCCCGACGGCATCGCCTACGAGCCGTCGTGCGAGGGCGTCGGTACCTGCTCCACGGACATGCTGTCGTTCAAGGGCTACATCCACCGCTGGTATTCCACCATGACGCAGCTGGCGCCCTTCATGGCGCCCAAGGTGCTGCCCGTGCTCAAGACGTCGGCCGAGGCGGCCATCAAGCAGTGCACGGGCGAGCCGCTGGGGCGGCAGTGCGGCTTCAAGTGGAACACGGGCAAGTACGACGGTAGGACCGGTGCCGGCCAGGAGATGAACGTCGTGGGCGCCGTGTCGTCGCTGCTCATCAACGAGGCCGCCGTGCCGGTCACGGGTGACTCGGGCGGCACGTCCAAGGGCAACCCCAACGCGGGCAGCAAGCCCAACAGCTTCCAGCGGCCGGAGACGCCGGTGACGACGGGCGACAAGGCTGGGGCGGGCATCATCACGCTCATCATCATCGGGTCGCTGTGTACGACCCTCACCTGGATGAGTATCGGTGCCTGAGGTAGCATTTTTCCCGACTTTTTCTTTTTCTGTGTGACATTTGATGAAAACAAGATTCATGACGGGATCGCAGCCAAATGTTTGGCTGGACAGCCCATTCCGTCTGGTGTTCCGGTTGGCTATCAGGAGGGGCGGACTGGAATCGCTTTACCATTTGATATCTGGCGTTGGCGGATGTGTTATTAGGATCATTTAGCATTGTCTTTTGTTTGGTTTGTTTTTCTTCTCAGCTGCTCTTCTATCATCTGCTAGATGGCAGGATAAATATTGATTTGAGTGGCCGAGGCCTCATCGTTTCAAAGGAAAGATGGGAGGAGCACACGTCTAGGATAAAGACGAATATACCTGTAACGCTGGGACAGTTCTTTCAATCTCGTTCGATATTTCGAAGTGACAACTCATGTCTGATACACTGAAAGTGGCACTCATGTCCGTTTCTGTGTAACAAAATTCAAACGATCAAAGTTCCTTTAACGCAAGAGACGCGGACAAAAGCTGACAAGATACTCGAAACCGATCATGAAAGAGATGGATCGACGTCGGAGCTCCGGAGGAAGTGGACTGCCGTTGAAAACCCCCCCTGTCCATCACGAATCCCGCAGCCCACGCATATACGTCATCACTGCATGTGAACTCGTACGTACAATGCGCAATCTTGCAATTGGAATTGGTCGAATGCTGATGAGGGAATTGCCCATGTTTTAGTCATGTTCGTGATGCAAGATGCGCAGAATAGTATCTGGACCATGGCTGGGGAGGATGAGAGAAATAAAGGGAACTATGGCGAATCTGCAACGCGGTGAAGCCGATGCGACGATGACATGCTTGCGTCTTCGATTCGGTATCCCAGGTTCAGTCAGTCAGTCAGCCAGTCAGTCAGCCAAGCCCAGCAATGAAAAGCCTCTACAGAAAACCGGCAAAAACGTCCCAACACATTGAGCAACAGCGCGGAAACAAGCTTCCAAGCCTTTGTTGAAAAGGCGTCGAAGCCACGAGGTAGGTAGGTAAGGTAAGTTGGCGACCGACGTCCCCCGGGCCGAAAGAAAAGGAAACGCTTTTCCAAAGAAAGTAGATAGAAAGTTTCAAAAAGAGGAAGAATGGCTACTACTACTACTATTACCTAGCCCCCTTGCATTGGACAGCTTTGTGCTCATGTGGCCATGCCAATGCTTAATGACGCAAGCGAGGCAAGCAAAGCTCACCAGTTACAGTAACGCCCCTGATGCTGTAAGGGGCAAAGGCAAACACTGCACGATGAAGAAAGCAGCTGGAGCTTGGAGGAGCCAGAAAAGACCCAATTGCACCTTGTGATGATGCCACTGGCGTTGGTTGGTCGGGCCACCTGCTGTGCAATTTTTTCCTACCTACTTACCTAGGCTTACATAAGGCACGTGGTCTGTGTCGTAGGGAAGATGATGGAATATGGAATGACTGATGGGCTCATAGCTGATGAGTGACTGACTCCTTACAAAGTATGTACTCAAGGTACGAACTCGGTAATGATGTTGTGCTTCGAAGAGGCCACGTACAAGTGTGTCGTTTTACGCATGGAAAAAAGGGGTCTCGTGGGCTCAATTGCAGCATCTGTTTGGACATGCTCAAATCCACGCGTAACGTAACAACCTCCCCCCTAACAGAAGCTGCAAGATGAACCCAATTTTGCCAATGAATCTCCCAATGTCAATGTCCCTTCTCGCCAAAAGGGAAATCCAATGAAACGCCCCACGAGCAAATTCAACCATCCCCGATCCCAATTCCCATTACCTACAACAAACTCTGCCAGGGCCCGCGTGACGCACGCCATCGGGTCACCAGAGGCACCGAGCAGGTCTAGTAGTTGGATTAGCGGGCTCCCCTGAGAAAAGCCGCTGCAAGGCGCTGTGAGGCGGTTCGCTGAGCTCCGGTCGGATCTGGCCACCTGGGACTCGCATCACCTACTTCTACCTTTGAAGTACTTGAGATCGCGTATTGAAGTCGCCATTGTGCAGGTAGATGTGCTGTATCTTCAGAGCGGGAGGGGCGCCCCCTCTTGTCCAATTGCGCACCTGAGAAGCCCAAAACTCAACGCGAGTGGCTGGAAAAAAAGCTGCAACCTTGGATTTCAGTGGACCGAGCTCCATCCTCCCAGTCCCTCTTCAGCATAGCGTTTTGCGGGGGAAAAAATTGAAGAGAAAAAAAAAGAAAAAGAAAAGAAAAGAAAAAAAGCCCGAGGCCGAAGCAAAGCAACAGCTCAGAGAAAAATCCTGGTCTGGTGAGCACGGGGTTCGAAAGTGGATTCTTCAATGGAATTGGATCAGCAGAAAATCAGGGCGGAAGCGGAGCCCAGGGGCAAAGAGAAGGAGCTTAGTAGCTGGAGCAGAAGACCAAAGAAGCTGAGAAAGAAAAAATTAATTTTTTTTTCTTCTCTTTTCTAACGGCGTTGGTTTGACGTTGTATTGTATTAGTCAATGGCTTCGTGCTGCTAGTCCCGGTCTGGTCTTTGTTTGGGTCTGGTGACTGAACTCTGTGTAAAGGTTTGAGGCTGCCCTGCACGCTTGTTGCCTGTGTGACCTTGATGGGCTGTCATATAAGAGGTGCGAGGGCCCTTCGTGGGACCTCCTGCTGTTCACCTGGACACTTGCTGAAGAATTGAATCCAATATCTTGCTACGAACAATCTGAGCTTATTCATAAACGTCAAGAACGTCTCGTACAAACTCAACTCGACTCGATTTACACACACACACACACACAACTCAACCCATACGCAGTCACCTACATACAAAATCTCTACTCCACCACTTCCTACATCAGAATCTCCCAAGATTCCTACAACCTACAAACAAACAAACAAACCATCACAAAAACACAACCGCCACAATGTTGGTCAAATACATCTTCACCGAGTCCGCCCCCTCCCAGACAAACTACTTCCGCGGCGGCCGCGGCGGCGCAGGCAACATCGTCCGCACCTCTTCTCTCCCCTCCACAGCAACCTCCGCAGCCTCAACAACCACCACAACAACAACCACAACAGCTTCACCATCCTCGGCAGTGCCCCGGCATCTGCCCAACCAGCGCTTCTTCTCCGGCATTGGAGGCGCGGGCAACGTCCACCAGGGCGCCGAGCTGCAGTCCGCTCTCCTGGACTCCCTCGAGACGAGCAGCGCCCACAACCCGGAGGTTGGTCACGTCGGACGCGGCGGCGCGGGCAACGTCTACAGCAGCAACGGCCGCCGTAAGACGAGCGATGCCGGCAGCAGCATCTCGAGCGTCAATAGTGTGGCCAGCTCGGTGAGCGACAAGGCAAAGGTGTGGGCGTCGCGAGTGAGCGGTGCGTTTGCTCGCAAGTAGAACGGGGCATCTTTTCACTTTTTTTTGAAGAGAGGTAATGGAGGAGAAAAGAAAACGGTGGACGTTATGGATTACGACAATTATGATTATACCCCTCGCCTTATTCATGGGCTTTATTCTGGGATTCTGATGGGAGTTTTGGTATTGATTTGGAACGGAAGCGACAAAGCAAGCTGTCGGATTGGATTCGACGCAACGGTGCTTTCAATCGCGTGAAAAGTATCAGGGAAACGGGTTATACTAGGCTACTGTAATGGTTAATAAGAGACACCCTACTTGCTCTTCAATTACTCGATTCTCATGTGTGATGCTCAACAATGTTTACCAGTTGAAAGGACGAGCATCACCAAATCTACACGCACGGTAACACAACCAACCAAATCAACAGCCAGCCCCTCGCTCAAACCCCCTTCCCCCCTGTGACACAACTCCAATCAAACGTACACTACGTGCAATTTCAAAACACACAAAAAGAAGAAAAGAAAAAGAAAGGAGAGAGAGAGAGAGGCCTAAAAAAAGAAAGAGTTTGATTTCGCCCGGGCTCGAACCGGGGACCTTTTCGGTGGTGTCAACAAAGAGCTTGTTAACGAAATGTCATGACCAACTAGACCACGAAACCAATTTCTCATGCCTCGCCATTGTTGACGAGGCGCGCGATGCTGTGATGCCGGCACTCAATGCGCTTACAAACCTTGTAGCCCGACTTGACACAATCTATGAGCAAAGAGAGGTAGTGTCCGCATCGTGGGAAGAGGCAACCTATAAGAACAAGACAACATAGCAGGAAGAGTAGAAAGACACCGCATGGTAGAAAGAGACAACTTTGAAGAAAGGGGTAGGTAACATGAGAAAGAGACAAAGTCAACTCAACAACAACACCCTTCATTATGAGACAACCACCCCATTGCATTACATCAATTTGGCCCCCGCCCCCCTAATCAACTGTCAACTGCAAAATCGGGGTATCATTAGGCCTTCTCTTCATCTATCAGACAAAGTTCCCTACAACTCCCTCGTCTAATGCCCGCTCGCTTGCTCCTAGCAAAACAACACGAAACAAGTAAAGACACCCTCCTCCCATTTCTTTGTATCATAAGCCAAGTTCTGTCTTTTTTTTTTTCGTTTCGTGACAATAACAGGTGAAAAGAGAAGATTAGTGTACACCACCTATACCCCCGTCAACATCATCATCATCAGTCTAGCCTCCTCAGTTTTTCGGTTTTTTCTTTTTTTCTTCTTTCCTTTTCTCTATCATCTTGCACTGGTCTTCGTCGTTCCATTTCTCAGCCTTCTATGCTTGTGAAGCAGCTTCGCCAGTCCTGCCGTGTGAGCCTCTAGAGAAATGTTCATAGTACGTAACCAAAGCAGCAGACTTGCAAAGACTCTCGCTCGCCTCTATGCCGATACGCCCGCTCCAATTCGTAAATCATGTAAACTTCGTGTGGATAATGTCCGGATTCTCATGCCAGTCGTCAATGCTCACCAGCATCTACATGTTCGTCAGTAACAACACAAATCAAAATCCTCAGACAGGGGAGCCACTCACCTTGCGGAAGGTGCTCAAGCCCGCGAGAATACTTCCTCCAATCCAGGTAGAGTACTTGCGCTCCGGCGGCGCAAAGATCTTTATCCTCATGTCCTTGACGGCCAGCTTCTGCAGCTCCGTCAACAGCCGGTCACCAAAGCCCTTTGTCAGCGTGCTGCCTCCAGACAGGACAATGTTGCTGTAAAGCGACTTTCGAAGGTCCAGGTCGGTGCGGCTGATGGCGTCCACCACGATCTGGTGCACGCCGGGATACTCCTGGCCGATGATTTCGGGATCAAACAAAATCTCCGGAGCTCTGAATCGCTCAGCGCCAATCTACCAGAAGAGTCAGCGTCCGCAGAATTGCACAAGTTACCATCGCCAAACTCGCCTTTAGCTTGTGCCCGTCTGGCAGCACGTATTCCGCAAACTTGCTTTCGTTGGGCTTCACTCCAATCCAGTCTCTCTCCTCCTTCTTCGGATCATGCGCCACATAGGACACGCTTTCTTTAATCAGCCGAACCACCTCCTTCTCCGCGCTCGTGTGGAAGATGTAGCCGCTCTTGCGTAGCAGCGTCTGCAGATACTCCGTCACGTCTCGACCTGCGACGTCGATGCGCTGTATGCTGCTGGGCATGGCAAAGCCCTCGTACACGGGCACCGCATGCGACACGCCGTCGCCCGAGTCAAGCACGATGCCCGTCGTCCGTCCGCTGGCGTATAGCGACAGCACCGCCTGGATCGACGTGTGCAGCGCGGGCACGTTGAACGTCTCAAACAGGATCTGCGCCGCCGTGTCGCGGTTGCTCCGGGGATTCAGGGGAGGCTCTGTCAACAGAACTGGGTGCTGCGGGTGACATGTCAGCGCCGTCTCTCGTCGTCAAAACACGGCTGCATCACGCGCAGCAAACCACACAAGACAAACAAACCTCCTCGCTCAGCGTCTTGAGCCCCTCGCCATACACGTACTCCCAGATCCGCTCCATGTCGTCCCAGTCGGTCACGACGCCGTGCTCCAGCGGGTAGTGGATCTTAAGCAGGCCCCTCAGCTCGTTGGAGGCCTTGTTCCCTATAAACAGGTCGCCCTCCAGCGCGCCGGCCAGGACGCGCAGGTGCTTCGGCCGGCCGACCCACGAGGGGAAGAAGCACTTGGGCAGGTCCTCGCCCGCGAAGCCCGCGCGGATGGTGCCTGAGCCGTTGTCCAGCACAATCGGGGCATTGTGCAGTATTTCCGTCATTTTCGCGTCCCTGAGCCCGAGTCCGGAGATGCTGTTCGCAGCCGCGTCGTTGCCGTCGTCCTCCGCGGTGCCTCGCCCGTTTCGTCTCGGCGGTCGAGCTGCCCCCCTTTGTGTGGTGTGGTGTCGTTGTTTGCTGCTGCAACGGGGTTTCGTGTCCGACGCAGAATTGCCTCTGCCTGTGCTTGCCCAGCCTCAAATCACACCGTCCGCAGCATTGGGCAGGGTCACTGAGAGCCTTTCGGTAGCCGTACGCTCAGCCCTGGGTATACAGACGCAGCCTTGGGTAGCCTCGTCGGATCTCACGAAATCGTCGGGTCTGGAGTTGTGGTCGAGGGTGATTGGCCATTGCATCTTCTCGCACCGTCCACATGGAGCTGAGCTTAGCAGTACCAGCCACACCTAAAATCCCACCAACTGCCCCCCAATCTTCCCCCAATTCCCACTCAATGCATCAGCCACACCCGCATCACGTGGGGCTCTGTCTCGATAAGGTAAGGCATGCCCGATAAGCAGCTGTGGCGCCTCAGGCAGGAAGCGCAAAAGGTTGTGGCCACAGGTTAAAGTGGTTTCGCGTTCATCGCGTCTCCTCCCCCTCGAACCGCGTCGCAGACGTGCCGAATTTGCTTCCAGCTCCCGCAAAGCCCCAGCTGCCGCCTTATGCTTGATGCTTGATGCTTATGGCGACGCCGCAAACGCTCTGCATGCCCCCGACCAGCGACCACCGTCCCGCTCCATAGCAGCTAAACCCACCGTTGCTTCTTGCTCGAACTTATCCCCCTTGGTTCGTTGACGCCTTCAGCCTCGACGCTCTTGTGCCGGAAGCCTTTCCATCGTCGAGATGGTCAACAAGGGCAATGCAGGCGGCGGCATTTACAGTGCCACATACAGTGGAGTAAGAGATTCCCCGTGAAATTAGGATGCAGCAATCGTTGTGGGAGGTCGGAAGTTGTGTGGCAGGGATGGGAGCCTTGAGTTAGAGGTCATAGGAGAGGCTGGAAACGCACGAGAGAAGCCATCGGGAATTGTGAATGTTTGCTCGTCGCAATGGGAACATGGATCTACTGTGGTCTTCAAGAGAGCCTTTTCTTGTTATTGCCCTCTCCTAGCTCTTCTTTCTCTTCTTCTATCATGGCACACAATCTGCACAGAGCATAAAACTCGTATCTCATCACCACCACATAGACTAATCCATCTGTCACCAGATCCCCGTCTACGAGTTCCAATTCGGCGGCGACCTCAAGGAACATGTCATGCGAAGGAGGCACGATGACTGGATCAACGCAACCCACATTCTAAAGGCCGCCGGCTTCGACAAGCCGGCCCGAACGAGAATCCTTGAGAGAGACGTGCAAAAGGACGTCCACGAAAAGATCCAGGGCGGCTACGGAAAATACCAGGGGACATGGATCCCCCTCGAGGCCGGCGAGGCCCTGGCACAGCGGCACAGCGTCTACGAGCGAATACGGCCCATCTTCCAGTTCGTCCCGGGCGACGAGAGCCCGCCTCCGGCTCCGAGGCACGCCAGCAAGCCCAAGGCACCCAAATCCCGTCCTCCACTCCCCAAATGGAATTCGGGTAGGTCCAAGGCCGCCGCCGGCATGGCACCCAGCGTCACTAACCCGGCAGCAGCCGCCATGCCCGTCGTCGAGGAGTACGACAACAGCGAGGTCGTCATGGGCGGCGTGGAAGAGGACACGCCGGACAACCTCACCGTGGCGTCGGCCTCGTACGTCGCCGAAGACGACCGCTACGACATGGGCCACATGTCGACGGGCCACCGCAAGCGCAAGAGGGAGGAGCAGTTGCAGGACCTCACGGAGCAGCAGCACGCCGTGTACGGGGATGAGCTTCTCGACTACTTCCTCCTTTCTAGAAATGAGCAGCCGGCAGTCAAGCCCGACCCGCCGCCCAACTTCCAGCCCAACTGGCTTATTGACGCCGAGAACCACACGGCCCTGCACTGGGCCTCCGCTATGGGCGACGTGGACGTGATCAAGCAGCTCAAGAGGTTCAACGCGGACGTGGCCGTGCGCAACATCCGCGGCGAGACGCCCTTTATGCGGTCCGTCAACTTTACGAATTGCTACGACAAGCAGACGTTCCCCGCCGTCATGAAGGAGCTCTTCGAGACGGTAGACGTCAGGGACAGCCAGGGGTGCACCGTCATCCACCATGCCGCCATCATGAAGAACGGGCGCGTCTACAGCCCGTCGTGCTCGCGGTATTACCTCGACAAC